TCCATAAAGTGTTTGTCATTGTGAAAAGTATAAAACGGTCGGTTGCGCTATGACAAATAAGTCTTCTAGATAACGTCTTCTTGATGTGGCTATTTGTTTTAAACTTAAAAAAATGATTAAATAGTTAAAATCTTTAAGGTTTGATTTTTTTATTTACTAGGTATATGTAGCCACGCTACGCGTGACTTATTATTGTTTTTGTATAGATTTTAATAGTAGTGTAACAGTCAAATGATTCGACTAAATTTAATTATAAATAGGAATAAAATTACATATATATATTAATATGGTATTTAAACTTTTTGTTCGTTTGTTCATGTAAAACTCGTTTGATTGATTTACAATAATAAAAAGTTAAATAATTTTTGAGTAAAAACTATATATATATATATATATATATATAATATTTGGAGAATAATTTTAAACTATTTTCTTTCTTTCTCATTATCCCACGCAATTCAAGTTATATTGATAAAATTTATTTTAGATATTTCACCTTTATAAAACTTTTACTACTAATTAAGATTATTGAACCGTTTTAATTAAAATTAAAATAATAACGATATTATTAACCACAAACCTTGAATAAATAAATAATATATATATGTTAGATCATTATGCATATATTAAATTTTTGAGATATTGGTGGAGGAAAATGAAAGAAAGATTATTTGTAGGATGATGAGTGTTGGAAGTTATTTTTAGAAAATAAATACATTTAGGGAGTTACAGTTTTTTGTAAAATTAGTAGGAAAACCATTCAAATTAAAAATTATGGTCAATGATTTTAGTCAAGTAATAAATGTATTTTAGTGGGGTTTTGATGTTCTTATAATTATTTTGTATGCAAATTACGTATAAATTTAAATGTGAGTTAATAATAGATAGTATTATATCATAATATTAAATATTTGAAAATATTAAAAACCAGAGAGTGAAAGTCTTATAATGTATTTTCTAGATATACAAAAAATGTTGTTACACTATTATTTATTTTAATTATACAACATTAAGATATTTATGTTAAATATTTTTTATATTCAACTCAATTTAAATATTTATATGATTTAAATTGCTAGGTTGGATTATAAATTTTTGTAAATAAATTCTTTTATTTTAGAAATTAACTTAAACCACAAGCTTTGAAGAGAATAAACATTTTAGTTAATGATTTTTATATAATTATTTATTGGATCACAAAAATTAATCTGATGAGTATATTAAAAATAATACAAAACATTATTTGAGATAAGAAAGAAGTATGTAAGAAATTTAACAAAAATATTATTTGATATTACAATAATTTATTTATTGTAGAAAATAGAGATGGATCTTCTCAACTTGATTTTCTTCTTGTGCAATGGTTGAATTGATATTTGAAAACTTCATTGTTAAATATGCAAAGTATGTAATTTTGAATTAAGATCAGAAATTATAGCCATCAAATTTATTATTATACATTTGTAGTTTTGAACTAAAAATATGAAAATTAAAGAAAGAATGAGTATATTCAAGTAAGACATTAGAATAAAAATAAAATTGAAAACAATGTAAAATATATACCTTATAGTCTCTAAAAACAAAATTTATAATCAAACCTTACAATGATGTCTCATTGATTTTTCAACTCATGCAACAACACAAAAACAAAGAAAATATTTAGGATTTGAGATATGGTGGAAGAAGATGTGAGAATGATTATTTATAGTATAGAAAGTGATGGAAGTTACATTTTGATAGTAATTAAATTATAGGAGTTACAATTTGAATTTATAGTGTGTTTGAATGACATTGAGTGTGGAAATACAATTAATACACCATTTGTATGATGATTACAATTTGGTATTAAATGGTAGATTAATGTATATGAATAAATGTGTTGTATTTGTGGTTTAGTAAGACATAAATATTATTATGATTTTTTTTGAAAAAGTGAATTGCCAAGTGGACCAATCATGGGAGAGTGAAACCCTACTTTTATATGTATGATTAATTTTTAACTAACCTGAATACAACCAAAATGAAAGAAGGGAAGAGTTAATGTTTTGTTCGTTGAACTTGGCCATTTTAAAATGATGTTGCGTGAAAATAGCAAAGCCAAATAAAGGACCTTTTTCTTTATCGTTAGCCGTTACAAAATGATAACACTTGAAAGTTGAAACTATTGGATTTGCATGAGCACAAGCATGACGAAACATGTGAAAATGGAATACGATGAGATCTCGGTATTACAAAACCGTAACTGATTTTGTTGGCCGTTTAGAACTGGAGCAGTTAAGTACACATACACATATGACTATTTTTTGGAAGGAAGCTAAGCTACAATGCAATTCTTAATAATTTCATTGACTTTTTAGGATTCTGAATTTCGTTTTGAATCCTCTTTCGTCCTCAAATGAATTGATATCATGTCTTAAAACGAAGACACATTTTTATATAGAATGACAATTTCAAAATCTTGAGATAATATATTTTGAGGTTTTTATTTCGCTAAATAGCTCTTTTGAACAACTTAATTTGGAAACCAACATTTTTTTGAAGCTCTAAAAGAAGTAACAAATTTCTAGTAAAGTAAACAAACCGATTAATCCTTTTTATTCTGAAAATTAAAATGACGAGTGCATAACTAATAGACCTATATATATCAATCTATATATAATAGCAATCTAATAAATACCATTTGCACATCTGAACGGTTGCGTCTTTTTATCGCAACCTTTCGTTTAAATCGGTTATTTTTTTACGGTTATTTTGGTTGCGTCTTTTTATCGTAATTTTCGTTTTAATCGGTTATTTTTTACGGTTATGTCGTTTCCAATAAATACCATTTGTACATCTGAACGGTTGTGTCTTTTTATTGCAACCTTTCGTTTAAATATTTATGGTTGTTTTTCTTACAGTTATTTTTGTACGGTCATGTTGTTTTATTGAATTTCTTTTTACGTAAACCAATAAACTACATATAAAATTGGTTTATTTCATAGTTTACATATGGATATATTTTTAATTTTTAAACTAAAATTTATATTTTACGGGTATGTTTTTTAGAAAATTGCAATCCGAATATCTTCTGCGGTTGCTTCTTTTTAGGGGCTTTTGCAAAAATGCCACTTTTTCAATGCCACTTTTCAAAAATACCCCTTTTTTAAAACCTTATAAAAAATGCTCTTAAAAATATAAGATTTACCCAAATATGTATGTAATATTATTAAAACATACACAAACTACATTTCTATGTATCTAAAATCTTATAAATACTTTATAAATACCTTATAAATGCATTTTAAATACCTTTAAAAATCTTTAAAATATCTTGTAAAACCTTTGAAAAACCTTAAAAATCCTTTAAAATAACTTGTAAAACCTTTAAAAACACCTTATAAAACCTTATAAATACTTGGATCGAGTCTTCAAGTAGTAGTTACAATCCATAAGTACCTTATAAACCTAATAAAACTTTATAAAAATTTCAGATTTAAAAAGGGGTATTTTTGAAAATGGACATCTAAAAGGAGCATTTTTGAAAAGGGGCACACCAAAAGGGGTATTTTTAACAATTTCTCTTCTTTTTATTGTACCTCTTCATAAACAGTTGCAACCTTTTATTCGAATTATTGCAATATTTAGTTTATTTCACGAACAATTGCAACCTTTAGTTTATATCACAAACAATTGTAACCTTTGATTTATATATTTAGTTTATTTCACGAACGATTGCAACCTTTGATTTATATATTTTGTTTTGTATTTCACGAACAATTGCAACCTTTTGTTTATTTTACAAATTGCTATAACATCTAATTATCTACCGTCGCGTCTCTCGGTATAATTTTCATAAATTAATATTATTTAATTTTTAATTACCAAAATGCATTTAAATGAGATTGTAATCGTTTAATTGAACCGTTGAAACATTTGGTTTATTTGACCAATCATTGCAATTTTTGGTTTTGTTTTACGAACCGTTGTAATCTTTAGTTTATTTGACGAACCGCTACAACTTTTGATATATCGCAACATTTCATTTATTTCTTTTTAAACTAAAAAAATTATTTTACGCTGTGTTTTTTGAGAAAGTTGCAATCCGAGTAAATATTTTTTACGGTTGCATCTTTTTATCGTAATTTTTCATAAAATGATTGCAGCCGTTTAGTTGAACCATTGCAACATTTAGTTTATTTCACGAAAAATTAAAACTTTAAGTTTATTTTATAAATCGTTATAACATTTAATCATCTACCATCGTTATTATTAATTTTCGTTTGATATTTTTTTAACGATTTTTGAAATATTTTCCCCCGCGACATCGCGGGGGTCCGGAGTCCTAGTACTAATAAAAATAGTTTTTGCATATTCATGGGTGTCGTCAGTGAATACGTTTACGGACATTTATAGACGTACATTACAAATCAAATATGTGTCTAAATTAGTCAAAGCACGTCACATTGCAACAATTTTTGCATGTGATTCTGTTAAATTCTACGATTTTTGGAAATATCAAAACGTCACAGTACAAAAAGTGATATGTCCATAAATAAAACCCAAAAATACTATTGGATTATGTTTAAAATTTTATTTTAAATTCTATAAAACCCTAAATTTTGGACACTCACTCACTTAAGTCTCTGTAGATGTGAACAAAATTAGATCTCACGTTAATACTCAAAGCGAAATGGTATTTACTATTTAGAATTTACTGGAACCAAAAATCTCCAGTGGTCATCGAAAGAGAAAAAAATTACAAAACCAAAACAAATAAAAGAAAAACATTTCACGATCTCCTCTTTTCTTTATTGTGTTTTTCTTGCTTTTCTACCTCTCGAAACCATTTACCTCTCTGTTTTTTATTTTCTTTTTTTGTTTGTTTGCTTAAAAAGAAACAGATAACAATGGAGAAAAGCGGGCGAAATCTCCGCCGCTTCATCTCTCCATTTCGCTTAAATACGACTAGAAACTGTGGTCCGATCAGTCCCACGGCGACAAGCTTTGGCGGTGAATTGAAAAAACAAAACGCTTTCTTCGGGATTCGCTTCTTTTATATTATATACAAATACATATTCTAGAAGTCGATGATTGGTTCTCCAATTGTGAGATTACGCTCCACTGTCCATGGTAAGTCGAAGAGCTTCGCGGTCACAAACTTGAAGATCTTATTCACGTTTATGTTGTATGAAGCACTCGAGAAGAAGAGCGTCGCGTTTAAAGCCTTCGCATATGTTCTCGCCTGTTCAAACAAACATTCACAATGTAAATTTGGTTAACTTGAGTTCAATGTATATGGATTTGTCATTTGTTTATCAATCTCTAATTCATATGACTTTAAAAATCTGTTAAAAAAAAACATTACCTGGCTAGCAATAGTCCATTGCAGATCAATCGGAAGCTGAATAAACTCATCAAACTTGGTTCCTACCATAACTGGTATTGCCGTCTGCATATCAGTGTTTAGCTTATCAAAACATAAACATTTAAACAGACCAAATTCTGTTTTATCATTCGATTTGGATTTAAAACTCGAACTCTTGGCACTACATTTAAAGTGCTCAACAGTAACTTTTTTTCCAATCAACTTTTAATTCATCTTTTTGTTATTGTCTATGCCTAAGCCAAAATATATGTCATAGTCGTAACCAATCGACCCCAAATTCCACGCAACAAGACTTTTACAAAGAGACAAATATGGCAATGATAGTAATATGCTTGAGTGATTTACCTGATTAGACTTCCTAGCTTGTTGATACCAGCTAATGACACTATTAAGCGTGCAACGACTGGTAAGATCAAACATAAAGAGAATAGCAACAGAGTCCTTGCAAGCCACAGGGATTTGATCTCGTGATCTCTCAGCTCCTATATAAAAAATGTTAATTAATCTTCACATTATCAATTCCTGCTAAATGTGGATTAACAACAAACAATAACAATGATTAATTACCTTCTAAGTCCCAAATACTATATGAAATGCGAGCACCTCCCATGTATAACGTCTTGTCCGTACAATTTATCCCTTTCTCCAATTCTCTCATTTCCACTTCTTTCTCTTCTCCAACATATTTCGCCTTCAATCAAATTCCCAAATCAAATTCCCAAATCAAATTTTTTTTTTTTCTCGAATAACTAAGAGGTTCTAGGCCTAAGCCCGTACATCCCCTCAGACTAGGGACCACACATTTGATATGGTTTCGTCTCAAGCGTCACTCCGAAATAATAAATCTAATGTAATTAGGAATGGAAAAGAGAGATGTTGATTTGAAAATCTTACCAGGAAGCTAGTTTTTCCGATTTCTGGATCTCCTAAGAGGCTGATCTTCAAAGATACCAAATCAGAATCCGATCTCCGATGACTGTTATCGTTGTCGTAGACAACTGATGAACGACGAACGAACTCACCACCACCACCACCGACGACGACGACATCGACGGCGGGAATCGGAGGAGGAGGAGAGGGACGAGAAACAATCGGAGACGGAACAGCGCGAGAAAGCAAGAGATATCTCCGAGATTTGCCAGGAGTACAAGCAACGATTCTACTCCATAACAACCGTGTGAATCGTCGGAGAATCAAAATCCGACGATTCACTCTGTTCCTTAGATTGTTGATTCGAACAATTTTAAGACACGATTGAGCCATTTTTGTTTTTCTCAAAAGAAATTTCAAAAAATCGAAATCGAAATAAGGAAGAAGGAAGAAGAAGGAGAATCTGGAAAATTTGGAGGAAGAAGCAGCTTCAAGAAGAAGAAGAGATGGCCAAAGAGAAGCTGCTTGAATCCATTTTGGCCATGGAAGAAAAAGGAAAGGAGAGAGAGAGAGATTTGATCAATACATAATGCCGAAGCTTTAGCTTTTCTGTGTTTCTTCCTTTTTTTCGGAAGAGACGACACTTATTAAAACGTTTTTTTAAAAAAAATTATTATTAATTTTACTATTTTTGTTTGATTTTTGGGATTTGAAAATTTGAGCGCAACGAACTTTTCTGGTGAGATGTGATGACCACATACATACATAGAGAATTTGGGGCTAAAGTTGACCTATGAAATTTTGTACGAAAAAGACGTATCAATCAGTCATGTATTACGTGCTTGCATTGTATGCAAAGTTTCTAGATTTTTTAGTCTGATTATGTTGACAAGTTCAATACTACCATGTCTGAATGATGGCGGTGGATGGGGCGGACAAAATCGTTTGTGAATTGAATTGTTTTAGTTTATATCGTTTATAAATTATAGTTCGTAATGATGTGAACCAAAAAAATAAAATAAATTCGTTGCAAATCAACTATGAAACGCTTTATACAGATATAAATTATCGTTCGTTTCAAAAATTAAGTGTTTTAGTCCGTTTGGCGCACATCATCTATTCAAAACCTAAGTACTACTAAGTACTAACCAATATTTTTAAACCTAACCGGAGTAGTGACTGGAAATTCAGGTTAAATGGTTCGGATAGAATCTGAAAACATTGCTACAAAATTCTTTAAAAATTTGGTGTTGTTAATTAAAACATTTGTAATTGTCCTTTATAATTCAAGGTTTATTAAGCTAGTGATTTGAAAAAGTACACTCCCATTTACTGTATTCAGAAGTGAATTAAAAATTGAGTTGTAATATTATCGTGGTGATTTAGAAGAATTGATCTTCATGATTTTAACTTTAAGTGATATAACCAAATTCATCTAAGACATCTAAAGTTAAATCATGTTTTAAATATTATTTTACTGAAAAAATTAATATACTGAGTTAGTTTAAGATTTGGCAAGAAAGCATACAATGATGATGTGTGTCTTCATGTACCCACCACATGTGAGCCATGTTTTTGGATGATTACACAAATTTGGGTTTCTTCCTATAATTTTAAGATATTGAAATCACAAGTTGAAGTTATATTGAAAACAAGGTTCAATATTCTCTCGACATAATCAAATATTGTGATTATAAATAAATCATATGATATTTGGGAAATCATATGGTGCTGATTTAATTCGGTTTAAAAATTGCTGGTTCTAATGATGATAGTTTGAGTTAATTATTGAGACCCACGTGAATTTAAAACACACGTTAAAAAGAAGAGAATTTATAAAAACTAACCTTGGATTCAAAAAGAATTCACAAACTAACCACGAGCTACAGTACCCTGTCTCTAACATGTCGGAACAGCTGTGTAATTACGTATATGTCCTTTGTAACACGCTTTTTTTTCGAATTACATGTGATAGCATAATATATCTCTTTTTATCATGTATTTTTCTCGTACTACATGTTATTTATAAAGAACACATAGTATTTCTCGGAAAAAAACATTATATTCAGTGTAATATCTGTCTTTATCATGTTATTTTGTAATAATACACGTGTTTTATTAAGATCACATGTGAATATCTGTCTTTATCATGTTATTTTATAATAATACACATGTTTTATTAAGATTACATGTGAATATCTGTCTTTATCATGTTATTTTGTAATAAAACACGTGTTTTATTAAGATCACATGTGATTTCTTTTTTAAAAAGATGATTATTTTTTAGTAATACACGATTTGTTTTAAGATTACATGTGATTTCTTTTTAAAAAGTTACTATTCAGATTAAACTTTCCATGTCAATGTTTTTTCTTAAAAATTCACTATGTTTTTTAAAATATCATGTCTTTTAGTTAAATATAACATGCGAAATTTAAATGTTACATGCTATTTTGAAAAATCTCACGAAACTGTCTCACATATCGTTGATCTTGCAACAAACGAAGGATATTTTTGGTATTTCACATCATCCGACAAGGTGGGTCCATGGCTATTTTCCAACAAAAAACTTTCTCTCTGCTATTTTGTTAATTTGAGTGTTTTTTTTTGCTATTTCTTAATATCTCCCTAAAAAGAAAGAGAGGCCTAATAAAGACATGTCTCCGACCACTGTTTTATTTTAATTAAAACCAAAATGCACTATCGTATAATGGCTGCTAACTTTTTTTGATTTTGAATGATTTATAGGATTACTAAAGTCTTACATATACTTTCAAAAACAAATAACAATGTCTTTCACCATCATTGGCCAACGTTCGAAAGGATTTCAAATTAGTATCAAAACATGTTTTTTTCTAGATCTAATACTGTAAAAAAAGAAAAGGATTAATTTATTGTAAGTCGTGGATACAAATTTACAAAAACTTCAATATATACGTTTAGTTTAGGTATACTTAGAAATTGTTTTGATACATTTGTTTCAGATGTTATGTTCAACACATTTAAGCCTTATTAATTCTTGTGTCTGAATCAACAAAAGAATAAATAAGGCTTAAATGTGTTGACAGAAAATGGCACAGATGTAACGTGACGGCCATTATTGGCTTGTCCATGTATTTACTATTTATATACTTTTTTTGGTTGTATGGTTAATGAGATAATGATAAGAAAAAGTTTCTAGAATTTCTCTTTTTCTTTTCTTTTTTCTTTTCCATTAGCAATTTCTTTCTCTAACTTTTTGAAACAAAAATGACATCTCGTCTAGTAGCTTATAAGAGTATTTAGAAGTTCTTACAATCGTTTTCTTTAGTTTTATTAACCACGATGAATATGGCTTTTATAAAAATGTCATAGATGAGTTTGGTTAGGCAATTGTTTTCCTTTCTTTACATCAGAAATTGGCCATTAACTAAAGCAAAATAGAGCAAGATAATACAAATTTACAAATACTTATATCGTTAGAACTATGCCAGATATCGAATCACATTAACTCAAAAGTTTCTCTGTGCCTCAATGCAAATGAGCTGGGTTTTATAATGTGGTTACTTTGTTTGATACTAATTTCAGTTTATTTAGGCCCATAATGTTGGGCCCAGACCTGACCCTGCCCATTTTGTTGGAACTTGGAAGTCCAGTTCTTAATTTCCTCTACATTCTCAAGGCATATATAAATGATAAATCAATGACAGTAAAGCAATAACTATTTTAATTTGGCATACAAAAATACATAACCTACCTGTAATCTTTAAAACAAGAACACAAAAAGCTTAAAATCGAGCTGTATAAGTTTAAAAGGTAGATCCATATCATTTATTACCAGCTCACAGGCTAATATGAGCTTTTGCATCGGTTAGCCGATGAAAATCTAATCGGTTCATTGGATACCAAACTTCCATCGACTTGCATCATTCAGGAACAACTTCTTGTTTCTTGTTGCTCCATTTGTCCAACCTTTTGGAAGCTTCTTCCACCTGAAACAAACATAACATCCAAATTATTCTTCAAGACTAATCAAATCAATGAAAATATAGATTACTATCGTAAACTCGTATAGCGCCTATTCGGCAGCTGAAATGTTTTAGCAAACGTACTTCTTTTGTCCAATCTGTTCTAAACGTGACCCACGCCAAAATAAACGTTTGTATAACGGTACCACCGATCATCCCCGTCCATATACCCTACAACATCAACAAATATAAAACGTGATCATTAGCCTTTTAATTAGTCTGATATTTAAATACAAGAATCATTGTAAATGGTAACTAATTGAAATGAAAGTCAAGAAAACTATCTTGCCTTGGCACCAAAGTTGAAGTAAAACCCAAAGAGAGCACCAAGAGGAATTCCAATAATGTAGTAACATCCAACGTTAACTTTCGCCACAAACGTTTGCCAACCGCAGCCAACCGCCACACCTATAATAAAATTTTCCAAATTGTTATAAAACACACTTTCTCCACTTTTTCGGTTTGCGAAATCGCGGTGTATGGATCAGAAGGATTTACCAGAGAGGACAGGTTGGATTCCGTTAAGGACAAGCGTTACAGCAAGAAGCGGACAGAGATCAGAAACAGCGTCCGAGACTTCTTTACCCTCAGTGAAAGCATAGCTTAAAAAATTGCGGCACGCCAAAATAACAATGGCTAAGATCACACAAGTGATTAACGAATAAATGTTAACGATGATTACAGAAAACGCTGCTGATTTAGGGTTTCCAGCTCCAAGTTCATTGCTCACTCTTACACTGTATCAACATCATAACACAATTTTTGTCACACTTGGTCAGATTTAATAGGACGAAAAAGAGCTAATGGTTAGGTATTGTTTAGCATTGTTTAAGTGTGTAAATTGTTAGAATCCTTTTTTGGGGGGGCTAGATAAGTTGGATAGAGACATTTTCAAATTTATATAATTTAAATTTAGTGAAAACGAGTGGTGAGCTGGAACAAAACAGACCTTATCGCTGCATTGAATCCAACAGATATCATGAACACCCACCCTGAAATCGTCATGCTGAAACACAAAACAAATACTTTAATATCGTACAAAAGCTATAGTAAGAAACTATCGTCATTATAAAATTGCAACTTTTGACTTGACATGAAAAAATCAAGATAATATATTTTATAAAGAAGGGAATTCGATACTGATTTGGTGCAAGTACCTAAATTTAGTGGCTGCTTCTGTTTGGTAATAGAGAAAACAGAACTTTTGTAAAAACTAAAAAATCTAGTACGAATCTTAGAAATCAATAGTATACTTACTATCAGAAAAATCTTTAATTAATTAGTAGACAGAATATTGTATAATATCTTCGAGAAAATAAAATAAAGAAGTAGATGCAGATTGGACGAAGAAATAATGTTTTATTCGATTCCATATAGATAATTCCACAATTAAATGGTCATATAGATAAAAGTTAAATTCTACTACTTAAGAAGAAGACAAAAACTTTTACCAAAAAAAAAAAAAAGAAGAAGACAAAAACAAATGCCAAAAAAAACAAAAGAAGAAGATTGATAAAGAAGAAATGTGATGTGACCATAAATTATGTCTGTAGCGGAAGAAGTGTCAAATTTGTTCGCCATTAACTTAATTTTCATATCTACAAGTCTACAACCAAAATTTGCTTTGTACTCCCTACAAAAAGTTTGGTTCTATGTTTTTCATATCGAATAATAATAATACTAAAAGTTTTGTCGAATCATTACTAGAAAGACTAGAATAATTCATCAGAAAAGTCTATAATCATACATATTCACGTGGAGTTTCAAGATATAGAAAAAGTATTTTCTTACACCAATAACTACTAACTATGATAAAGCATAAAATAAAATACTATAGGTGGACGACAAATAATAAATTATAGTCTCTTTATCTTAGGAGGAAACTAAATTTTCTCTATCTATAAAATCTATATACTATTTCGCTATTTATAACTAGAATATGTAGAATTAAAATAGAAAACAAAACACTAGAAAATAGGTAAAACTAATTAGTACTACTATTTATTATTAGTCAAGAAGTCAAATTAATTTAGTAAACGAAATCAATAGTAAAATAATTTTCTAAAGGAAATAATCAATATAATTTGACTAAAATTAGGACTTACCAAATAGAGAGTGAATCGAGAGCAAGTTCAGGATTCTCGAGAAGTCCGGCGAGAAGAACGAGAATCTGAAAATACCAAGTCTCAAGGCAAAGCATCACGGCGGAGGCAGCAGAGAGTTTAAAAAAACTCCACAAACCCGAGAAAGCTTGAACACTAAAACCTCTCCACGTCTCACGACACCTCTCACTCGTAACAATATAAACAAACTGAGCCACAACAACAATCCACCACGACAAGCTAAGCACAAGCGACGCACCGAGAAGTCCCATACCAAGCTTGTAAACAGCAAGCCAACTTAAAAGAAGGTGAACAAAGAGTGTAGCCGTTGAGATATAAGCACTTGGAGCTACTATGCTTTGTGATTGGAGGAATTTTTGGATAGGAAAGTTCGCTGCGTAGGCAAAGATTTGAGGGATAAGACCGTATACGAAGAGCGATGCAGCGGAAGCGATTGCGGGAGATTCACCGAGGAAGAGGAGGATTGGTTCGGAGAAAACGTAGATTAAGGTAAGGAGGAGACCGGTGAGAGTTAGTAATACGGTTGATCTTTGGAGATAAACTCCAAGCATATCGTATTTTCGACCACCGTATGCTTGACCACATAGCGTCTCCACTGCACTCCCCATGCCTAGCTATAGAATTCGACAAAAAACTCGAATAAAACAAAACATAACATATACACAAAAATGGTATAAAACTTAACATTCATACAAAAAAGCCATCCGTTTCAAAATATAAGACGTTTTAGTTATAAGCACGCAAATTGAGTTTTTGATATTGTGGAGTTTTTGTTGTTACCATGAGACCATAAGCGAAGACTTGGATACCGGTGTTACCAAGAGAAGCGGCGGCGAGTTCTAGGTTACCGAGATGGCCGGAGAAGATTTGAGTAGACATGGACATGAGGTAGTTAATCATGTAGACGATGACGGCTGGTGCAGCGAGGTTAAAGAGAAGTTTTGATTCGATTATTGTGGCTTTACGTAGGCGGAGAAACAGAGGAGTTTCGACGTCGGAGAGGACGGTTTCTAGCTCTCCGTTGCTTGATTCCGTCGCCGGTGGAGATGGTTGAGGATGGAGAAGCGGTTGGTATACGCCGTCGTTTTGAGACGAGTCCATGATGGAGATTTGCTCTCTCTCTCTCTCTGTTTTTTTTTTGTTTGTTGTTTTGTTGTTGGTGTTATCGCTTGAGGATGTGTGTGTGGCTAGTGTTGTGTAAAGTGTAAATAGGTCTTTTCGAGGGTGGCCAGTGACGGCTAATGACAGTTACAAATTTTTATGTTAATCATTGTATCATTTCTATCGAGAGAGTCCACGTCTCTCATTAAAAAGGTTATAAAATTTCTTTCCTTCTTATTAATGTTAGTCAAAGATTTTTCAAAAATTTTTATGTATCACTTTATTGTAAAATTTATAGTAATATATTATTTTTAACTTTTTAATTTACGCGTATAGTTTTTTCTACCAGATATCATTTAAATATATGTGATTAGTTTAATATCAATGTTATCTAATTTATTATATACCACACATTTGCTCATGGATATAAGTTCAATAATCTACATATATAATATTTCCTCTGTCCCAATATATATAATGTTTTAAGCTTTCTTCATTTGATTCATTTTATAAGATTTTTTCAAATTTTTATATATAAAGAAATTATGCAGTATATTTTCAATTAGTTGAATTTTTGTAAATATATTTTTTTTGTTAGTCTACGTGCTTTTAGCCAAAACATCTAATAAAATAGAACAAAGGGAGTAGTGTCTTTTAATTTATGAAAACTAATTTGCTTAAACTCTAGAACAAAAAAGAAACAAAAATAATGTAGAAATTGTTTTCATACTGAAGACAAAGCTTGATTGGCAAGTGCTTTAGAGTCTTTACAAAGCAAAAAAATTTCTAAAGATTTGAAATACATCCAATCAAGCTTTAGAATCTTTGGCTTTCTTTTTTTTTCTCACAGCCAAAATATTTCCTTAATTCATTTTTTTGGCTGTAGAAAGCCTTTTTTCCTAAAGCACATAATTTTCAACTTTCCAAAATTTTAAATTCCACAGCCAAAATACTACAGCACTAAAATCTACAGCCACAGCAAATAAACGTACAGTCATATTTCTACAGCAAAAACTGTAAAGCTACAGCTGTTACCAATCAGGCCCAAAAAGAAATATTATGAAAAAGGAAAATTTTGTTCCATATAAAAGGAAACTGTTTATTAATAGTATCCTTTAAGAGAAATAATCTTTCAGATTAATCAAATTGGAAAAAAATATGTCATGGCCAAACACAGTCAAACATGCCAAAAACTCATTTTTTACAATGACCAACACAAAATTATAGTTTTACCGGGCCAGTTACACCCACCCCCTCTTTAAATTGTTGGTCCGCCACAAAAGTGGGTAGTTGTTAAAGCAATTCTACTAGGATATGTATTGTTAAAAAATTAGTACAAATATTTATTCTGGTTTTTAATTTTACTATAATATGTGGTATATTTTAATAATTGTCCCCAAGATATTTGCATATCGGTTAAAAAATTATTTATTTTTTATTTATTTTTAAACTAAAAATTATTTATTATTTAGTTAAACACGATTTAACAATAAAATAATCTGCAAAATATTAATAGTCACAAACAATAAAATATAATAAATTTTATATTAAATATCGAAAACATCATCTATTTTAAAATAATCCTACAATATCAAATAAAAAGAATGGAATAATTATTATTTATGGATACGATTCCAAATAAAATTGTTCACCGGTGTGGTTTATATGGTCTACATGCGAGTACACGTCTCTCTCATTCATCCATTCTTTCTCAGTCATTAATTCCAACCCAATGATATAGCTACGTTTAATATCCGTATTAAAAAGAAAATTTAAGTAACTTCAATGAATATAAATGCTTGCCAGTTGCCCCCATAATTCATTTCCCAAGAATGGGTTATTGTAGACAGAAAAAAAAAAGGTCTATAAAACGTTTTGTCGGAATACACATGGGCATGGCAACAAACAATTTCTCCAAGATCGGCTCCTTTTTGTGTAAAGGATACAAAGGTGAAAGGTGAACCAAAACCATAATATAACATCTGAACGGATATTCATAGTGATCAAAACCAAGCTTGCAAAACTTTAATACTATAGTTTTTAGAATTAAATGTATTAGTGGAAATGGTAGACCCAACTAGTACAGCATTTGATGAAATTAGTTGGCTAAAACTAATAAATCCCAACCAACAAAGTAGCAACGTTTTTATCAGTAATAGTTGTAACTTGTATTTATGTTCTTTGCAGTATAAAAGAGAAAAATGCCAGGTTACTTATTTTTCTTCAAAATTTAGGAGAGAAAAGAACCTAGTTACCAAATGTTGACACAAAATTATGATTAGTAAGCCGCAACAGTCTCGCCTCGCTGTCAAATTCAAAACTAAGGAATTGGCTTTTGATCTCCAGTGACGACGAAACGAGGATTTAGAAGTACTGAAAAGCCAGTCGCAAATTTTTATAGGACCGGTTCAACCGTAATTCCGGTCTGGTTTTATTTGGTTCTGGGGCTCTGCCCTTTAATTTTATTTTAAGCTTGATTCCAGAAGCAGACGAATTTTAACCGAGTTTTATAGGCTTGATCTCATCTTCTAAGAAACTGCACCGGTTTACTGTTGTACCGGTGGTCTAAAGGTTGTTTTCTCAAGTCATCAAAGAAGCAGAACGAATGGTTTAAATAACATATTTTAAGAAAAAAAAGACAAAAGAAATAAACCAAATCGAAAAGAAAGCTTACTTATTGAAAATGTCTGAGTTATGATACAATGAGAATGAATCACAGTTCACTCCCATCCCCATCAGAATTTGAATGCCTTTCTCTTTGTAGATTGCAGTGAATCACTTCACTGCTGCGTAGGTTAGACTTTAAGTGGGGTGATCAACTAACTTGCTCTAGTGTGATGACGTGGATATCTCCACGCGGATCCTGTTTCTAGTGTGCGGGATCCGACCCAACATATATGAATAAATGTTAATATTTTTTCAAAACTGTTTTTTTTTTTGTTTCCAATGTTTTAATATGTGTATTAATTTAAATATTTTATGAAAATCAATAATGCATAAAATAATCTATACTATTAAAGGGGAAGCATTTTTAAATAGCAGACATAAAAAGACATTTATTTACATGTAATGCCATTATATTAAAATTTTTGAAAAGCAAAATAAATATGAGATCATAGGGCAAATCAGTCATAAAAATTAGGAAAAAAGGTTGCTAGCTACATCAACTTCAGAGGAATGCATGACCACACATGCCAACTTGAACAATATTACGAAAACTACATCAATTTATGACAAATCATGGCCACATATACCAACTTAGGGCGGACATGTCATCAACACCATAACCATACAATTCCGGTACACCGAGTGATTGACTCCGGCAATGACCGGCGTTGACTCTCAAAAGTTGGTGTAGTTTTCATCATATTGTTCAAGTTCGTGTAGTTTCCATCATATTTTTCAAGTTGGCATATTTAACTATGCATTTTGCTGGAATTGGTGTAGGTAGCCATTTTTTCAGAAAATTAGAGATTAATCTCTACTAGAAGATTATATTGAAACACCATTTGTTGAATTAGAAGATTAAATGTTATACAATTTACCAATAATAGAAAACTTGGAATATGATGGTTTGTGAGATGTGTGTGTTAATATTTATAGGGAATTTTTTGTAATAAAAGCATAATATTATACCAAACATATAATTCAAAATAGATGTCAATAGGGAGAGTCAACTGCAAGCAAAATACTAAACGTTAAAACAATAATGCAACATAATAGTAAATTTTTATTAGATAGACATGTAAAAGTATTCTAAATTAATAAAAGATTGTACATGTTGGTCTAGTAGCAGAAAGTCTAGGCTAAAAATTTTCCCATTTTGATGGAAAGATTTAGCTTGCCATTTGCGTAGGAGTCGACCACATATAGACTGAGATTGCCGACCTATTTCAAGCTCTTTGAATGGAGTAATGGCCATTTGGTTTAGTGGGATTGTTACGTGAAGGTAGGGAGAGGAGTTGCCTTTTTTTTTTGGTACGTTGCAAATAAAGAAATGGAGTCTTATATAGGAGGTGAATGATTTAAGTAAGAATATAGAACTATCATAAAATAAATTTCAATGTAGAATATAGCTGTTGTATAAGACGTTTCACTTTCAATTATCATGATGATGACGACCATGAATTCCATATTTGGAGTCATGGACTTTTCCTTATACAAACGTAACCCTAAATTAATGCTATAATTATTTGGAGTCTTTGACTTTTCCTTATACAAACGTAATCCCTATATTAATGCAATATTAATGCAATAAATATTTGTTTTATCGACCTTACATTTACCCTTTCTTTGTAATATATAGATCGCTCTCGCTTTAGCAAACGAAACCCTCGTAGGCTCGAACCTAGAAAATGGCTAAGGCTAACCCTAAAGTTTTCTTCGATTTGACCGTCGGCGGGGAACCGGCAGGTCGGATCGTGATGGAGCTCTACGCCGACAAGACCCCGAAGACGGCGGAGAACTTCCGGGCTCTCTGTACCGGCGAGAAAGGCATGGGGAAATGTGGTAAGCCACTCCACTACAAGGGATCAATCATCGACGATATTGTGGTAGGTTCCATGTGGGGTGGAGGAGATTTCATTTACGGCAACGCAGATGGAAGCGAATCGATCTACGGCGGTTTATTCGAGGACGAGAACTTTTATTTGAAGCACGACCGTCCAGGTGTCCTCTCGATGGCCAACCGTGGTCCAGACACCAACGGATCTCAATTCCAGATCGTCTTGAAAAAGTTCCCGTTTATCGACGGTTTGCACGTCGTGTTCGGACAAGTCGTTGAAGGATTGGACGTGATCAATAGCATTGGTCCAAAGGTCAAAACTCAAAGCGGGAAGCCTTCCCAGCCCGTGGTGATCGCTGACTGCGGTCAGCTTTGAGAGATTTTATGCCTACAGTGGTGGCTTGGCTTGTCTTATCTTGTTTTAGTGTTTTTGTTATTTCGTTTGGTTGTTACCTTTAAAGTTAGTATTTGTTGTCACCACTGAATAATTGATAATTTGCTACTTACTACTATAATAAAAATTTTAAGTGTTTTTGGAGCATGTTCTTATTAAGTGTTCTTGTGAATTTAGTGAGTGGATAAATAAAACAGCTTTTGGACAATATTTTCACTAACCTTTCGAGCTTGTTCCATTCATTTAGTGCATCTACTTTTGACATATCGATAGGTCCAAACGGATCATAGAATGACAGAGACTTTATACTCTTTTTCTTATCACGGGGGACAGATAAAAGTTTTTGAGATGGCCCCAATCCAAGTTCCATTCTGTCATTTTCCAGCTGAGCACGTAACATAGCATTGAACTCCTCAAACTTAGCCTCGACCAACCGCATTTTTCTGGTCTTGAAGTTCTTTTCCAATGATGGAGTCGGTGACACAAGTTGCACAAAATCATCATTATTCTCCACAGGTGGAGCTGACGACACTGATGGCAAAAAATCATTACTATTCTCCACAGGTGGAGCTGACGACACTGATTGAAGAGAATCATTATTCTTCTCTAATGGTGAAGTTCTCGACAAAGCCTGAACCAAATCAGCATTCTTTTCTAATAATGAAGTCGTTGCCAAAATAGTCTGAACAAAACCATCCTTTTTATCAAGAGATGGAACCGACACGGATGGAACAAGATCACCCTTATTCTCTAATGGTAGGTTCTCCGACAAAGTCTGAACAAAATCACCTTTATTCTCTAGTGGTGGACTCCCCAAACTAGTCTGAACAAAGGCAGTCTTCTTCTCTAGAGATGGAATCGACATGGATTGAACAGAGTCACCCTTATTCTCTAATGGCGGACTCCTCGAAAAAGTGTGAACAACATCAGCCTTCTCATCCAATGGTGAAGTAGCCAACACAGTCTGAACAAAATCAACCTTCTTTTCTAAAGATGGAATTGCCAACGTAGTTTGCACATAATCATCCTTTTTCTCTTCACCATTTTTATTACCACCACTACCCATGTTATCTAAATGATGCAAATTATTCACTTTAACCGAAATCTGAGGAATATTCTCTTCAAACTCATCTCGCAAATCATATTTTATTTTCTGCAAAATAATGACGAGAGAAACTTTTAACATAGTTACCATGAGTAATATAAATGCATCACATATCTCATATTATACATTCCTGTGTCATCAATTACCCTAGTTACATTAATACATTTTACAATCCATCTAATTTTAAATATTAAACTAGTAAGTTTAAGGGTATATTTAAGCAATACATGATTAGACAACATAGCATACGTAGATAAACACAACAAAGCAAAATCAGAAAACCATAATTAATTCTTCTTTTTACCGACCTTGGTACATTTGCGGACTATGATTGGAGATGAAGCCGTTGACAATGTCTGATTTTTTCCACTATGAAGTTCACTTTGTTGCATTGTCTTGACTTGCTTCTGTAGTTCACTTATCTTGGTGTCGACACTTTTTAACTTTTATTTTCAGTCCATCAAAACCATCAGAGATGGCTTTATGAAGCCCTTTAATGCATGAATCAAGATATGATCGAGTTACTAACTCCTCGTTTTCAGTCATCTCTTCCTCGTTAAGAACTCTACACATCTTTCTTCTCTTCCGCCTCTTTTCTGGGATAAGTATCTCCTTACGTGGTGGTCCTTGTTTCAAACCATGACCAACACAAATGCTCGTTTCAAATTTCGTTGTGCAAAATAAGCCACCAATGAGATTACTCACCAATGGGTCTTGGATCTCATCCTTCCATTGGGGTGCCAAAATACTTAATGGATTCTCGTCTACAAGAAAAGCATTGACCTTTACCTACAACATAAGATATGTTATTAATATTATACAAAAAGTTAATATAAAAACACATATAAAGATCAATAAAAATGATATTAAAATTGTACCTCGTCCGTACTCTGTTCGAGACTAAAATAGTCAATTCTTGCTCTAGATCCCTTCCACTTTAATATAGATGAACCATCTATTGCATTTTCTGCATGAGCTTTAACTTTCTTGGCAATCATCGGAACAGCCTCATACCCCCATATTTGGAGAACTTGGACAAAACCATCCATGGCATAAGATGGCTGACACAAATCGTCTTTTACCACATGAACTGAATCAATAAGAATCTTAAAAGCAGTCCTACCCCATGGATACTTCTCAAACCTATGAATATTTCTAACCAATTCTATGGTTTTCCTAGGTAAAGGAGTTCCTTTATGACGAGCCAACAAAACTCCAGCCAATATCATCAGATATGCTAGCCTAATCCGGTCATCGTCACTCCATCCACTACAGTCCAAAGCCATTTCTTCTAAATTCTGTAAAGATGGATAATTTTTGGACTTTAACATCTTAGTCCACCTGCTCGGAACTTCTTCATTATCTTCCACATGATCAGTGGGATAATGCTCACATGAAAGTCCAGTTATAAATCCAAACTCCTTTAGCGAAAAGCGTATTGGTTGCCCAGCAAAAAGAGACCACAACTCATATTTTCTGTTTGTTACTAGCTGGTTTGCAAGAAGAAAATGAACAAGGGTACCTGACCAAACGAATTTATTGTCCTTTGCTAGCCGATATAAATCCCCAAAAGGAGAATGTAATCTAACTCCTTTTTAAAATGCCTATCCCACTTTTCATCAAAGAGACTGAGACGAGATTTATAGTTGATATGAGACTCAAGTGTCTGGTTCAAAGAGTTTTTTTGGTAAACTGAAAGAATCTTCATTAGTGGTAGACATCTCCAACTAATCCTGCATTATACCAAAATCAAACATATTAATAAGAGTAATCTATGTAATTGGACTACATAATTGGGTAAGAAAGAAATAGAACTATGGTTACTGAAACCATATTAAAGAACAAGATTAAAGAAAATGTTCTACAACACATTTTTTGGTTCCCACTTTGCTTTTGTTCTCTGTATCGGATAAAAAAAGAAGAAGACACTACAATTTTGACTCTGTCCAAATTTTTGTTTGGTAGTAGATAATTATATTTTAAACTGATCATATCACCAAACAAACTTTATAATTTCACACTTAACTACTAAGACTTTATCTACAATTAGTAGCAACACGAGGTAAGTCCTTATTTATTTCGTGTTTCTAACATTTGCGTTGTTCCCTTTACAATCTTATACTACTAATAAAATTACCAGGAGTCGAATTGCTCTGTATTGTTGGTTCGACTTAGTCTGTTAGTGGCAGTGAATCACATGAATCTGAGACAATGAAATTCGCCGGAGAAAGAAGGAGGAATCGAATCAGACATAACCGTTAGATGCAATTAGAGGTAGAACAAAGTGAAATTACAATTTTTGGGATGGGAAAGTGAATGGCGAAAGTTAGGGTTCATGAAAGGAACTGAGATTTAAGGGGGATTATGAAGATTGCTAGAGGAGTAAAATGTGAGAGAGAGATAGCAAAAACAGTTTATGAAGATGATCGAGGGATTTTATTTCTTTGTTATTTTTTAACTTTCTTTATTTGCGTTTTGACAATGATAGAGAGTTAAAAAAAATAGAAAACTATCTCGCAGAGGGCGATTAGAAAGACGATCGCAACTTTACACAAGTAACCGCCGCCGTTAGACATTTTCTCCGGCCGGCGCTGGACTTTTCGGCGTCGGTCGGGTTCCTTTCTATTTATTTAGTTTTGTTCTACTTTCTGTCTCTGTTTCTTTCGATGGGCGACACTTTCTTCCACCGGTATCTCTTCCGATCTATGGTTTTCCTTCGGATGGTGACTTTATCCGTGTTCGTGCTTACACCGGCGACAAACATTCACCACTTTCATGTCAAGTGGATATCAGATCCGAAGGCAGAAGCGAACCCGTCTCATGGGACGGTAATACCTCTGGTCGATGAAAAAGGAACCGTTTTGCGGGAGTCTCAAGTCTATATACCATGTCTCATCCGGTCCTCCGTGGTGAAGGTCTTTTCCGGCGAAGTCGCCGAGGCATATCCGGTATGTATTACCGAGTTTTTATCGAAACTAACATATTTTGTTAGTTTTATGGTAGTCTCCGAAGACCACTGTTTCGTGGCTTTTCGATGGTTGATACAAATCTCTTTGGATTTGTTAATGAGACAACGACCACCACGAAAACCGCCATGGAATCAACCCACAACGGAGGATGGAGATGCGATTATGATGCGAATCAGAAGATCAGATCAACAACAAGTATGGGTTTACGCTACAATCACAAAACTTCATATCTCTTTCTTCAGGAGAGTTCCCAAATCTAGGGTCTTGCGATGTAACGGATGGATCGCAGACTTTGACTTTCGAAAGCGTAAATTAAAAGATGGTGCATCGATAAAAAGAAGATGTTTCCCAAGCTAGAGAGTCACACAAGATTGACGGATACGACGAAAGCAACTAAGCATATCATTCGGATTGCGGCGCTTGAACTTTTTTGCTTTTTCGTTACAAATCTATTTGATTGTGTTCATACCCTTATGTTTTAACAATGTAATCTTTGGTTCACATTAATAAAGTTATGATTTGATGTTAAAAAAAAAAGAGAGTTAAAAAAAATAAACTCCCAGTTTTTATTATTGTAGTTGAATTAAAAAAAAAAAACCACTTCTTCAAATTTCAAAAGGAGTTTCTTGACTTTTTATTGAGAAAAAACCTAGTTTTTTAATTCTAAAAGATTTGGTATATTTTTTAAATTTTACTACTCCCTCTGTATTTGAAAAAATGTCGTTTCAACTGTTTTTGGGTGAATTAAGAAAGGACACAGAATTACAAAACTAACCTTATGAGAAACGATTATTTACAATTATATTTTATGAAAATCAATTTTTTCTTTTTTAAAAAAACCTCTTCTTCTCTTACGGACAAGAGGAGAAAAGCTTAGCATCTCTCTTCTTCTGTAACTCATCCCACACCTCTTCTTCTCTTCTCCCGAATCTCTCTAACAATAATGAATCGCGTTACTGAAAGCATTGCGTCTACGGCGATTCTGGTGGCGATGGTGTTTCTCTTGTCGTGGATATCTATTGACGCCGCGAATGTATCCTACGACCACCGTTCTCTCACCATCGGCAATCGCCGTCAGCTCATTATCTCCGCCGCCATTCACTATCCGCCATTCTTCCTACCTTTGCTTGATTTTCTTTGATTTCGTTTTGCTTGTTTCTACCAGATTCGGTGGAAAATCGCTTCGATCTATGCTCTCTTTCGTTTATATGGGACGCCATTCCAGGTTACCTAAAATCTTCTATTTGGTTGCTTCTTCTTCTATGGCCGTGGCTAAATCTCCGTCGTTAGTGACTTCTTCTTCCTTTTCTCTTTCTTTTAGTCTTTCATTTTCCGTTAAAGTTGGAAGCTTTTTTGGATTTGTGCTTTATGCTCACATTGAATCGAATAAAGTTTCGAGCTTGTGACATTTCTTTCAGAGGGAGATTATAGAATCAGTCTCTAAGAGACATTTAAAATCATGGGAAATGATTTGGGAATTTCTAAATTTCTTCCATTTTCATCCTCTAGTGATCAAAGTGTATTTTCCTTCCTGGGGATAAATGATTATGTTCTTTAGTTATGGGTTTGGGTTCGATTGATGATTTAGGCCTCTGTTCTTACATGGTGCTTTATGCTCAATGTCATCCTCAAATTGATTTTTGTTGCAGATGTGGCCATCACTTGTTCAAACAGCAAAAGAAGGAGGCTGCAATGCAATCGAGTCCTATGTGTTTTGGAATGGCCACGAGCCATCTCCTGGAAAGGTTTAAATTTCAACGAGTCTGCACTGGTTGAAATCTCCCACATGTTTGTTGAAACATTGCTGAATACTCATGTTGTTGGCTTGTAGTATTATTTTGGTGGCCGGTATAATATAGTGAAGTTCATCAAGATTGTTCAGCAAGCTGGAATGCATATGATTCTACGAATTGGTCCCTTTGTTGCGGCGGAGTGGAATTACGGGTAATGCCCTTTCTATACATTCCCTCCTTTGTCACTAAATAGTGCCCCATTTGTAGTTTTTCTAATTGAATCTTGTGGTTATAGGGGAGTCCCGGTTTGGCTGCATTACGTGCCTGGAACAGTCTTCAGGGCGGATAATGAGCTATGGAAGGTTAGACAGGAAAATATTGCAGAATTTGTTTTTTTTTTCTCTGCACCTGAAACTTCATTTGCTCTCTGTATTTTTTTGTTTTAGCATTACATGGAGAGTTTCACGACGTATATAGTAAACCTGTTGAAAAAAGAGAAGCTTTTCGCACCACAGGGCGGTCCAATAATCTTGTCTCAGGCAAGACAAATGACAACATATAAAATTTCAGCATCGTTTTGTTTCTTTTTAGAATGTTTTTCTTGATATTGTGATTCATTAGGTGGAAAACGAGTACGGGTATTAGATGTATAATCATGAAGAAGATAAAGAAGAGGTTAAGGTGGTTCATAAAACTTCTGAAGTCCAAACAAAAGAGTATGAAAAGGCTGCAAAGCGCCTGGCAGCACCATGAAACATTGATACTCTTCTTGCTGAGGTTAGATTCTAAAACAGATTTTCATTGGTTTTCAAAATTAAATTTCAATAATGGATTAATGGATTAATCACGTTTTTTTGACTAAAAATACTTGGAGGGAAACAAAAAAATTACCAATTCAGATGGAGGCAAATATAAAAATTGAAAACACGTTTTTAATCCTCTAATACTATACTCTTCCATTAACAAGAACATTTTCAACCTCTTCCATGGCTAGAGTTGATTTTAACCTTTCACCTACTAACAATGAACTCCATTCTTTTGATTTGAATATCATTCCAGGAATTAGTGAAGATAATGATTCTGAATATGGAGGTCTGAGAAACGAAGGTGCCTCTGTTTTTGCGGCGGAGGAACCAAATCCCGAAAGTGAAGATCTAGATGTAAATGTTGAAGAAGACCATGATACGGAAGACCCTTTTGTTGGAGAAGAAGGTATTTATGCTCTTCAACTAGATGTATTTTCATACTGTAATTGTACTTCATTACGCTTGTGATTGACATTTTAATACAGTTCTTGATTTGTGTTTTCTCAATGTCAATGTGTAGCAGGTCAAAACGAGAATGGAGGCAATCCAAATCAATTCAATGGAGATCAAGGTATGTACCTTTAACATGGAACATAGACTTAGTATTTTTGCTACAGAATTCATGAATTTTTCAGCTTGTATCTATTTGTTTGATTGCCTAGAATCATGTGTGAAAGTGAACTGCGATAGATGATTGAGTAATCTCCTCTTACACTTGATAATAAGGTTTATGCTTAGCTTATTTTAATGGTAGAGAATCTTAAACACAAATCAGTTTGTCAGACTTCACATTTGTTCCTCAGGTTCTAATAGACTTTTTCTCCGCATTTGTTTAGGCTCTACAAGTAAAAAAAACTGCACTAATCGTCAAAGATGGGAAGTATATATTGCTTTGCTTGGAAGGAGTGTTAGAGGGAAATTAGGTAAAACAGCTATTAAAGAAGTAGCGACTTTGCATTCTATGCATATTAGAACGGTTCAGCGAATTTGGAAACGAGCTAAGGATACTCCACCTGGTGCAATGGTTGATGTTTCTCAACGAAGGAAGAACAGATGTGGTCGCAAAAGGATGCAGATAGACCTCCAACGTGTTTTGGACACTCCTCTACATAAGAGGACAACTCTGAGAACGATGGCTGAAGCTATAGGAATTAGTCACTCAACTCTGTATAAGAATGTGAAAGAAGGTTTAATGAGGCGGCATTCTAATGCTCTCAAACCACATCTGAAAGAAGAGAACAAAGTGGCAAGGCTAAGGTTTTGTATGACTATGTTGGACCCTGCAAGTTTGAGTCATGAACCACAGTTTATTGATATGTACAACATTGTACATATTGATGAAAAGTGGTTCTATATGACCAAGAGAACCGAGAACTATTACCTCCTACCTGAAGAAGATGATCCTTTAAGGACATGTCAAAGCAAGAATTTTATTGGGAAAGTCATGGTGCTGGTTGCAATGGCTAGGCCAAGGTTCAATGCTGAAGGAGTTGAAACTTTCTCTGGAAAGATAGGTGTGTTTCCTTTCGTCACAGTTCAGCCTGCACAAAGGAGGAGTAGAAATAGAGAAGCTGGAACACTGGAGATCAAACCAGTTACCTCAGTCAAGAGAGAGCATGTAAGAAAAATGTTGCTGGAAGATGTTATACCTAAGATTCGTGAGAAGTGGCCTCTTGAAGATGATGGAAAAATAATCTACATTCAACAGGATAATGCTAGAACTCATGTGGCTCCTACTGATACAGATTTTCAAGAACAGGCTTCGCAGAACGGATTTGATATCAGACTGATGTGTCAACCTCCTAATTCACCGGATATGAATGTTTTGGACCTTGGTTTCTTTAGTGCAATACAAGCACTACAACATAAGGTTTGTCCTAAAAGCATTGAACAGCTTATAGATGCAGTCAAAACAGCTTTTGAAGAGTATCCAGCTAGGAAGATAAACCACATCTTCTTAACTTTGCAACTCTGCATGCAAGAGACAATGAGGATTGGAGGATCTAATAATTACAAGATTCCACACATAAAGAAAGAAGCCCTGGAACGTGAGGGTCTGCTTCCGAGACAAATCAAATGTGATCTTACCATTGTAAACAATGTGTTAAATCAATTAAGAGATTAAGGTTAGCTATAGGTTTTGTAGCTATTTCAGTATTTTCTCTCTTTAGTCAAAACTCACTTGTGTTTAATCCTAGTTACTAAAGCATTGAGTTGTTTGTGTATTGCAGAAAGAAGAAGAGGAGAAGAAGAGAGAAAAGATGGCTAAGGTACGTCTTTTCAATTGTATAAGAGTAGTTTAAGAATGCTGTGGCAGATTCTTCTTTTTCTTTTTCAGACTCTGTTTCGTCTTCTTGAGTCGCCAAGTTAGGCTCAACTTTTCCTTTCTCTAATGTCTGCTTAATAGCATCATCATAAGACATATCATACCACACGTTGCCTTTCCCAACAATGGATTTGTTGTGTGCATCCTTCATTCTCTCTTGTGTGCTAATCTATGAGTTCTGATATACTGATATAGTGGAGAAATAGAAACGGTACTAAAATCTAGAAACAATTTTATTGATGATCGAAAAAAGAAAAAAGGAGAAATAGAAACGAGACTAGTCTGAGACAGATTTTTTCCTAGATACATGATGTGGTTCCATCGATGGACAATAAATTTTAAGAATCTGATATAACCATGAGGAATCCTCGATCTCGTTAGCATGATGTGGTTCTTCTTCTTCATTGTTTGGTATCTTCTCTTCGAAATCATGAACAGATTTGGGATTGACTTCAGGTTCAATTTTGATTTCCTTGTTCACTTCTAGGTCATCTTCCATGGGGAGTTTGTTGAGGTCGAAAGCATATTCCATGGGGAGTTCGTTGAGGTCGAAAGCATGCACCACTTTGATGATTTTATTTGTTTCATCTTGTTCTGCTTTTAGGGTTTTTTCTGTGTGATTTTCCATTTTTTGTTTGCTTTGAACAACAGAGACAATATTTATAATTCTACGTGTTGAATGTTTTTCTGGAATTTTTATTTTACAAACGATTCGTATCTGTAGTTTTGGTAATTTAGACTGATTAATTATGATCAATTAATTGGGGGTAATTTAGGAAATTTTATGCAAAAGTTGTTAAAATGACAACTAATTAAAAACACAGAAAAAAGGCTAGAACGACATTTATTCAAATACGGAGGGAGTATAATTTTTGGTATATTTTAATAATTGTCCCATATTGATTCCACTTACACTCGTATTTGTTGTTAAATTGTTAGTGATAAATAGCTGAGTCATTACAATGCAGAGGAAATATATTTAATTTTTATCAAAAAAAAAGAAAGAAAAGAAAGATATTTATATTATTTTAGAAATATTATATTGTCACCCAAGCAACCGTGAAAAGACAAAACGTACACATGATAAAAAAACGATCCACTTATGTGATTGATTATATTATATAGTTTACATAATTATAAACCGTGTTGTGTGACAGAACATCTAAGATAATAATTACGACACCAATAAAAATAAAAATTCAGAACTCACTTACTCATTGCAAATGCTCCGGCGCATAAATCGCTTCTCTCATGTGCTCTCTCTCTCTTCTTCTCAATTGTATATATACTCACACAACCATCTCATCTTTATCTTATATTATAAACATTGACATATATCAATGGGGAATTGTCTGCGACACGACAATGCCGTTGCCGGAAACGAGAAAGACGATCTCGAGCCCGAGCCGCTGGTTAAGTTATTGGAAGAAAGCAAAACGAGTTACAATGGTGAAGAAGAAAGTGAAAGATCAACGGAAGAAGAATCTAAGGTGATAAGGATTAAAGTTGTGGTGACAAAAAAAGAACTTAGACAAATCTTGGGTCACAAGAATGGTATCAACTCCATTCAACAGTTGGTTCATGTTCTCAAAGATAGTGGCAGAAACATCTCCAGGGCTAATTATGAAGAAGATGAGAAAGAAGAAGGTAATGAAAATTGGAGGCCTTCGTTAGAAAGCATTCCTGAGAGTCATTATTGATATTTAATCATATATTTTTAACTAATTATCCATCTACAGTACCTTTTGACCTTTTCCAAGATGACTGTTTGTTTTGTTGTCTATGTTTGCTCCTTTTTAACCAATGTTATCTCATTAACATTGGTGTTTTTTTTTTTCTTGTTTGTTTTCCCCATCATGTTTGGTGCTTTGTGTTTTTGTTAGAGCACTAATCAACTATTATATGTCATTATGTGTCTTGTTATATTAGCCATAAATAAATTACTTGTGGCATTTCTTAAATGTTATATGAAGTTGTATTTTTTCAACAACATGTATTAAGCAGATTTGAACTCGAATGATGTCTATCACAAAACTATTAGATTCAAATGTTAAAGTGTCTTTTTACCAGTCGATTCGAAACCAAATGAAACGATATCATAGAACCAAAACGATATCACAGAACCAAAACGATATCACACTCCTTAGACGCTAGTGATACCACCTATTTTAAATAAGAGCTTCACCAATCAAGCAAGTTTTATCCATAGGCTCTCATAAGTCATATCCACTTAACCTTAAAAAGAAACAAGCATATAAAACTATGCGAGAAAACTGTAAGGCCCAATTTTTGCATGCAGGCGAAATGGGCTGTTTCAGTGGGCGCATATAGCTCATATAGTCTCTTAGCGACTTGAATTGACCAAAGTTTTTTTTTTTTCTTTTCTTCAACAACCATTTTGGTTTTATCTTAGAACCATTTTGATTTTTCTTTCTTTCTTTAATATAACAACATTAGAGCGGAAAATCTGAGATTAGACTTAAAACTTGTTCAAGATAATAATATATAGTAAAAAATAAGCATATCAAATATTTGTATGTAAGCTTATGTAAGTTGGATCTGGAAAAGCTTATGTAAGCTAAGATCTTTAGCTCGGCCTTTTATTGTGAGTGAGATTGGTTCAGGTATTACTTGCAACTTTTGGAGTGATAATTGGATTTCTTTGGGTCCTCTGTTGGAGCTTACGGGTGATAGCGGCCCTAGAGTCACTGGTTTGCCTTTAACTGCGGTGGTTGCGGACGCTTTAAGGGAAGGCCAATGGCAGTTCACTATTTCTCGTTCTAGAAGCCCAATCATACAACTGCTCAGGGACTGCCTTCCCCCTTCCTCTATTGTTAATTTGCAGGATGATGCTAGAGATGATATTTATCTTTGGAAAATTGGTGACACCCAACCAACAAATGTTTTTTCTACTGCAAAAACTTGGGCTCATCTTCATCCTCCTGGAATCTCAGTGGATTGGCATGATTCTGTTTGGTTTAAAGGGAGGATCCCTAAACATGCATTTATTGCTTGGCTCATCTCAAGACACAGACTTCTCACTCGGGACAGGCTGATCCGTTGGCGTTTTAACGTCCCTCCAACTTGTCTTCTCTGCAATTTGTTACATGAATCTAGACAACATCTTTTTTTTGATTGCTCCTTTGCTGCGGAAGTATGGAGTTATTTCTGTGATAAGGCCCATGTTTCTCTTCCAAATTTGTTTGAGGATGGAGTTAGATGGATTAAGAATCCTTGTCGTGACAAGAATACCGCGCTAATTCTTCGTCTTGCCTTCCAAGCTTCAATGTACTACATATGGAAAGAGCGTAACTCAAGACTACACATTTCCTCTTCAAAACCTGCCTCTGCCCTTATTCTTGAGATAAAAAGCATCCTTCGGTGTCATCTCGATCCTCTTTCTAGAGCACAGCGAATCATTCCACCGGCTCCTTCTCTTTTAGTCACTTGGTTTGGGGTTTTCCAATAGAAGATTGTAATCTTTTCTTCTTTTGTAGGTTCTTCCCCTGTTGGGCTCTCTGTATCTTTGGTTTCGTTTATTATAATATAAAAGGTATGTGTTGAAAAAAAAAAAAAAAAAAAAAATATTTGTATGTAACTACGCATCTATAATCTGTATCGTATGTATGATTTCTGTATAAAACGTTTGTACTTGAATGCATTTTTAGAGACAATAGATACATGGATGATGGATCGAAATTTCCGTAAGAATATTAACGTGTCAATATTATATTCTAAACTTATCTCAATTCGAACACATATATACATATCTATTATAGTATATGATTGAAACAGGAGTTTCACGTTGCATGCCAGGACAAGCTCAACTACAAAGAGTTGTGGTCGGCAAAAGCTTAGAGATTGCGTGAACAAATTGTCTAATACGAAATAATCACTGATAGAGATTTTTATTCAAGCTTTATTTAAATTATTTATTTTGAACCATAACTCGATATATATTAGGTTAGAATTGTTGACAGGTACGATTTGCATCTAGTAACCGATGCAATGCACATGTACGTTTAGACAAAATAAATAGACAGTCAAAATTGTAGGTATGGGATTAGAAAGATAATACATATATGCCAATATTTCAAGGTTAAGAAAATATGAATACGTTAAGTCATTAAAGTAGTCGTTAAAGTGAAATGTGAATGGCTATAACGATATGAAGAGTTTGATATTATTACCTTTTCAATGGAAAGTAAGTCGGTGGCTTAATTTTTGTTTCTATTCTATGATTGGAAAATCTTTATATGTAGTTGCCACTGGTTTTCGCTGAAATTTATTTGTATTTTGAGATAATTTATTACATTTTGTAAGAAAGCTGACATGTTTATATTGAGCGACTGTATCTAGAAGGAGTCTGGAGTCAGCAATGTTTATCGTGAGAAACCAAGCAAGATTTTTGTATATTCTTAGCAAAAAAAAAAAAAAATTGTATATTGATGTATAACCGAATTCACCATGCATGGAGATAAAAAAGGGTGGGGCATATGTCGTCATATGTGGTACTAATATATCATTCAAGATTTTCTTATCGTCGCATTATTGTGGCCTTGTTATTTTCTTATGGAATGACATGTGACACATCCAAAGTTGGCATAGATTCCCCAAAACAATCATACTTTTGGCCTGTTTGGTTTTTATCTCAAGTTGATGATGAAATGACTCCGATTCTATTTTATTATACAGTAAAAACCAACTTTATCTAAAATGCCATATTACCGCATTTGTTTTGTTTTTTCTTGGAATAGTTTAAAGTGTTTTGTTAGTATGTAAATTTGGTTTGTTGTCGTTTTCCGTCTAGAGCATGGATCAACTGATCCCAGCCATTTTGATGTGATTTACAAACAAATCTTATTTTGAGTGCCAATATTTTGTAAACCTTGTTTAATCTTATGTAGATTATCTAAAACTTTTCATACTTTTTTTTTTTTTTTTAATAACTCAGGGTAAATCCTTAAGCCTATAGAGGGCCTAGGACTAATAATTCTTGTGGACATGGTGTTTCACGGATAGAGTTCTCTTATATCATACGTTTTCTTGGTGCGATGACATATATTAAACCATACATAATTTGTATGATTGAATTCAGGTTGGATAGACTCAAATAATCAAAATTTTGTTCGGATTTTACTACGCCGTGGAGATTCATGAGTTTTCAACTCAAATCGATTGGATTGATATTTCGATTGGATTGATATTAGATTATATTTTATCATATAACTGATATGAAATTTTCAACGAACATTATTTTGGGACAAAATCCCAACAAACATATCATATATTTTTTTCACAAAGAAAATAGAAGAATCTTTAGTATATCCTTTAAAGTTAACATACAAATCTGATTCTATATATAATACGACTACGTACGTGTTGAATTGGCTATGGTTGGGCAATGTGAGTAGTGGGATTGTCCCACACAAGCTTAATAATTGCACCCTAAAATATATAATAAATCTTGATTAGAATCACTAAAACTCTTTTCCAAAAGGTTGGAGAAAATACCTCTTGTTCGGGAAGACTAAACACTAAAGTTATCTTAATTACTTGACCAACCCAACAAAACTAGAATCGGATACCAAATTACTAAAAAAAGAGTACAATAGTTTTAGGTTCCAAAATCTATAAGAACAAATAAACAATTTTACCAAAAAAAAAAAAATTGAACAAACAATTTATTGTATCCAATGTTATGTCAGTGACAGTATAGTTCATTCACTTAATTGAACAAATATTTGTTTTTTACTCTACTTTTATTCTTTTCTTTTTTTTTGGGCAAACTAAAACAAATTTCCATTGTTTTTATCTGATTGGTGTGCAAAAAGATGAACCCACTCTATTTGTTTATTCTAACTTTAAACACACACTCTTGGTTTCTAGAATATAATTCAGCTTGAAAATTAACTATAGAAACAAATGTCCTATTTTAATATGATTTAATTTATAACAATTATATAGTAGGGCCGATGCTAACGTTCGTGAATAGAGAATCCTAGTGTGATGATGAAAATATAATCATGACGTTTACAAAGAGAGAATGCAACTTGTAGTAGTAGAAGAACCTTAAACCGCAACTTTACCTCACCATTGGAGGAAGATTTCTATATTGAACTTTTACTTTTTAATGTATTTGCTGCTTTCTTGACTTAATATTGCTAACATCATTTAGAGGGATCAATTCATCAACATGTAGAGCTTTTTAATCGGTGGATCTCTCTAAATAAATATCTTCCTCCATTTTAGGGACTTTTTTACATGTCAATTCACCTTTATTTAGAGTCACTTTCGAATATAATTGTTGGTTACTTCTAAGGGAAATAATATGGTTTTTACTTTACCATCTCAGCTTGATTACGCAACTCTCGATCGTAAGTGACACCTGAAATCTTGTATCTTTCTCAAAAGTTTTAATGTAGCTACTTTTGGATCTAATAAACCCTTTTAACTGAAAAATTTGGTCCATTAATTGTATGCTAACTTCCAAATGATTCAACATTTTGTTATATATGTGTATGTCCAAGGGATGTTGTGATCACAAAACCGGTCTAGCCCGGTCTATCGTCTAGACTAGACTAGCACAACACAAATTATCGAGCCCGATCCTGATTTAGCCATGTTGTGATATCATTTGGTTTATAGATCGAGCTGCCGAACATTTAAAAAAAAAAAAAAAAAAATTGGGCTATAAGTCTTGCCGTTTAAACCAAATATTGGTGAAATACATGTAGTCATAATTTTTTTAATCAAGTACTTGATTCATTTTCTTTGATATTTATAAGAAAATCTTTGTTAATCAGTCGGTATGCAATAGTCACTAAAGAACAATACTCACTAATGATTGAACATTAATTTGAATGAATCATGTGATATTGAAACCTGAAATGATAGCACTAACTAATGCTTAACAAGTCACAATGTCCCAAAAAATTAGAGACCATGCATATTTGTACCTGTGAGAGTTCAGATTAATCTTAAAACCTTTGGCGTACATGTACTCAGTAAAAACTAACCACGTGGTCGATCAATAAATCACAATTATCTGGCACACATGATATAAAGACAAAGATTTTTATGTCCTTTTCCAAATGTAAAATCTTCAAATTCTACTGGTAAATACATGCATGTAAGAATATGTTTGGTTATGGATGGTAAGAGATTTGTTGAAGGAGAAGAGGACATGAGAAAATACAAAGAAGCTAAAAAAAACTCATTGCAACCACAAAAAAAATGATATAAAGAGACAAAAGAGAGTAATGGACATGGGGAATTACAAAGAAGCAGAAAACCTTGCAACCACATGAAATAAACAAATGTCATTGTCATAAGATAATGAAATCACAATGTTGTCTCAATGTGTGTCAATGTTTGTTTTAGATCTGATCATACATCGCTGAAGCAGCCACACAAAAAGCAAAGCCACATTTTAAATAAAGACCCATCAAATATCAATCAATCCCCATCTCTCTTCACATGCCCCATTTGAACCGTATCTCCTCTCATTTCTTCTTTTGTTTTGTTGGAGTTAGATAAAATCAAAGGTCTAATTAAAGTGTCAAAACCCTTATCGCTATAACCTCCACTAGGCCTAGGCATTCGGATTTCGGATCGGATTCGGTTCGGATTTATTCGGATTCGGATAATTCGGATAGGAGAATTTATTATCCGCTCGGATTTTATGACTATTCGGATCGGATTCGGTTCGGATAGTGTCGGATTCGGATCGGTTTTTGAGAAAAAAAAAAACTAAAAAAAATGTTCAATTTAAATAAAAAATAGTTTAATCTTACTAAAATTTAGCTAAATTTTGCAAAAATATGTATAATTTTAACAAATATAACTAAAAAATTTCCGATATCTAAGTTATTTAGAATATTTTTGTTATTTGTTATAAAATTATAGTTAAATATAACTAATATATTTGTATATATAATTTTATTTTCGGATATCCTTTCGGTTTTCGGTTCGGATCGGGTTCGGTTCGGATAATTCGGATAGGAGAATTCATTATCCGTTCGGGTTTTATGACTATTCGGTTCGGGTTCGGAGTCGGATTTTTCGGAGCGGTTTCGGATCGGTTTTCGGATTTCGGATTTTATGCCCAGGCCTAACCTCCACTACCATCTTCAATCTCTCCTTATAACTCACACTTCTATGCCTTCTTCTCTCAAAGTCTAACTAACTGCTCAAATAAGAAAATGGTAGAGTTAAAGTTCTTTTTCTCTATTTTTTTTGTTGACTCTGTTTTCTCTGTTTTAATGATTTTGCTTGCCTCTAAAGGTTCATGTGTCATCATCTCATGGAGCAAAAGATGGCTCAGAAGAAGCCTTTGATTACAGAGGAAATCCACCGGATAAGTCCAAAACCGGTGGATGGTTAGGCGCCGGTTTAATTTTAGGTAAAGTCTCCAATCTTAATGTGAAGAAAAGAATAGCTTCTCTGTTTCTAACACTCCTCTGTTTCTTCTTAATGTGAAGGGAGTGAGCTATCGGAGAGAATATGCGTGATGGGCATATCAATGAATCTAGTGACGTACCTTGTCGGAGATTTACACATCTCATCAGCTAAATCAGCGACTATAGTCACCAACTTCATGGGAACTCTTAACCTCTTAGGACTTCTTGGTGGTTTCTTGGCTGACGCTAAACTCGGTCGCTACAAGATGGTTGCAATCTCAGCTTCTGTCACAGCTCTGGTAAACACTTAAAACCATGTCTTTGATTGGCTCGAGAATTTCTAGCTCTGACTCTTTGTTTCTGTGAAAACAGGGAGTGTTGCTTTTGACGGTGGCTACAACCATCTCGAGTATGAGACCACCACCATGTGATGATTTCAGGAGACTTCACCATCAGTGCATAGAAGCAAACGGACACCAGTTGGCTCTTCTCTATGTGGCTCTCTATACCATAGCTCTAGGCGGAGGAGGAATCAAATCCAACGTCTCGGGTTTCGGGTCTGACCAGTTCGATACTAGTGATCCTAAGGAAGAGAAACAGATGATTTTCTTCTTCAACAGATTCTATTTCTCCATCAGCGTTGGCTCTCTTTTCGCCGTGATTGCTCTTGTTTACGTTCAGGACAACGTCGGGAGAGGCTGGGGTTACGGGATCTCGGCCGCGACTATGGTGGTTGCAGCCATTGTTTTGCTTTGTGGAACCAAACGGTACCGTTTCAAGAAACCTAAAGGAAGCCCTTTTACAACAATATGGAGGGTTGGTTTCTTGGCTTGGAAGAAAAGAAAGGAGAGTTACCCTGCGCATCCAAGTCTTTTGAACGGTTATGACAACACCACGGTTCCACACACAGAGAGGCTTAAGTGTTTAGACAAAGCCGCGATTCTCAAGAACGAGAGTTCTCCTAGTTCGAAGGACTTAGAAGAGAAGGATCCGTGGATCGTTTCGACTGTTACACAAGTCGAAGAAGTGAAACTCGTGATGAAATTGGTGCCGATTTGGGCAACAAACATTCTTTTCTGGACGATTTACTCTCAAATGACGACTTTCACGGTTGAACAAGCGACGTTTATGGACCGAAAACTCGGATCTTTCACTGTTCCTGCAGGCTCCTACTCTGCTTTTCTCATACTCACAATTCTCCTCTTCACTTCCCTTAACGAGAGATTCGTTGTTCCTTTAACAAGAAGGCTCACAAAAAAGCCTCAAGGAATCACCAGCCTCCAGAGAATCGGAGTAGGGCTTGTATTCTCAATGGCTGCAATGGCAATAGCCTGCGGTTATAGAGAACGCTAGACGCGAGGCAGCGGTCAACAACGGAACGAAAATAAGCGCGTTTTGGTTGGTTCCACAGTATTTCTTAGTCGGTGCGGGTGAGGCCTTTGCTTACGTTGGACAGCTTGAGTTCTTCATAAGAGAAGCACCAGAGAGAATGAAATCGATGAGCACCGGATTGTTTCTAAGCACGATTTCGATGGGATTCTTTGTGAGTAGCTTGCTCGTTTCGCTTGTGGATAGGGTGACAGACAAAAGCTGGCTTAGAAGCAACCTTAACAAAGCGAGATTGAACTACTTCTACTGGTTACTTGTTGTCTTGGGAGCATTAAATTTCTTGATTTTTCTTGTGTTTGCCATGAAACATCAGTATAAAGCTGATGTGATTAGTGTTGTGATTGATGATGATGATTCAGTGGAGAAGGAGGTGAAGAAGAAAGAGAGCTCTGAATTTGAGCTTAAGGACATTCCTTGAATAAGATTTTGAAGAAAGAAAAAAGCTCTGCTTTGTTATTATTGCTTTGAAGATTTCATTTTGTTTTTGTATTTAGTATATTGTGTGTATGAAATAGAAAAATTACTATATGGTTTGGATTGTATTTTTTTTTTTTCTTTTTGTAAGATTTAAAATCATTTAGTTATTATATTTTTTGTTTTTCTGCTCTTTCAAGAACTCTATAAAACGACGCGTTTTGTTCTCTTTGGACGATACTCAAGTTATAAAACAGAAGTTTTAGAGAAGAAGATTGGAGAAGAAACGTAATCTTGCGATGGAAGATAACTCGCCGGAGACGACGGAGAAATTAATCAGCTCCTTCATTGAGGTCACATCTTCGTCTAGAGAAGTAGCTATATCTTTTCTTGAAACTCATCAATGGAATCTCAATGCTGCTGTTTCAACCTACACTAAGAACGAAGTCGCCGTCGCCGCCGAGCCAACTGTTCCAAACCCTAGCGACGAACAACTTCTCCGACGTAATCAAAGACCGTTCCCAAATCTTCGAGTCCGTATCCCTAATTCATCTTTTTCTGCGTTTGATGGCTCTTCCGGTTACTCTCCGTCGCGGTTACAAATACGACCACCGTTTCCGTCGTATCCTTCTCGTGGTCAATTCTATCTTCATCATTCAAAACGTGCAGCAGCTAATCCATTTTCGAGGCAGATGATTAAACGCCGTCAAGGCGCTGGAAATGTCCGTATCGATGATTTCTCCGGCGGAACTGGTAGCGATTCCGATGAAGCGGTGGAGAACTACGGCGGAGAAGAGAATAGGTTAGTGTTTCCTCAATCTTTAGCATTCACAGTCATATTAGTGAAATTGAATCGTCTCTTTGGAGTGTGATGGTTTTTGCAAGTCCTTAAGGTCTCAATTCTGCAATCTTGATGCGATTTTGGACAGAGCTATAGAAAAACCTGAGCAATCATCAAGATCAATGTCTGAAGAAACTGATTCACCTGAGCTTGAAGAAGAGCTTGAAGAAGAAGAAGAGCCTCAAAAAGTGTTTACGTACACTGTAACAAGCTGGAGCAATGGTTTCACTGTGGATGATAGTTCGTTAAAGACGTTGGATGACCCGGAAAATGCATATTTTCTTGAGGTTACTAATTCAATATCTTCTTGCCATTTTTCAAGTTGTGTGTTACGACATTATTGGTATTTCTCTGTACTTGATTTTACTTTAGATAACATTCTGTTCCATGTCAATGTTAGATCATATCGAAGATGGAGTCCCCGCGTGAACTCGCTCAAGTCCGTGTTCAAGTCAAAATCATTAGGCGTGAAGAAGAAAACTTCACTGTATGTTTGTCTCCTTCCTCTCTCTAATGTTTTCCTCTTCTCTGATTCAAATGAGAGTGAAAGTTCTTGTTGTTATATCTTAACAACAGGAATCACAAACCGGATCAGACTCTGCCTCAACTGAGCCACCAGCTTTAGCTGCCTCACTATCAATGAGGTTATTTGACACAATGTGCTTTTCTGAAGGAGATGAACCATAAAATTTCTTCAAACTCTGAAGAAATGTGCTATTCAAGAATCCATGATGTTGATGGTTTTTGCAAGTCTTGAGGCATAAATCTTGCTTAATAGTCTTGTTTGTAGAAGAAGGTTTTTGAATGTATGTGGTAGCTTTAGTGGGAACCTTGGAAAGCTAAAAGATGTCGATGCGATTTTCGACAGAGCTAAGGAGTCAGCTATAGAAAGATTTGAGCAATCATCAAAGGTAATGTGTGGAGAAACTGATTCAGCTGAGCTTCAAGAAGAACAGCAAGAAGACCAGCCATATAAAGTAGTCACGTCCACTGTAACTATTTGGAGGAATGGTTTTACTGTCGATGATGATCCGTTTAAGAGTTTGGATAACCCGGAAAATGCAGCCTTTCTTGAGGTCACTAATTCAATATCTTCTTGTCATTTTCTCTGTACTTTGATTCACTATGATAACATAATTTTCCATGTCGATGCCAGAAGATAACAAGTTTGGAGTCCCCACGACTACTTGATCCACTTAGTGTTCAAGTCAAACTCATCAGGCGTGAAGGAAACTTCAGTGTATATTTATCTCCTTCCCTCTCTCTCTCTGTAATGTTTTTCTCTTCTCTGGACTCTGATTCAAATGTGCTAAAAAGGTGAAAGCTCTTGTTCTTATATCTTAACAAACAGGAATCACCTTCATTCCACGGTGTCGAAAGAACTCTAACCGAATCAGACTCTGTCTCTACTGAGCTACCAACTTTAGCCGCCTCACCGCCAACATCAATGGGCTTATTAGTGGTAGATCCTACAGCGCCAACAACCTCGATTCAGCTCAGATTAGCAGACGGCACAAGCCTAGTCACCCAGTTCAATACTCACCACACCATTAGAGACGTCCGAGGCTTCATAGACGCGTCTAGACCAGACGGCTCCAAAGACTACGAATTACTCATCATGGGGTCTCCTCCTACACCACTGCTTGACTTTGACCAAACCATCGAGAAAGCTGGCATCACCAACTCTGTCCTCGTCCAAAAATTCTAGCTCATTTCCTAAGTACATGAGACCATTACTTTAGTTACAGTTGGTAAATAACATCAGAAACTTTCTTTGACTTTTAGTAGTCTTGATGTGTTTGACTCAAAATTTTAGACTAGAATCAGTCTTGATCTTAATGACGTCATAATGAAATGTGATTGGTTCAATTTAACGAAATTGACCAATTACTCTATTTGACGACCATGTAATAAAACGTTTACTTTTGGGGGTTGTTTTGACTTTTGACTCACCTGCCATTCTGTCAAACCGTGCGTGTCCATGTTTATTGATTTTTCCTTCTGTTCTGTTCTATTTTTCTTGTGTGTGTGTGGGATATTTATTTTTGAAAAAAACAATTAATAAAAGAAGAAAATATCTGGATGTTCCAGGTTTGTTATTCGATTCAGAGCAAAAAAGATAAGTGTTTAAATGGATTTAGATTTACAGTAAAAATCCAGACAGAGAGAAGGATAAGGAGAGAAGAAAACGATTACTTTCTTCTATTTTTGTTCATTACAAACCTTAAAATCTCAACTTATATTTTTGTTCTCTTTTTCTTACATATTTTTCTTTTGGATTTCGTTGTCTTTTTTCTCCTTTTCTTCTCCTCTCTCTCGCTCAATTTCAATTTTGGGCGAGAAAAAGGAGCAGGTCTTTTGTCTTTCCAGGGTTTATCAGCAAGATCCTCCTTTCTAAAGTTTGTATTTTTCTTAGGATTTTCTTCTGATTTCCTCTCTCGGGTTAATTCTGCTCAAAATGTAAGCCCTTCTCCTTTTAATTCATTTGTTTGATTTGGTTTGGCTTGATCTGATTCTGTTATGTAATTTTGGGATCAGGGTTCAAGCCTGTTCGATGTACTGAATTAGGGTTTTCATTCAGAGATGAATCTGGTTATGTTTAGAGAATAAAGTGCGGGTCTTTTGACATAGTCAGAGCTGGTTTTTAGCTTTTGGTTCTTCTTATAGATAGTAGTAGTGAAGGGTTTGTGCCAATAGTTAGATATGATCAAACAGATATTTGGGAAATTGCCTAGAAAGCCTTCCAAATCCTTGAACAATGACTCGAATGGTGAAGGAGGTGTTAACTCTTATTATGCTTCGAATTCGAGTAGTAGTAGTATTTCGAAACCTTCTTCAACATCTTCGAAATCATCATCAGCCTCTGGCCCGCGTGTAGCTAATGGAACTCTTGCTCCTAATTCATTGAGCTCTAACAAGACTAATCAAGGGAAGAAACCATTGGGAGGAGATTCTGTTGTACAAGCTGGACCGTTTCCGTCTTCTGGTGGGGTTTATGAGGCTTTGCCTAGCTTTAGAGATGTTCCTATTTCGGAGAAATCGAATCTCTTTATTGGGAAGTTGAGTATTTGCTGTGTTGTTTTTGACTTTAGTGATCCGTCGAAGAACCTTAAGGAGAAAGAGATTAAGCGGCAGACATTGCTTGAGCTTGTTGATTATGTTGCATCAGTTGGTGTGAAGTTTAATGATGTTGCGATGCAAGAGCTCACGAAGATGGTAGCGATTAATCTGTTTAGAACGTTTCCTTCTGCGAATCACGAGAGTAAAATTCTTGAAATGTATGATATGGATGATGAGGAACCTTCGTTGGAGCCAGCTTGGCCTCATATTCAAGTTGTGTATGAGATTCTGCTCAGATTCGTGGCTTCTCCCATGACTGACGCAAAGCTTGCAAAGAGATATATTGACCATTCCTTTGTCTTGAAGCTGTTAGACTTGTTTGATTCTGAAGATCAAAGAGAGAGGGAATATTTGAAAACTATTCTGCATCGGGTCTACGGGAAGTTCATGGTGCATCGACCCTATATCAGAAAGGCGATTAACAATATCTTCTACAGATTCATTTCCGAGACTGAAAAGCATAATGGCATTGCAGAGTTGCTAGAGATTCTTGGAAGTATAATTAATGGGTTTGCTTTGCCTTTAAAAGAAGAGCACAAGCTCTTCCTTTTGCGAGCCTTGATTCCTCTCCACAAGCCTAAATGTTCATCGGTCTATTTCCAACAGCTTTCGTATTGCATAGTTCAGTTTGTAGAAAAGACGTCAAGCTCGCTGATACCGTTATTAGAGGCCTTTTAAAATATTGGCCTGTGACTAACAGCTCAAAGGAAGTTATGTTTCTTGGAGAGTTAGAAGAAGTCTTGGAAGCAACGCAAGCCGCTGAGTTTCAGCGTTGTATGGTCCCTTTATCGCGACAAATTGCTCGATGCCTCAACAGTTCGCATTTTCAGGTTCGAGTCTTTTGGTTATCATAACTTCATATCTATCTCTCTTGACAAATTCTTGTACCTATATGAAGTTGTACTTTTGTTTGTCAGGTTGCTGAAAGAGCATTGTTTCTATGGAACAACGATCACATAAGAAACCTGATCACTCAGAACCATAAAGTGATAATGCCTATAGTCTTCCCAGCTCTTGAGAGAAATACGCGAGGACACTGGAACCAAGCAGTTCAAAGTCTGACTATAAACGTGAGGAAAGTATTCTGCGACATTGACCAAGTTCTTTTCGACGAGTGTTTAGCCAAATTCCAAGTAGAAGAAGAGAATAAAACAGAGGTTAAAGCGAAACGGGAAAGAACATGGCAGCGGTTAGAAGATTTAGCGACTTCAAAGACCGTTGTAACCAACGAGACAATGCTGGTTCCAAGATTTGTTTCCTCAGTCAATCTTGCAACCAGCACTGAATCCACAAGCTAGAAGGCTCTCGTAGGTAAAAAAAATGGCTGTGGTTTCGTCTCTCTTTTATCAGGTTCAAACGATAACGATATGAATCGGCTCAGAAGCTTTTCGAAAGTGATCGATGAACGAGAGGAGTGTGAAGTATCTCATTCTCATTAGTGAATACTTGTTTTAACATTTTTTTTGGGGTTTTCTGGGTTTACTTGTTAGTTGCTTTGATCTTAAAATATGTACTTGTAACAAAAATATTGTGGTCACTATAGAAATGGTTCTTGAGAGACGACTGTATAATTATTTTTTAATTAAAATCTTTGGGACCAAAACTGAGAATATTTTTCTCACTTACAATAAACGCCGTTAAACTCCCGTTAGTTAACGGCTGACATTGAATTTTCCTTAATTTTTGTTTTTGACTATTATTAAGTGAAAAGAGTCGAAGGGTCTCTTTTGATATCTTCAGAATCAAAATCTGTAATTGATCTCTCTCGATCCAGTCTTCGTGAGTGACTCTTCGACGACGAAGACGATTCACACTTCTCTTGAGCTTCTGCTTCGTAAGTTCACTCTCCTCTTTTCTTTATCTAAATTTACAGACTTTTACTTCGTTCTCTGCTTTTATTGACGACAAAACTTGATTTTGTTTTGAATTAAATGCTTCAAGTAGCTGACTTCGACCATGTTCTTATGGGCTTTTGTCACTGAATCTTACTTGTCCGATTTGGTCGATGTATAATCAATTCAACACCTAAAGGTTTAGTTTTTGGATTGACATTTGCCCCTTTTGATTCAGGCCCAGGTTTATTTGGAAATTGATGGATGAATCTCTGGAGAATCAAACTCAAACACATGGTAAGTAAAATCTCATTTATTACTCTCTCTGAATATATAGGACTTCAATATGTTTGATTTGAGTTTTTTGTTGTGAAGAATTGATTATGATTACTATGTTTTCTTACTGCATTATGTGTGTTCAAGACCAAGAGGACGAAATAGTTACTGAAGGAAGTGCTGTTGTGCATGGTGAGCCATCTCAAGATGGTAGTGTTCCTCCTAAAGTTGATAGTGAAGCTGAGGTTTTGGATGAGAAAGTCAGTAAGCAGATTATAAAGGAAGGTCACGGTTCCAAACCATCCAAGTACTCTACATGCTTTTGTAAGTACCCTTAGTTTTCTGTTGATCTGATGCTCATTTTTTCGATTGTACTTATTGCTACTGGTTTAGCTTCCCTTTGTGGTGGAGTCTCTTAACTGAGTTCAGAAAATTGGGTAGTTGTAATGCTTGATATGAAATTGGAATTGCCATGATATGAGAGGGTTATTCACGTTTATATGTGGTATTTATTTGGTGTGATGGTTGATGAGGAACACTTAACTCAACATCTCCTAGATGGAATCTTCTACAAGCTTCTACATTTATTTGAATCTTTTTATTTGACCAATTTCATATTGGCCATAGTGCACTACAGGGCATGGACCAAAAACTCGCAGCACAAATTTGAGGATACATGGCAAGAGCAGCAACCTATTGAATTGGTTCTTGGAAAAGGTATGTGACTATCGAATTTGTAATCTACACCTCACTCTCATTGGATGCATCATCATTGGTAAATTTGATGAATCAGCTAGTGTATCATGTGAACCCAATGAAATGGATATCTGGCAGGAAAAAAGATTTCAGTTTCGTATGTTTTTGCTTCAATGCTGATTAGCCCATGTTAATGTCACTATACAAAAAATTTAAAAGAGATTGTACACTAATGGGTGATATATTGTCTGTGAGACAGAGAAAAAAGAATTGGCCGGTTTGGCCATCGGTGTTTCTAGCATGAAGTCTGGTGAACGTGCGCTTGTGCATGTTGGCTGGGAATTGGCTTATGGGAAAGAAGGAAACTTTTCTTTTCCGAATGTTCCACCTATGGCGGACTTGTTATATGAGGTTGAAGTTATTGGATTTGATGAAACAAAGGAGGCAAGTATTTTTTTTCTTTATTATCATCTGAATTCTGAAGTTTTTGGCTTCCTTACCCTGTCAACTCCACAGCCAAGCTTTATCCTAACCTCCTTGTTTACCTCTGACTTGGAGAATGGATTTTACAGGGAAAGGCTCGCAGTGATATGACTGTGGAGGAAAGGATTGGTGCAGCGGACAGAAGAAAAATGGATGGGAATTCTCTGTTTAAGGAGGAGAAACTGGAGGAGGCCATGCAACAGTATGAAATGGTTATGCATCTCTCTCTCTTTCTAACAATTACGGTCAAAGTTTTGGTTTTCAGGCATACTCCGAGTCTGCTCGAGGCTCTTGTGTCTTTTTTTCGGCTTTTGATTAGTCATGGTTTTGCTGTCTCAGGCCATAGCATACATGGGGGATGATTTTATGTTTCAGCTGTATGGGAAGTATCAGGATATGGCTTTAGCAGTTAAAAACCCATGCCACCTAAACATAGCAGCTTGCCTCATCAAGCTAAAACGATACGATGAAGCAATCGGTCACTGCAACATTGTAAGACCCATCAAAACATTCATTTGAAGAAATCATTAATATTCATACTCGGTTTCTCGAAACCTAATCAAACTGTAAAAACCTTATCAGGTGTTGACAGAAGAAGAGAAAAACCCAAAAGCATTGTTCAGAAGAGGGAAGGCAAAGGCAGAGCTAGGACAAATGGACTCAGCACGTGATGATTTCCGAATGGCACAAAAGTATGCTCCTGACGACAAGGCGATTAGAAGAGAGCTACGAGCACTTGCAGAGCAAGAGAAAGCTTTGTACCAAAAGCAGAAAGAAATGTACAAAGGAATATTCAAAGGGAAAGAAGAAGGCGGTGCTAAGGCAATGAGCCGTAACTGGTTGATACTGTTATGGCAATGGTTGGTTTCTCTTTTCTCCCGGATCTTTCGACGCCACAGAGTTAAAGCAGATTGAAGTACGAAGAAGCGTAACAATGCAACTATACCAACGTGCAAGATCAACTCTCATTTCTTATTAGAGAATTTGTGAAGAATTTACAAAACCCAAGAAGCTATCTTAGATTGTCTTTGTTCTCTTGGATTCCAAGACAAGTTAGTTACGTCTAATTTAAACTTTACTTTCATTAAAATGGTGTCACACTTTAAATTCGTAAACCAATGTCCAATTTTAATCCTAAGATAATTCAGTGATTATTCTGCATTCGTAAAAAAAAATTAGTAACTTTATATTTGAAAAAAAAAAAAAACTCGAACGCAACATCTTCCTTCAACAAAAATGGCGGTCTTCATAGTTTTTGTCTTTGACCAAAGACTTTCAAATTCCAGCTGGTAGTTGCATTAAATGACCTTAGTATATTAAGATTAATTAAGAAACTTCCTAATAATTAAACAAACACTGATAAAACTAAATAATCATCATTCTCTTAGTTGAAAAAATAGTCAACGTTGATTAAGTCAACCTTTTCCTCTTTGAAGTTTGAATCCATCTTCTTCCCCACAGAGCACGACGAAACCAAAAAAAAAAGAGAGACCTTCCTCTGAGAATCTCTAAGGAGCTTCCAAATATTTCCGGCGATGAAGCTAAATTCTCTAATCGCTCCGCTTCTTCTTCTCTTCTCATCGTCGTTTCTCTTCTTCGCCGTCGAATCAAAGTGCAGGACGAGCTGTCCTTTAGCTCTAGCTTCTTACTACCTCGCGAACGGAACAACTCTCTCCGCCATCAACCAAAACCTCAATTCTTCAATCGCGCCTTACGATCAAGTCAATTTCGATCCAATCCTTAGGTACAACCCGAACATTAGAGACAAAGATAGAATCCAGATGGGTTCTAGGGTTCTTGTACCTTTCCCTTGCGAATGTCAACCTGGTGATTTTCTAGGGCACAATTTCAGCTACAGTGTTCGACAAGAAGATACTTATGAAAGAGTGGCGATTAGGAATTACGCGAATTTAACGACGGTGGATTCGTTGCAGGCGAGGAATCCTTTTCCGGCGACTAATATACCTCTCTCTGCGACGCTTAATGTGTTGGTGAATTGTTCTTGTGGTGATGAGAGTGTTTCTAAGGATTTTGGTTTGTTTGTTACTTATCCACTTCGTCCTGAGGATAGTCTCAGTTCGATTGCGAGATCTTCCGGTGTATCGGCGGATATTCTGCAGCGGTATAATCCTGGTGTTAATTTTAACTCAGGGAGTGGAATCGTTTATGTGCCGGGAAGAGGTAATGATGAACAAATTCTGTAGTTAGAGTTTATAGATTGATCTTGGATTATTTGTGACACTAGAGTAGTATAATCCCCGCATAGACGAACGTATATACGTCTATACGGTGCTCTGCCGTACACCTAGCGTAGAGCGTATTTTAGAACTCTGAATGATTGTTGAAGTTTTTGTTCCTGTTATTGTGTGTTTTGCAGATCCAAGTGGTGCATTTCCAGCTTTCAAATCAAGGTTTTTTTTGTTGTTGTTAAGATTGTATCTTTTGTTCTTTTGATATCTATTTACTGATGTATTTTCTACTTCTCTTATGTTTTTGTAGTAAACAAGGTTGGTTATTTTCTCCATTTTCGAGGTTCTGATGATTCTGCACGAAGCAAGAAGAAACTTGGGGGAATATGTTTTTGATATTTTTTTTTGCATTAGCAGGTGGTATTGGTACTGGAATTATTGCTGGTATAGTTGTAGGAGTGATTGTGGCTTTGTTGTTAATCTTGTTTATCATATATTATGCTTACCGGAAGAGCAAGTCGAAGGGTGATTCGTATTCATCTTCTATTCCGTTGTCTACTAAGGCTGATCTTGGTAATTTTGTGATGATCATATACAAACAGTTTTATCTCTACTTTAATGTTTCTTTCTTTAGTTAGACGTTGCTTATTATATTTTTATCAAATCTTCTTTTAGCTTCTTCTACTAGCCTCCAAAGTGGAGGCTTGGGTGGTACTGGAGTATCTCCTGGCATTGCTGCCATAAGCGTGGACAAATCTGTTGAGTTTACGTTGGAGGAGCTCGCAAAGGCTACTGATAATTTCAATCTGTCTTTTAAGATTGGTCAAGGTGGTTTTGGGGCTGTTTACTATGCAGAGCTGAGAGGAGAAGTAAGCAGATATCTTTTTATATCTTTTTCTTTGAAGCTACACATTGAACATTAAAATTATTTGGTTCTTGTATAGAAAGCTGCGATCAAGAAGATGGACATGGAGGCGTCGAAACAGTTCTTGGCGGAACTAAAAGTCTTAACGCGTGTACATCATGTCAACCTGGTAAAGCGCTTTTGTGTTCTCTCAAGATAGTATCTGAGATCAGATAAAGATCGATTCTTGGTCAAATTTTAACGAACTTGTTTTTTCGTGCAGGTTCGCCTGATTGGATATTGTGTTGAAGGATCTCTTTTCTTGGTGTATGAATATGTTGAGAATGGCAACCTTGGACAACATTTACATGGGTCAGGTACGCAATATAAAGACCTCCAAAAAGTGAATCACTTTTCAAAGTACTAATAAGTTGAAAGTTGTAAACTAAGGAGTTTATATGTAACTAGGACGAGAACCGCTACCGTGGACTAAGAGAGTGCAGATTGCACTAGACTCAGCTAGAGGTTTAGAATATATCCACGAGCACACGGTTCCTGTTTATGTCCACAGGGACATTAAATCTGCCAATATTTTGATAGACCAGAACTTCCGAGCAAAGGTCCATTCTCAATTTCTCATTGTCAATCAAAAGTGAAAATACTGAAAAAATTAGATTTTTGCTTTTTCACGGCTCTGAGTCGATTCTGTGTTGCAGGTTGCTGATTTCGGGTTAACAAAACTGACAGAAGTTGGAGGTTCAGCAACTCGTGGTGCAATGGGTACATTTGGCTACATGGCACCAGAGTAAAGAACTTGATCTCATTTCGCTCTACATTTTATAGACTTCTGTAGAGACTACATTATAGTGATGGTATATGTATGCAGGACTGTTTATGGAGAAGTGTCTGCAAAAGTAGATGTATACGCATTTGGAGTTGTCCTTTACGAATTGATTTCTGCTAAAGGCGCGGTTGTCAAAATGACCGAAGCCGTTGGTGAATTTAGAGGCCTCGTTGGTGTGGTTAGTATTACTGTTTCTTCACAACATTTCATCTTTCTGATTTAAAGATACGATGGATCACTTAACATATGCTTTGTTTCTTTATTATTCAGTTCGAAGAAGCATTCAAGGAGACCGACAAAGAAGAAGCACTACGCAAGATTATAGACCCGAGGCTCGGTGATAGCTACCCATTTGATTCGGTATATAAGGTAATCTCTCTTCTTGTTCCCTAAATTCTATTCATCATTGATCATTCTAATTAGTGGTGTGGTCAGTAAATCAAATCGAAAGAGTAAATAAACCGATTAAAAGTGCGATTTCTTTAGAATCCATCTCTAAAAATCCGAATTCAAACTGAAACCGAACAATGTGCTATTCGGCTAGCTAAAAAGGCCGAAAAATCAAACCGATTACCGGTTTGGACATAGCTATTTTTAAAAGTCGGGTAAGCCAATTTGGTGTTTATGTTTTGTGATTTAGATGGCGGAATTAGGGAAAGCTTGTACGCAAGAGAATGCGCAGCTACGTCCGAGTATGAGATACATTGTGGTTGCTTTATCCACTCTTTTCTCGTCAACTGGAAATTGGGATGTTGCAAATTTCCAAAACGATGATTTAGTCAGTCTTATGTCTGGCCGGTAGAGAGTTTCCGGTTTGCTGTTATATAGAAATGATTGTTTTTTTGGTATGCTCACGTATATTGTCTATACGAACTTTAACATGTCACAAGTTGACTTTTATATGATTTTCTATAACTATCTGTCAAATTATTCAGCGTCTCCGATCTCAGCATCTCACGTCAAAGAAATGCATTAAAATTTTCATAAATAAAATTTTGAAATCGAGTTTGCCGACAAATAATCAAATTAAAATTGTGATGGATACTCTCACGAAGCTTAGAACAAGTCTTCCATAACACTTATGAGCTATGAAATTTTAATGATTTTCGTCACATGGATTCCCCAATACATAAATCTATATTCCAGCTTAAAACAGTAGTATATTTCTTATTGTCAACAACATACATATATGGCTATATTTCTATGTTTCGTTTTCCTTTGTCATTATTTGTAACGATTAGCGAATTAAAAACGTAAAGTTACCTTAAACTGACAAATACTAAATCAAACTTTATCTTCCAAAGTCAGAGATCTCAAACCTTTTTTACATTAGGAAAAAATAAATTCATTAGAAAACGTTAAACAAAAGCCGACGTCAGAAAAAGAAAAGAAAATATAAAATATAGCCGTTATATGAACATAACAACATGCTAACACGGCGAGACCAATAACCATTATTGTTTTCCTAAAGAAACCGAAAAGGAACCAGTAACGGACAATGTCTAAACTACAAAACATTTAATTTTTAAAATAATTTTCTTAATTTAACATTATTACTTTATTTAACATAAATTAACCTCTTTTGCCAGGTGTCCATCACCGTTTAATCCTCGCTTCGCTAAATAAGTTAATTAATTAATTAAATGGACTCGTAACACCCAAAACGTATGAATCAGCAGAAATCTCACTTCAGTTGAATCTTTGGATCAATTTCCAAAATAAACCCAAACACAAATTAAAAATCTCATTTTTATTGATGTTTCTCCTTCTTCTTCTTCTGATCCCAATCCTCTCTTCTTCGTCTTCTTCATTCTCTGCTCAACGTTGTTTGACTTCACAGATAGAAGAAACAACAAGACGAGTTTCATCGCTCAGCTCTTGACAAGGTAAAAAACTGAACTTTATCTGAATCTTTCACGAATCACTCATTATATAGTTGATTCAGTGTTTAATGGATTTGACGGAATCTGAAAAGACTATGACTAGGACCCAAAAAAATTCCGATTTCTGGGTAAAACGAGAAATTTATGGAGAAAATTTAGCGAAAAAATTGACAATTTTGAGAAGTCCTTGGATTGCAAGAAACCCTAAGTTTAAAGCTTTAACCTTTTTCGTTTTGTTGTGCGTTAAATGTTTCAGGAAGATTGTGTCTTTCTTTCTCTAAATCATGGCTACACTAAACGATATCGGAGTCGCAGCAGCGATCAATATTCTAACCGCATTCGCGTTTTTCATAGCCTTTGCGATTCTTAGACTTCAACCAGTTAACGACAGAGTCTATTTCCCTAAATGGTATCTCAAGGGTTTAAGAAGTAGCCCTATTAAAACTGGTGGCTTTGCTAGCAAGTTTGTCAATTTGGATTTTCGATCTTACATCAGATTCTTGAATTGGATGCCTCAAGCTTTGAGAATGCCTGAGCCTGAACTTATTGATCATGCTGGTTTGGATTCTGTTGTCTATCTCAGGATTTACTTACTTGGGTATGTGTATATTCTTTCTTGTTTCTTGAATGTTTTGAACAAGTATGTGTGTGATCTTTGATTCATTTGGTTTGATTTGCAGGTTGAAGATCTTTTTCCCTATAGCATGTATTGCTTTTACTGTAATGGTGCCGGTTAATTGGACTAACTCGACGTTGGATCAGTTAAAGAATCTAACTTTCAGCGATATCGATAAACTCTCTATATCGAATATACCTACTGGATCATCTAGGTGAAGAAACTTCTTTAATCTTTGTGGCTTTTGGTTGATTCTATTTGGGAATGTTCTGACTTGTATATGTACAGGTTTTGGGTGCATTTGTGTATGGCTTATTTTATTACCTTTTGGACATGCTTTGTGTTACAACGAGAGTACAAGAATATTGGTTCTATGAGGCTACAGTTTCTTGCTTCTGAGCAAAGGAGACCTGACCAGTTTACAGTACATAGAAATTCTGAATCTCTTTGGTCCATTGAGTTTTAGTTTTTAAGATTAGATGTCATATGTGATTGTCCTTTTTGATGAATGTAGGTTCTTGTGAGGAACATTCCTCCAGATCCTGATGAATCGGTTAGTGAACTTGTTGAGCATTTCTTTAAGGTCAATCATCCAGACTACTACCTCACTTACCAGGTAACAACTTAGGTTGTCTGACTTAGGATATTCCATTGGGGGATTTTGTTTTAAGATGTATTTATCTTCTGGTTTAATGAAAACAGGCGGTCTACAACGCAAACAAACTTTCGGAATTGGTTCAGAAAAGGAAGAAATTGCAGAATTGGCTTGATTACTATCAAAACAAACACTCTAGGAATCCGTCTAAAAGGCCTGTGATAAAGGTAAAACCAATGTATGCAACTACATTGCTTTCTTGATCTTCTCTTTGGTTGAATCTTGATAATCTTCTACTTACATGAGCAGATAGGCTTTCTTGGCTGTTGGGGTGAAGAAGTTGATGCAATCGATCACTACATAGAAAAAATCGAGGGTCTAACGAGAAAAGTAAATGCGTCATCCCTAACTTACATATAATCTTGTGTTACTAAACTTGTTTGATCATCTTGTTGCCTCTTAATCAAAATTTACTTTGATGGTTTCAGATAAGTGAAGAGAAAGAGACTGTAATGAGCAGCACAAAATCGCTTGTGCCTGCAGCTTTTGTATCCTTCAAAAGGCGTTGGGGCGCAGTTGTTTGCTCTCAAACTCAACAGTCAAGAAACCCGACAGAGTGGCTAACCGAGTGGGCTCCAGAGCCCCGAGACATCTACTGGGACAATCTAGCATTACCATATGTTCAACTCACAATCCGAAGACTAGTAATAGCCGTGGCTTTCTTCTTCCTCACTTTCTTCTTCATGATCCCTATAGCTTTCGTACAGACACTCGCCAACATCGAAGGCATCGAAAAGGCTGTTCCTTTCTTGAAACCGCTTATCGAAGTGTATAATCTCTCAACCTTAATTTCCTGTTCCTTTTGCGTGATGGTGTTTCTCTGAAATCATTGTGTTTGTGGACAGGAAAACGGTAAAGTCATTCATCCAAGGTTTCCTTCCGGGTATCGCATTGAAGATATTCCTCATTGTCCTCCCAAGCATACTAATGCTAATGTCGAAATTCGAAGGCTTCATAAGTAAATCTTCACTAGAAAGAAGGTGTGCAAGCAGATACTACATGTTCCAGTTCATCAACGTTTTCCTCTGTAGCATAATCGCAGGAACTGCGCTTCAACAGCTTAACAGCTTCCTAAACCAATCTGCAACCGAAATCCCAAAGACAATTGGTGTGTCGATACCAATGAAAGCCACTTTCTTTATAACCTACATAATGGTTGACGGATGGGCTGGTGTTGCTGGAGAGATACTGAGGTTGAAGCCATTGATAATCTTTCATCTCAAGAACTTCTTCCTTGTGAAAACAGAGAAAGATAGAGAAGAAGCAATGGATCCTGGAACCATAGGATTCAATACTGGTGAACCACAAATACAACTCTACTTCATTCTCGGTCTAGTTTACGCTGCTGTTAGCCCCATTCTCCTTCCTTTTATCCTCGTCTTCTTCGCCTTAGCTTATGTGGTTTACCGTCATCAGGTTCAAAACCCAAATCCAAATACCTCTACATATCCCAAGCTTAGGAAACTAAGATCTAACCCGCTTTTTTCTTCTTGTTGCAGATAATAAATGTGTATAACCAAGAGTATGAGAGTGCTGCCGCATTCTGGCCTGATGTTCATAGACGTGTAGTGATTGCACTAATCGTATCTCAGCTTCTTCTGATGGGATTGCTTAGCACGAAACGAGCTGCTCGTTCGACTCCATTGCTTTTCATTCTCCCTGTGTTAACCATTGGATTCCACAAATTCTGTCAAGGACGTTACCAACCTATCTTTGTCAGATACCCTTTACAGGTTAGTCTATTCAAGAAATGAGTCTTCCTTTGCTTTTGTTTTCGGTCTTCTTAGTGATTTTCTTCTTCTTATTTTCAGGATGCAATGGTTAAAGATACGTTGGAACGCATGAGAGAACCGAATTTAAACTTGAAAACGTTTCTTCAAAACGCGTATGCACATCCGGTGTTTAAGGCCGCAGATAATCTAGCGAATGAGATGGTTGTGGAGGAGCCAGCGCCCGATAAGACGCCGGATTTAGTGGCGACTAAACGTGGCTCAAGGAGGTTTCATAACGGCTCTGCTGAAACCTTTACATAGTAATACGAATGTTAGTGAAAAGTGTTGATGAGATTTTTATGTTTTTTTCATAAACGTTGTTTTTTATCTTCTTAGGTAATAGAAGAAGTTTTCCAACTTTATTTTGGCTTTGTTATATCAACAAAAAATTGTATAGATGAATAATTGATATTAGGCTCTGAAATAAAGTTCAAAATCAAAATGATCTAAAATAAATTGGTTTCGTCTTAAATTGTTCTGAGCTAATATTCATTTTAGAGAGTGACATGCGTTTGCAATAGAATTTCAACATTTAAAACTTTTAAAACTTTATTTTTTCATTTTTCTATATTCGATTCAATCCGTGTAGTAACAATGTCCATACCGACTACCTACCCAAATTAGCAAAAGCACAATGTTCTTTATCACATTGATTTCGGATTGGTTATCTTGAAAATAATGTTTTTGCATGATAATTTAATAACATAATGTTTTGACAATAAAAATATTAAAAAGTTATTAGTCTAACAATGTAAAAAATAAAACGTGAAAAAAAATTAAAAAGGTAAAACTGCTCTCCTTTTCACAATAATTGATCCTTCCCAAAAACGTAATTAACACAAAAGCCAAAAAGCTTATCAAAGAATTTCAATACTCTTCTTCTTCTCCTGAATCTGTTTACCTTTACGTTGACATTGATCCTTCGCAGTATCTATCTGATTGATCAAAGAAGAGATCGGATTTTTCGCGGTTGTATCGCCGAATGGACGAGGTGATGACAGCGGCGGACGCGGGTTCGTTAGGTGGCGGAAACAGGGCGTTGTACGGATCTCCTCCGTCGCAAAATCTGTTTCCTCATAATCTCCCAATCTTCTCCGCTTTTCTTGCCTTCGCTCTTGCTCAGTTCCTCAAAGTTTTCACTAATTGGTCCGTTCAAATCTTTTACCTCCTTCGTTTCTCAGATTGGTTCGATCTGTGATTGAAATCGAGTTACTTTTTGCTCCAATTTAACAAATTTCGTAGTCTTAGGTTTTCGTTTTTGATCGATTGATTAGAATTTGCAAACTTTTTCATTACCTTCTTTGTGTTTTTGATATTAGCCAAATTTTTGGTCTCAAAACTTGAATGTTGGTATTTGTGTAGCTATAGATCTGTTGTAGTTAAGATTCTTAGATTGAAAGATGTGAATTCTCAGTTGTTTCATAATGTATGTTAGATGTTCAGGTACAAAGAAAAGAGGTGGGACTCTAAACGGATGATTAGTTCTGGTGGAATGCCTTCTTCGCATTCCGCTACCGTCACTGCATTAGCTGTTGCCATTGGCCTTGAAGAAGGAGCAGGAGCACCAGCTTTCGCTATCGCGGTTGTCTTAGCTTGCGTTGTGAGCTTTCTTCACAATCTTGTTTCCCACTTCACAATGTGTAGTTGTGCCATTCCTTTGAACGTCTTATTTCGCTTAAGTTTACATGTGTTGAATTTACAAAGTAACAGCCTTGCTTCGTTTAGTGTAGAAAAGAGATTTTGCTTTCCTTGTGAACAGCCTACTTGATTACATAGTAAGACCAATCTTTTGTATGTTTTCTGAATTGGGCTGCAGGTTATGTATGATGCCTCCGGTGTCAGACTTCATGCTGGTCGTCAAGCCGAGGTAAAGCTATAAGAAAATTATTAATCTAATCTGTTTTCATCTTCTTTTAAAGCCCTATTGTATGATTTGTTCCATGCTTTCTAAAACCGCAAGCCTTTTTCACATGAATGGAAATTTCAGCTGCTGAATCAAATTGTTTGTGAGTTTCCTCCGGAGCATCCATTATCAACAGTTAGACCATTGCGTGAACTGCTTGGCCACACTCCTATCCAGGTTTTCTGAACTCTGCAGTCAATTCTTTCTATAGCAATGTTATAGCAATGTTAGAATCAGATTAGGATTTCATAAAGCTGAAACATTAGAACTGAAGTCCCCATATTCGCCATGTATCTATCAACCAGAAGATTTGTTACAATCTATTGCTAAGTTATGAGATTGAATTACAGGTTGCAGCAGGTGGGATATTAGGATGCGTGGTAGCTTATTTAATGAGGAGCACAAGCTAGTCTCTCTACACAAAGAACAAATCCAAAATTCTTTTGAAATCATAGACCCTTCAGGTACTAAAATAGATTCAGCGATATCAAGTGACGCTAGATTATTGGAGTAAATGGAAATTGTTAAATCTGTGTAATATATAGATCATAGTTAGACCTGTCATTGTTTAAGCTTACGCCTTCTCAACATTCTCTCTCTCTCTATATATATAATCTCTCTATTTCCTCTTCCTCCTAATCATGATCATCATCATGCAAAACCATATCTAATTACCACTAGACCACAAGAAGTTTTGTGGCCTTAAAGCACATATTGATACCATTACTGATAGAAAATACGAAGCTAGTGAAACTTTTGAGTCAGCTTAACTAATTCGAAGATCTGTATTGGATATTATTCGTTAATGACTGGCATGGCAATTGTAGAATCAGATTCCAATTCAGATTTCTGTTTTTCATATTCTGCTTCCTTTGCCTTTAGTGTCTATTGGTTTAAACTCTCCTTTCGAGTGTCCAATTAAAGGAAGTTGTTAAAAAAGTTGACATGATGTCACATTTGGATAACATTTACGAAAAGAACAAATTAAGTTGTCAATGTACTCAAGTCGGCTTCTACTATATTCAGGACCACCATGCTTAGGTTCACACTGGTCATTGTCTTGACTCTTGTATCCAAGTTCTTTCACAGAACAACCGAGTCCTAATTCTTTTCATGATCAGGACATACTGCTTACATACGTAGGTTCCAATCCCATAGAACATGCACTAATATACGTGTAATGTATATGTGTATACGTGTACACATATTCGTACATGTAGATGTGTGTAACGTCGTAAAGTATTGTTCCCATATCCACCGAAAGTGAGGAAAACTGTGGAAGCAAGAATTTATTCACTCTGAAAGAAGATATGAGAAAAAGTTAAATTAATATTCCAACAAAAGATTTTTTAAATAATCTAATCCTCTGTTTCAAGATTACAAAGCCTCTTAGAGAGCATCACTGTCCAAAAAATAAAACAAGCAGACAAGAAAATGGGATGTTTCGGACCATCAAAGACTTCAAGAACAAGAAACCATGAAAAAGAAACGATGACACGACAAAACCCATCTCCTCAACCTCAAACCATGAGAACTGAAGAAGTTCTGTTGCAGATTCCTAGATGTAGAGTCCATCTCATAGACGAATCCGAAGCCGTGGAGCTTGCTTCCGGTGATTTCAAGCTCGTTAAGGTCTCAGACAACGGTGTGACTCTAGCTATGATTGTAAGAATCGGACATGACCTTCAGTGGCCAGTGATTAGAGACGAGCCAGTGGTGAAACTTGACGCTCGTGATTACCTCTTTACGCTTCCGGTTAAAGACGGTGATCCACTTAGCTACGGTGTCACTTTCTCTGGCGATGACAGAGACGTAGCCCTCGTGAACAGTCTGAAGTTGCTTGACCAGTTCTTGAGTGAGAATTCATTGTTTCTCGTCTACGGCTTCTAGTAAGGTTAACAATGGAATCGACTGGCAAGAGTTTGCGCCGAGGATTGAAGACTATAACAACGTTGTTGCTAAGGCTATTGCTGGAGGAACAGGACATATCATTAGAGGAATCTTTAGTCTCAGTAATGCTTACTCTAACCAGGTTTAAATCACTACACTCTCCTATATTAGAGGCTATATAGAATGAGAGATGATAATATATATACATAATATGATTATGAGTTTTATGAGACAACAGGTTCACAAGGGAGGTGATATAATGATTACAAAGGCTGAGGAGAGTCAGAGAAATGGAGGTTACAATAATGGAAACTCCAGTGGCAATGAGAAGAAAAATGGAATCAACATAAACCTTCAACGGTACTCACTTATTAGTTTTATAACATTGTTTACGTAAGAATTTTTCTGAATGAAAGTATATATACTCTCAAAATGTAAACGCAAACAAAGAATCGAGACATAAATCTTTGTTCTGGACTCTTTTGATATCGTGGCTGCTTTGTTGGATGGATGTAACATGTATATAGAGTGAGGAAGCTGTCAAAGGCGACTGAGAATCTGAGCAGGACGATGTTGAATGGTGCGGGAGTTGTGAGTGGCTCTGTGATGGTCCCTGTGATGAAGTCGAAACCGGGGATGGCCTTCTTCTCCATGGTTCCAGGGGAAGTCCTCTTGGCTTCACTTGATGCCCTTAGTAAGTTACACATATAATCAAATGAATTGTTTTTTAGGGTCAAAAACTGGAACAAATAGAAGTTATGGGATATGAAAAAAACTCAATGAGGTGTAATGTTTGGTTTTATCCAATAGATAAAATACTAGATGCAACTGAAGCCGCAGAGAGACAAACTCTATCTGCTACATCCAGGGCTGCTACCAGAATGGTCAGTGAGAGGTAAATAGATTTCACCCTACAATCCTCAAATTTGAGATTCATGTTTTCAATGATCATAAGAGTTATAAGGCGATAATAAACTGATAAGGACACATTTGGCAAAGCAGGTTTGGAGAGAACGCAGGGGAGGCGACGGGAGACGTTCTAGCAACAGCGGGCCACGCGGCTGGAACTGCCTGGAATGTTCTCAAGATCCGCAAGACTTTCTATCCTTCATCTTCTCTTACATCAGGGATGGTCAAAAATGCTCCAAGAAAGTGATATACTGTGGGTTATAGTTTCAACTACTTTTATCAATGTATGATCGATGGAAAACCCAAAACCCAAGCTCACTTTTTATATTTAGATTCTCTACACAATGTGGACTCATTAGCTATAGTGTGTAATGTATAATGTATTAATGAGTTACTCAAAATATCATAAGCTCTACAAAGTCTCTCAAGTTTTATGACAATGACTGGATTGATTATGTCTTCTCGAGATGAGGACAACGTTTATATCCAAATCCGTTTTTTATATTTTATAGAACTAATACAACTTATTACATGTCAAAACTAGTGTAACCAATTACACAACTAGTCCGATATGGTACAAGTACAATATGAAAGACTGGTCAAATTAAACTAACTAATTTTTATTTGACGCCCTCTTCCTAATTACATATCAATCTGTTAATGTCGTTAGAAATAATATTAACGATTTGATTGCGTAGAGCTAATTCTATTTGTCAACTTTTGAAACAAAACATATAAAACTCATTGGTGGGGGAAATCATCAGAGAAGAATAACACACTTGGGATTATGTATAACATACATTAAGAGAATGATATCACCAAACACCAATGTAAACCCTTCAAAAACCAGTTAAACAAGCAACTGATGAAGTCTTGGTATCAATTGGTACTGAGAGTCTTGATAGTGAAGAATTAGTAAATTGTTCTACTTGTAACTAGCAAGTTGTTTCAACTTTCAATAGAAGACTAGTTACAACTAGAAAATTTTACTAATTCTTCACGATCAAGCTATAGGATCATATTTTATGGTCTTACATTTTTGTTGGTTATTAATATGATCAAATGGTCATTTAGCAAAAAAAAAAAAAATATGATCAAATGGTAAGTGTTTACGTCATTACCTTCGATCGTCCAACATTATATAGGAACGAGCCTATAAACCAAACTTAAATTTACTACTGCACTAAGAAAGAAGACACAATGTCCTCACCAACCCAACAAAACCAATCTCCCCAAAAGGTGAACGAGGAAGTCTTGTTGGAGAATAATCCCGATGACAGAGTCCATCTCGTCGATAAATCCGAACCGTTGGAGCTAGCCTTGAGTTTCTTAGGGGAAGATGGAGAAATCATGGAAACCCCTGAGTTTCTAGGAGATTTCATGGGGGAGAAATCTTCAAGTGCTTTAAGTATGAACAACAATGAAATTGATTGGAAAGAGTATGCACCGAAGGCTGAAGAATACAAAAGCGTTGTAGCAAAGGCCATCGCCGAAGGAACAGGGCATATCATCAAGGGAATCTTCACTTGTAGCAATTCTTACTCTAAGAAGGTCTCATACATATAAGCCCTTCTCATGATGCTTATGAGTGTTAATATTAGATGATTGTGATTTGAATCGAAATGGTTGTTATAGTGAAGAATCATGAACTTCCAATTCAAACCCAATTTGTGGAAAGACGTATGTGTTTTATTTACTAGTATAGATCATCTTAGTTTTGTGTTGGATTATTAATAACTATTATATGAACATGGAGATTTAAGACGCACATATTGTAGAATTTTTTATTATAATATCAATATGGTTTTATTTTCTTGTAATAAAAACAGATTCACAAGGGAGGAACGATTGCTGAAGAGGTTGAGGAAAGAAGTGGTGACATATCAGAAATTGATGGAGGTGGCAACAATGAAACTAAGAAGGAGAATAAACTCAACAAAAATCTTCAAAGGTATTCACATTTTAATCTCTATCCCGCAAAATTGTATATATTATATCAAACAATAAAATCTTGGTTATTTCGTTGTATGTAACATATACATAGAGCGGAGAAGTTGTGGAATATGAGCGAGGCTATAGGAATGGCGGTCTTAGAAGGTGAAGATATGGTGAGTGGTTGGATGGTAGCTCCGGTGGTTAAGTCGAGGTTAGGGAAGGCATTGTTATCCACTGCTCCAGGAGAGGTTATCTTGGCATCACTTGATTCTTTTCGTAAGTTACATAGAATAGCTCCACTAATTGTCAATCTATACTCATCTTCATTTATTTTGAAGTTTTTGGGATCAAAATTTTGATAAAATAAAACAGATAAAGTTTGATGTGATCAATAGATAATATAATTGGTGCTGCTGAAGCGGCAGAGATACAAACTCATTCTGCCACATCCATGGCTGCTACTAGACTTGTGAGTAAGAGGTAAAAAGTTCACTTTGTGATCCTCAATTTTGGGATTGAATTATGTTTCTATATATGTAGTAGTACGTTACTTTTTTTTTGAAAGAATGTAAAATTTATTCAATCAAAAAACTGGTGTTACAACAAGTGTTTCAGTTTCGAGTTTATAGAAGACTCTGATTTAAGGTACAATTTTAAGTTTGAGTAGAAAACCAAAACATGAGGAGGTCATCATATTTTTGGTTCCCCGAGCAGCGAAGAAGTGTTATCTTGTTTCAAATTGTTTCCCTATCATTTGGCCAAGGCGAGGAGCTGGGATGTGAGCTTCGCCATGTCTGCGATTATTCCGTTCTCTCCAAATGGAGTAGTACGTTACACACCGGTATTTGAATCAAAAGAATGATTATATATAAATCGGTAGAAAATAAAATTGAAGTTGGTAGAATCCCACATTTCTAATGAGATATGTTCTTGTATTTGGATAGCATGCATACATCTATATACTAACAATTAGTTTTGAGTTGGTAATTAATGATTTTTAGAGATACAGTAGGTTAGCATTTTTATTTGTTGGGATTGTTTATATATATGATAAGTTAAATGACCATGCATCCAATTTATACATTTCTTGAGTTGAATAATGTAACAATATTCATATTTTTGTGATGACCGCACCACAGTTTTGGAGAGAAAGCCGGAAAAACCACCGGAAAAATATTAGAAACAACGGGCAGCTTGGGCCGAACCGCCTGGAATATTCAAAAAGCTCTCGAGCCAACTTTTTCCATCACCTCAAAAATTGTCAAAAATGCTCCGACACAGTAATATGTAATTATCTATATCTTAAAAACCAAGTTACGTTTTCATATGTTGTATTGTATCATATGTTGTATTGTATCAAATTACTTATGTCTTGGTTTTGGTTACAAAAAGTGTGTAAGAAAATTCAAAACGAGTCTATCTATATATACATCAAATTCGAACAAGAACCGGAATCCAAATTTTGGTATATTTTGACTTTTGTTATTGCGAGAACCAAAGTCAACATCTGACAAAACACACACAACAGTTAAACACTTACAGTGTCTCTCTACCACGTACAATTAATTTCCCGCTCTAGGGCATATGTCTGATTCGATCTGAAATCAAAACTCATGAATCAATCCAATCTTGCAACACCAAATCTCTCCCTCACCGTAACCGTAATCCCCAAACACCCAATTCGTCATCACCCAGCTCCAATTTATAGCCGGAGCTTTGCAAACCCTAAGCTTCTCTTCCCGCTCCGGCTTAATGAGACTCCGTCCTCTCTCGCCGCGAAAAGGGTTTTTATGGTTAGAGCCAAAGTCGACGGAGACGGAAAAACCGGGAATTGGGTGAACCGGTTACCAATTCCAGGACTCGGAGCCGAAAATGTCTTCAGACTGATTTCAAGCGCGACGGGAAGTCCTATCGGACAATTCATATCGTCTCCTGTGACATTTCTCCATTCGGTGGATCCAAGAATCAAATTGGTATATTGAATTCTTGATTCTTGTCAAATTTCTAATCGAATTTTGTTAAAAAGTTTGAGTCTTTTTCTTTTGTTAGAGCAATCTTGATTCTTGATTCTTGTCAATTCTTGAATTTTGGTATTTGTATATATGTGCAGGTATGGCTATTAACTCTAGTAGTTCTTCCAGCAAGAGCAAATATAGTTGTGCGTTTAGGACTTGTAGTATGCACAGCTCTTTTGTCAATCCTTGTTCTCCCAAGACAAGTATGGATGGTGAGTTCTTTTTCTCTGTCACAACTCTTTTTATATACGATTTAGTTATGTTCTTGAATTAGTATGATCAATGCATTTTCAACTTCTTGTAATTACAACTTCTTCTTCTCTTTGGTTGTTGTCATGTGAATCGTGATCTATCTTCTCCACTGATTTTTCTTACTTTGTCATGTAAGGATCAATTGGCGAGAGTGTCGCTTCTTTCGGGAATTCTCTTCATAACCTTGGGGCTAGGTTCAGATGGTGCACCTCCAATGCTTCAATCAAGAACCCCACCATCTTCAGTCACAAGCTTGCCTAATCTTCCCATGTCGTTAAGCGGTTATTCGTACATGTTACTGAAGCTTGGTCCTTTGCAATTCACTAGGAAAGGTTTGTCTGTTGGAAGCACAGCCGCATGCTTAACCTTTATTGTAAGTCGGTTTTCGACTTCTACGGTTTCCCTATTTCTTTCCTTGATTAGATCACTTAAATGGAACATTTGGTTTTTGTCACAGATCTTTCAAAGTGCTAGTATTTGCCTTGCTACCACAACACCAGAGCAACTTGCACTAGCTCTACGTTGGTTCTTGTTCCCGTTGACATATATTGGTGTTCCAGTCGGTGAAATTATCCTCACGCTATTGCTTTCACTGAGATTCATTAATTTGGTTTTCGATGAGGTAAAGATCTATATACAACATCTCCCGGCTTCGCATTTATGTTATCAATCAGCCTAGTTATTCCAAGTTCTAAACCTCATAATGGTACATTGTGTGCATGTTACATTGTAGGTCCGAAGTGTTTCACTCGGAATTGTATCCCGAAGAGTAAACTGGCAGCAGCTTACTGTTCTGGAGACACTTGATAGTAAGAATCTCTCTTTCTATATACTTCTCCTGGTTTTCTCAGTCTTTCCGAACCTCAACTTACAAGTGATCGCTTTTTGTAGTTTTCGCGTCATTCATACGCCGCATTTTCAAGAATATATTTCGCCATGCCGAGCAAATATCACAGGTCAAATAGATTTCAGTTATTATCTCATTGATTTGAGAATCAAATAGGAACTCTCTGTTGAAGAACTATGTGTTTTGTATTTATGTGCAGGCCATGATTGTTAGAGGCTTCAGAGGAGAGAGCAGTAGCCACAAGATCTACTTCTTCTCTGGCTCATCGAATAAGTTTGCAGATTTTGCGTCAGTCTTGTGTTTAATCGGTGTCATCTCAACCGCGCTCTTGTCTGAATACTTTCTTGTCTAATATTATTACTTGATTGTTTCAATCTAATCTTTCTTTCACACAATAAACAACTGGAACACTTTCTTTATTTCTTGATATAAAGCAAACAATTACAGGTAACAATCAAGAGTTCAAGACTCATACATGCGAATCAGGTTCACTGGAAATCGACCCGAGACTTGACTAGTTCAAAGATCTTAAGAATAACCTTGTCATTAAACTCCTCGCCCTTGCGTTCGTGAAGCATTGTCTCGCATTCTTCACCCATCTTCTTTTACAACGCGGCCACTTATTCTTGTTCTTCATCAGGTAACCAAGAAACATCCTGATAACACTATCTTTCTCCGAGGGTCCCAAGCCAACCAAGGGTGCGATCTCTTCAATCTCACTCGATAGTCTGGTAAACCCTTCTGGTCTTCGTGGCCAGAAGAGACAAAGGCAGACGAAAACAACGTCTTCCCAAGCCACTCGTGCTTGCTTCTGTAAACAACATCAATCTTGATAACTACCAACAACTCAAACTAAATAAATATCGGGCTATTTAGTTTCTTGCATTGGAAGCAACCACTTGTTTCCATCGTCAAAGGGAAAAATTCGTCATTGGAATTAGGTCATATATAGTACTCATTTAAAACATGACAATATAGTCCAATACTTTTAATTAAATCCCATAGAGCAACATTATATCGATTTGGTAAAATTTAGATTAGAGGAAAATCCAATTTTAAAAAACGAAAAAACGGACAGACAAAACAAAACTAAATTAAACAAAAAGAAAAAAATAGAATAATGTGTTTAGGTTACAGATGCGTCGTTACGAGGAAACGAAGCTCTGACAGAGAAGCCATTTTCTCCATTTTTGTCATCTCTTCTAATTTCTTCTATTTCTCCATTTTTGTCATCTCTTCTAATTTCTTCTATTTATTCCAATTCTCCATTAACGAGATAAAAAAAACTCACAAAATAGATTATCCGTAGATTTTAACTAATTTACAAAAACCTGAGCAGGAAACGAAGAAAAGGACTATTTTACCCTTTTCTTCTTCCTTCTCTTCTTCCACCACCACGATTTCTTTTTTTTTTATTTGCCGCCGAAAGAAACTCCTCCGGCGCTATTTTTTATAGGTTTATTGTTTCTATTTTTAAAGATGGGAACTGAAATTATCCGGCCTCAAAATTGTTTGGTTGACCGGATGAGAGATTCTCCGGCAACATTTTTTAACCCTCGGAGGAATCATTTTCATCGGAAACCACCTCTCCGACCTGACCAAAGAAGAAGATTCGGTTCCGATGAATTCAGAACGATGACGAAGAACGTTGTTAGGAGAAGAGGAGAGTCTTTCGATTCATTTTCAAACATCAAAGTTCGGAAGTATTCACCGGAGGTTTCTGCCGACGATATTTATGCCGGATCATCCATTTTCGTTGTTTCTCCGGCGCCGAGCTCGTTACCTTTGCCGTCGTTTTCAAGAAAGAATGCCAAAAGTCAGATTGTTGTTGTTTCTGTTGATGACTCGGCGTCTCAAGATCTCCGGCGACTTCTCCGGCTAGAGTTTTGAGAAAATTGATTAAAACGGAAAAGTTACCGGAATCGTCAGTTATTTAACGGTTAATATATAACATCTAGGAATCGTCTCCGTTACTGTTTTTATAATCTTATCCTTCCTTTGAAGGGATGGGTATGAAAACGATTGAATAAAAAGTTCGGGGTCAGATTTAGAAATTAATGTTAAAAATTAACTGACTTTTTTCAGTTCTTTGTGTAATGTGGAGGAGATTTTAAAATGAAATTCTTTGGGGTCCAAATGTCAATTAATAAAAATGATATGGGCCGAAATAAGTATTCGTTTGAGCCCAATAAATATATTTAAGTTTAAGGTGTACCCAAATTGTGTAGAAGAAGGGAGAAAGATTTGATTATTGTCTATTTTCTATGGTTTGAACTTTGAACAATTTAGGAATTATACAAAGGTTATATAAATGATATTAGCAAAAATTTGTGAGATAATAACATTGTCGACTGATGAAGGATTTGATGGTGATTTTAAATCTTCATCATCCTCTCAGTCTCCCGAACTCCATTAGTTTCAAATTCGCACTGTTGTCAAAAAGAAATATCTTAAAACTTAAATCTCTCGAAATTAGTTTCATTCAGTAATCACCTCCAACATTGTACATATGAATACGATCATCTTTGTCGCATCACTAAATTAGTTTTGAGTTTTTAATTTAGACAATTAGTCTGGTCGTTTGGTCGCCGCAGGTAGTTGCGGCAGCGGCAGCCGCAGGTGAGGTTGTTCGTTTGGTCGCCGCAGGTACTTGCGGCATAACGCTGCGTTCTGCGGCTAAAAATTTTGGACGCTAATTAAAGTCAGCGTCAAACGATTAAAAGCTGCGGTTGCCGCATATTGACGCATTTGTATTAAATTTTGGGTGAAAATACGCTTTATCAAACAAAACAAAAAATTTGGTACATTCGGAAGAATCAAAATAAGTTGAATAAAACATTTCTGATTCAACTCATATACCTAAAAAAGTTGAAAATAAACAAATTTGTCACATTATACTCTAATGTAAAAGAATAAAAAAATATATAACACCTTATTTTCCTTTTTTGTAAAGTATAACACCCAAATTTTCATATCTTCAAACATATATGTAAAAGAATTCACGTGAGTTGTTGTTTATCAAAAACTTCTTGAGTTATTAGTAGGCATGTACTGATGTACCGATGTACGTGTATTGCGTTTTAAATGTATTATTCTCGAGATTGATTGTGACATATAATTAATTTTGCCAACCTTTCACGATTATTTTGAACCACACATCTTACTTACCACCAAGCACACAGCATACCTTCTTGGATATCTATCTCTTAACTCTCTCATTAAGACTTTGATTTTGACCGTTTGGTCTACCCATATAGTGTGTATCATATCTTTCTGAGGCAATAATTCAAAATATACCACAATGGTACAAATTGCACCACGACACTAGCTATAATCATTTGGTTAGCTTAACGGGAACACATTTTTTTGTGTTGTAACCAACGAACGAGCAATATATTGACTCACTGTTACAGCATTGAATGTGAACACATGTGGCTAGCTAGGGTAATTAATATCTCTGAATACCAATATCGTGATATTAGCTAATAGCCCAAAACATTACGAATTTATTTATTTCCTTATTTATAGTTGGCAAGACCTCCGAATTTAAGAGCTATATCTCCACAATGAAAGCTATATATGTCAAATTATAAAAGTTTCAAAAAGCACTTAATTTTAGGGTCAATTTTTTCTTTAAATTATTTACTATAATACCACTGAAAGGTTTTGTGTTGGCTGGAGTCTCTCACCAGTCAGGCAATTACCAACCAGGCAACCACCGATCAAAATGAGATAGGTATGTGCAGTATATTTAGATACCTAACGTTTTTCTTTTAATTATTCGTTCAATACTACTTAACTTTCTTTTACATGTTTGAAACTTTTAATAATCTTCAGTAGTATCTGAAAATAAAATGTTTATTCGGTGAGTCAAACTTAACAATATAAGATACTGAAAAAATAAATAAACTCCTAATTACTTGCTTTTTTTTTGTGCAACAAAAGTTACTTGCTTATGTAAGTATGTAACCAAGTAAAATTGACACTTATACACCATAAAGACATTATGCTACACGTATCAATTTCTGTCAGTACGTGGTGTTTAAATGTCGAGACGATAAGGACGAGACACTATAGCAATCCTGGTTATGTGAGATTCTGAGGTTCAAAGTTGCAAAATGTGAAAGTAAAAAGATAATAGAAATATAGAATAAGCAACAAACCAAATTTTGTTTCGCTTTATCAATGTTTTTTATAAGATTATAATTCAATTTTATAGCAATCTTTAACTTTTTTTGTCGGCGAATTGGACATTGGCCCTAGCTATTATTAATACTAAACTTATCTAATCATTATTTTATTTGCATGGTATTAGATTATACCACATCATATCTAAGTAAAGTCGCACATTAATCACATCAAATAAATTTCCAAATATAGCAACATATAATATTAACTATGCATAATATCATTTAATGCTTGACTGACATTCTTAAAGAAGGATATTGACTCTCCCCTAGACGGCTAGACCCATAGTCCCATACCAATCGAAAAAAAAAAAAAAAGTAAACACAGAAACAAAGAACGCAATGGGAGAATGCATACAAACACAATTAAGGATTCGCAGAAACCAAAGACAAAAAAACCAAAAAACTTAAATGAATTTTTAAAAGCTTTTGATTGATCCAGCCAAAACATGATTATGACTCCCATTTTGTACTTTCCCCACAGGTTTGGCACCCAACTTCTCCACAAACTTTTCAAGATTCCTATCCGACGATCCACCGCGAGCCACCGCCGCCTCCGCCTCTTCCTTCCACTTCAAAGCATTCTTCTTCAGCTCGATTGCTTTCTCTCCTTTAGTAACCTCTCTCAGCCTCTCCGCCACTTCCTCCCTCGGTACCAACCTCTCCTCCGCCTCTCCACGGCCAAGCCTCACTCCCGTCTTCCAGACATCGACCATGTAAACTGCGTCCGTGACTTGATCTCCCCACTGAGGGAAACAAACCGTTGGGACTCCGGAAGACACAGCTTCCATCGTTGAGTTCCATCCACAATGAGTCACGAAACATGCTACCGAAGGATGAGACAACACTTTCTCTTGTGAACACCATTCAACGATCTTCCCTTTCCCTTTAACTTCTTCCGGCAAAACATGTCGTTCTTTGTTGAAACCTAACGCTTGTTGTCTAATCACCCACAAGAACGTAACGTCAGCGTTTAACACACCGTACGCGATCTCATCTATCTGTTCTTGTTTCAAGTAAGCAACGGTCCCGAATGAGATGTAAACAACGGAGGAAACAGGCTGCGAGTCTAACCATTTCATGCAAGGATCCGTTGGCTCAGAGATGTTTCCTTTGACGTCATCAGAAGCTACGGTTTTAGCCATTTTGTAAAGCGGTCCGAGCGGTCTGATAACGCCGGGGAGAGAGAGAGTTGACATGTGGTCGATGATGTCTTTCTCCAAGGAGTTGAAAGTGTCGATGAAAATAGAGAAAGTCTTGTGAAGCCGTTTGATCTGGTCTATGATCACTTCTCGCAAAGCGGAATAAGGACTTGAAGGGTGAATGAAAGAAGGGATCTCGTCGGGTTTCAAGAGAGGCATGCCAGGGATTTGGACATCTATCTCGGGTTCTGTTTTTGTCGGGAAGTCAACTAGGTTGTGGTGGTAATAGTAATAAGCAGCTAAGCAGGCACAAGACTGAACCCAAAGAACAGCACAAGGGATTTGAAGATCTTCTGCCACGTCACAGACCCAAGAGACGAAAGGGTTGTTGATGAGACATGTTACGGGCTGTTTCATTACTTCCGCGTAACGTTTCACGAGGTTCTTGATCTCTCTTTTGCCGACGAGCTCTAGATGTGGTCGGAGGATGGTTAAGTCGGCTCTGCTAGCTTCGTCGTCTTCAGGAAGCCCGTCGTCAAAGAAATCGTACCGGAGATAGCCTTTACCAACCGGTTTGAGGACACGGTCTTGGATCTTGTTGGAGATTCGCATCTTTTTGCCCCATGACTCTGTAGTGACGAAGGTTATGAGTAAACCCTTTGAAGCTAAGAGCTTGCCGAGACGAAGAAGTGGATTAACGTGGCCTTGCCCTGGGAATGATACGAGCATGACATGAGGAGGTAGAGGAGGTAGAGGAGGAGAAGATTCTAGCTCCATTTTTTAGAAAACTTGGTTTCTCTTTAGTGTGCTCTGTTTCTGTTTTTGTTTTGGAAGGTAGAAGAGAAATACGCCTTAAATAGGAGACAAGCAAAGTGAATAATTAAGGAGTTCTTAATTATTACCGTCGCTCATTGGCCATTAAGTTATTTAATATTTATTGCTTTTCTCTATTGAAATGCGTTACTATATTTAATATCTGGATTTCATTTAATGCACGATACTTAATACTTGGGTCAAGTTGGTGACGTGGATAAAGAACTTCTCACTCATTTGTTTCCCTGATTATTTACACTTTTATAAACCAAAAAGAGATAGATCATAGAGAAATATAACGTCACCTCTCTACATTCCATGTGGTTTTTGAGGAATATTCGATGATTGGTCCAAAAGATTGAAGTTTATATCCTAGCAAGTAGCAACAAACCAAAAAAAATACTAGGTATCGTTTTAAAAAATTGCGATATTCAACTTGAGGTTTAGATGCATGTAGCTTCAACTTGTAATGGTCACTATTTTCAGAGTTGAGATCCAATCTTCAAAAATGCATATTAAACGACCATTCACCAAAATATAGTACCGTATGTAATCAGATTTAGTCTAGCAAAATCCCAAATCCCAAATAATATCTACTTCTAAGTTCTAACCAGTGAAAGTGAAAGTTAGGCCTGGACGTTCGGTTAACCATTCGGTTTCGGTTCGGTTACGTTCGGTTTCGGTTAGTTTGGATATGCTAATATAATAACCATTCGGATATTTTAAGAATTTCAGTTCGGTTCGGTTCGGTTACCTTCTGGTTCGGTTCGGATTGGATATTTAAATAGATAACCGTAACTAACCAAACTTTTATCACGTTCGGTTTGGTTCGGGTTTTTACCCAAATTAACCGAAATTTACCTAATATAACCGAAACTAACCTAAACTAACCAAAATTAACCGAAAAAAATACAAAAAGAGAAAAAATAAAAAAAAATATTAGAAAAAAATTAAAATTTGATTCAATTTTGTAAAAGAGTATTTAACTTTGACAAATATAACAAACAATATTTGGATATTTTGATTATTTAAAGTATTTGATTGATTTGATTCTAAAAATACTTAATACTTTGAGTTTATAATTATAGTTTTGGATATTATTTTTGGGTATCTTATAGGTTTTTGGATATTTCGGTTAACCGTTTGGTTATCGGTTCGGTTCGGTTTCAGTTAGTTTGGATAAGAGATTTTACTAACCATTCGGTTATTTTAAAAACTTCGGTTCGGATATGGTTCGGTTTTTTTCGGTTCGGTTCGGTTCGGTTATTTGGTTAGCGGTTTTTTTGCCCAGGCCTAGTGAAAGTGATCCTAGTTGACTAATGTTGTGCTATATTTTTGGACGAGCTAGGATATTTCTGTTAGTGGCAATTATCATCAAATATGAAACTAAACGTTCACAAAAAAGGTTAACAATGGCGTGGCGAAATTAAAAACCTCTTATTTTCTTTACTTTAGTTTTTTTTTGTTGGCATAAATAATGGAAAATCTCGGAGACAATACCATTAGCTCCACAAAATGAAAAAGGTTGACGTGTTATAATTCTGTTGGTTAACTAATTTAGAGGACTAGTTTCAATTCCACCAAGGCTCGTTCGAGTAGTTCCAATTCTTTAAGTACGAACCATAATGAGTTTTGTTTTGACTTATGATATCTTGACGAAACTTCGGAGGTGCTGACCCGCGGCGAGGCAGAGATGACCTCAGGACAGCTTTTTATTGTGACATGTATACTCATGCGTGTAGTTTATTGTGACAATTTTAATGTGTTTATGTTCTTACTTCCACAATATATTCAGGCAATCATATATAATTCAATTTTATAATTTGATTCCAGAAATATTTTAGTTAGAGATATTACAATAAAGGCGTTTACGAATTGATCTACTATGAAATTTATTCGTCAAGATATGTTAGTCTATTTTTGGCATTATTCGACAAGAGTCAAGTCATGTTCTTTTTTTTTTTTTTTTCTGTGTGCAAACGAGTCAAGTCATGTTAATATGTGAATATCGATCGTCTTTCACATCTTCGAGAAGAAAGTACTATTCTTGTTTCTTTGTCAATTTCTTTATATTGCATATTAACGAACAGCAACTTCAAAGATGATTTTGATGCGACAACCACTAAGATCAAACTAATAATGATATAAGTAAACACGAAGGTTTCATAAAAAAAACAATTCATCTTAATAATACTTTTTTGCCTCACTGCGATAAATATGTTGTACAAGTACCGAGACTAGTGGATCTATTTGTTTACAATTTTACTTCCTCGACCATTTGTGGATGACGAAAGAGAATGGTGTCACAACTATTCTCACTAGTCACTACTAAATGAGACTTGAGACAAAACGACATCGTTTGAATGAAGTCACACATGTCAAAACAGGCTGAAGACGATGTCGATGTGTACGTGGCCACCCATGTCTAGCCAGACACATTTATATTCTCTTTGTTTTGCTTTTTCACTAAGGTCACATGCCTCTTGCTCGAATCACCTCTCTTTTTCTGAACCATTTTAGTTGAAACAATGGGTACATGTGAATCTCTCTAGAATTTAGCACTCAAAATCTGTTTTTTCCGGATCACAATAGCTTTCTATATATTCTTTTAGATTGTATGTTTAGTCTTTCATATACAAAGTAAGGAAAATTTGCAAGTCCTGATCAAACGATGAATACGTTAGATTCTTAATCCGACAAGAGCAAAAGACAATGATCAGTCACGGGAACAAAAAATTTTAGTGTACGGACGGACCCAATCCAACACCAATTTGGGCTCTTGTGCGAATTTTTTTATTGTGGACATGTTGTTACTATAATTTTTTTTGGGCTTTTCGTGTCATCTATACTAAAAGTTGTTCGAAAAGACACGGACCCAAAAACCGTCCATCCCATCTGGACCTGACTTGTGTACGGATGTAGTAAAGATGAATTATAATTCGATCTATCAAGATGAATTAAGATGATCGTCAAATCCTAAAGAAGGTTGAATGAACTGAATCTATAGATTCCGCATGTGTGACAACCAATGAAACTCCGATAGCATATGTATATACTACTGAAGACTATTATATCGAGTAACCTTATGTATGAACCAACAGTTTCATATGTGAAGTCTCTAAATACACAAATTTGTTTATAACAAAATTAAAAAAAAAAAAGAAATAAATTCATACATGTTCCGGTCTACAACCAAACTTTGTTTCGGATAATAATTAAAGACCAAACATTTTGTTCTACACTCGATACGTTTGGGACTACCAGATCTTTCAACGACCTATATGACGATATGCGTGACATCAAATGGAATGGAGCATTAAAAAATGACTTCACACTTTATGTATCTAAATGAGACACTCTATAATACAAAGAGAAACATAACGAATCTAATCCTCCAAGCCACGTTTTCTAGTACAAGCCTAAAATACTAAAAAGGGTAACAAAAACAAATTATAAAGTTATAATTAAATTCTCCCCCAACTTTTTTTTAAAGAGTATAAGCAACACCAAACCCGTTTTTACGTAGAAGCAATGTCTTTATCTCATCCTATAAACACTCGACAAACAATACTTTCATAGAACACACTATAAACGACAACTAATAACCTAATTTTCAAAAGAAGAACTACGAAAAAAATGTCGAAAACATTCAAAGCCATAAGAGACCGGACATATTCGGGTGTAGGAGACCTCATCAAGCTCCTCCCGACCGGAACCGTCTTCTTGTTCCAATTCTTAAACCCTGTCCTAACCAACAACGGTCATTGCCTCCTCATCAACAAATACTTAACCGGAGCTCTCATCGTTGTTTGTGCCTTCTCTTGTTGTTTCACTTGCTTCACCGATAGTTACCGAACAAGAGACGGTTACGTTCATTATGGGGTTGCTACCGTGAAGGGTCTCTGGCCAGATTCGTCTTCAGTGGATTTGTCTTCGAAACGGCTTAGAGTTGGAGATTTCGTTCACGCTTTCTTCTCTCTTATCGTGTTCAGTGTTATTTCCTTGTTGGATGCAAACACTGTGAATTGTTTCTATCCTGGCTTTGGTTCCACTGGGAAGATCTTTCTTATGGTTTTGCCTCCGGTGATTGGAGTTATCTCCGGTGCTGTCTTCACGGTGTTCCCTAGTAGACGTCATGGAATTGGGAATCCCTCGGACCACAATGAGGATGATGCTTCCGAGATAGAGAAATGATGTATATGATTTATACTATTTATAAATGTTATGGCATGTGTTTATTCGTGGAATGGCAAATACGAAAGTTGTCTAAATAATTATTGTAATCTTTCATTTTTTTTGTTTTTGTATTGATTTATTATTTATGTATTTGATTGCTGATCATATGTTGTGTGTGTTTTTGTTGTTGGGATTTTTTCCACTTGTTTGTTGATAAACTCTACTAATAACATATCTTACAGTGTGTGTTAATCTTCTTATGCTAATAGTGAATTAGTACTATTAAAATCAATAGATGTTAAGGAGTTGAAACTTAAAAGACATATATTACACACAAATCTTTCTAAAAATTCTTTTATTTTGAAAGAAATTAGCAAGGAAAATTAGTTGTGTATGTTAAAAAGATAAGCCTAGAGTGTGAATAAGATTAAGAATGTATGTTCTTGATTTTCTTTAGATGATAATCATTCAATTATTATACTTTACTTTTAAGGATTATGATTAACAAATTACTATTGGTCATGAATGTCGTGAACCCTTTTTTCTTTTTGTTTGTTCCGTTTCGTTCTTAGTATCAATGATTACACAACAATGTAAATTGAGAAAACAATTGGGTCCGACGAGTAAGGGCTTCAAACCTATTAAAAGAAAGTTAGGGGTCAAATATTGAATAGACAAAAAGTTTAAGACTATATCACAATTTATCAAAAGTAACATAAGATGTTAGAACCCTGACTTTACCTCTCCAAAACCCTAAAGCCCGCCATCAAAAGGAGCTAGAAGAAGAAGAAGAAGAGAAAATCAAAATCAAAGCTTTTCGAGAATGGTGAAGGCTTACCTAAGATACGAGGCTGCGTCCTCTTTCGGTGTGATTTCATCTGTAGATTCGAACATAACTTACGATTCGACGGGGAAGCATGTACTTGCTCCGGCGTTGGAGAAAGTCGGAATCTGGCACGTCCGGCAAGGTGTCTGTACCAAAACCCTAAATCCTTCCTCTTCTCGCGGCGGACCATCTCTCGCCGTTACCTCCATCGCCTCCTCTGCTTCTAGCTTGGTACTTACTTTTGTTTGTTAGATGACTTGAAATTTGTTCACTTTGTGAAGTAATTGAAGTTTAAGCTAAAGTTACAGTAGTTTAATTGCTTAGCTAAGAGAACAATATCTAGGAGGAAGAAGAAGTGAAGAGAACTAATAATATGATTCTGTGTGATAAACCAGGTGGCAGTTGGGTATGCTGATGGGAGTATAAGAATATGGGATTGTGAGAAAGGAACTTGTGAGGTTAATTTCAATAGTCATAAGGGGGCTGTGACTGCTTTGCGGTACAATAAGGTTGGATCAATGCTTGCGTCTGGAAGTAAAGATAATGATGTTATCTTGTGGGATGTTGTTGGCGAATCAGGTCTTTTTCGTCTCCGTGGACACCGTGATCAGGTTATTTTTAATGTCTAACTTTACAGTTCTATCATGTAGTGTTTGATGATTCTTCTATGGGGTGTGCTCTTTCACAGTGGTTTTTGACAAAAGCAATATTCATGTGTCTAATGTAGGTCACAGATCTTGTATTCTTGGATGGTGGTAAGAAACTTGTTAGTTCATCTAAGGACAAGTTCTTGAGAGTCTGGGATCTTGAGACCCAACACTGTATGCAAATAGTTAGCGGTCATCATAGTGAAGTGTGGTCTGTTGATGCTGATCCAGAGGAGAGATTTGTTGTTACTGGGTCGGCTGATCAAGAACTTAGATTTTATGCTGTCAAGCAATACTTGTCTAGCGGATCATTGGTATCTGATTCAAATGCAAATGAAATCAAGACGAGTGAAGAACATTCGACAGAGAACAAGTGGGAAATTTTAAAGCCGTTTGGGGAAATTCAGAGACAAACTAAGGATAGAGTTGCGAGAGTTAGATTCAATGTTTCGGGGAAACTGTTGGCTTGTCAAATGGCAGGTAAAACAGTTGAAATATTCCGGGTTTTGGATGAAGCTGAGGCTAAGAAGAAAGCAAAGCGCAGGCTTCACAGGAAAGAGAAGAAGACTTCCAAAGTGGGGGATGAAAATCTAACCGCTAATGGTGAAGCAAGTGCTAAAATTGAACAAGCTGATACTGTTTCTAGTCCTACTGTCCCTGATGTGTTTAAGCTTTTACAAGTCATTAGAGCTGGCAGAAAAATCAGCTCTTTCTCTTTTTGTCCGGTGACTCCAAAAGAATCCTTAGGAACAGTAGCTCTCTCTTTGAACAATAACTCCCTGGAATTCTATTCCCTTAAGAGCAGCGAAAACGAGAAAACTGTTACCATTGAACACCAAGGACATCGCTCTGACGTGAGGAGTGTTACCCTCAGTGAAGACAACACCCTTTTGATGTCAACCAGTCATAGTGAAGTGAAAATTTGGAATCCCAGTACAGGTTCCTGTCTCCGGACCATTGATTCAGGATATGGATTATGCAGTTTGATTGTTCCTCAAAACAAGTATGGTATTGTTGGAACCAAGAGTGGGGTACTCGAAATCATTGATATAGGGAGCGCTACCAAAGTGGAAGAAGTGGAGGCTCATGGTGGCACTATTTGGTCAATTACAGCTATTCCAAACGATAATGGGTTTGTCACTGTCAGTGCAGATCATGAAGTCAAATTCTGGGACTACCAAGTCAAACAGAAATCTGGCAAGGTGAGATTCCTTACCTTAAGTTTCTTTTATTTTCTCTAGTAGAATAAGTAAACGTTTTTGTTTCATAAATTTCTTCTCTACTCTCCTTTTTTGTCCATCTCCTGTTTTCTGTGCATTCGTTTTCTGGAATTGCTTACTCTTAAGAAAGTTGTTGATGAGCACATTGTTTATTAGTGTTATTTGAGTAGTATATTACAGTGCGCTAAAATGATTCAGTTTTAACATATTGTATTTGATAACCTACAGGCGACCAAGCAACTCACTGTTTCAAATGTTAAGTCCATGAAGATGAATGACGATGTACTTGCTGTTGCTATCAGCCCTGATGCTAAACATATAGCTGTTGCACTGCTTGATTCCACAGTGAAGGTAGATTTATTTTGTTATTTTGTTGTTTTGTTTGTTGTATTATGTTTATGGCATATTTAAACGAAAAATCGATAATTTACATGACGCCATATAAATGATAAGCTAACCACATTCGTATCTATCGTTTTATCATTTTCCTTGACTTATGTAACACCAACTTACTTACCTTATATTGGTTTCAGGTTTTCTACATGGATTCCCTAAAATTCTACCTCTCCTTATATGGCCACAAGTTGCCTGTGATGTGCATTGACATCTCATCAGATGGAGAGTTGATTGTAACTGGTTCTCAGGACAAAAATTTGAAAATTTGGGGTTTGGATTTTGGTGATTGTCATAAGTCTATCTTTGCTCATGGTGACAGGTACGTACATTATTTCTCAAAATGGCATAACATATTCTATGATATGGACTCAGTTTTTCCTTGTAGATTATAATCTTGTGTCTGGTTTTATCAGAAAAATTGTTTTTTCTCTAATAGAGAGCCATTGAACCAGGAAAAAGACTTAGAATGGAAAAATACAAAAAAAACAGAATGATAATTGCATGAGATGATATAAGCCGAAAACTCTTTTTTTTTCAGCATCTTCCCAACATATTTACTTAGCTAGTAAAATGTTGATTATTATCGGAAATATTACATTTTGTGGTTAAGACTCCTTACATCATTAAATGATTTGTGGTGCTTTAGTAACACGTGACTTTGTTTTACAGTGTTATGGGTGTTAAATTTGTTCGGAATACCCATTATCTATTCAGCATTGGGAAAGACCGCCTCGTCAAGTATTGGGATGCTGACAAATTCGAGCTATTGTTAACGCTTGAAGGACATCATGCAGAGATTTGGTGCCTTGCTGTCAGTAACCGTGGTGATTTTCTCGTAACAGGATCTCATGACCGCTCTATGCGTCGCTGGGATCGCTCTGAAGAACCTTTCTTCCTCGAGGTAATTCCCCACTGTTGGAAGTTACTAATTTTAATATACATGATGAAATCAGATACGGAAATCATGCAAGTTCAAGCATTCAAATATAATAACTCTTCTTTGTGGTTGTGAATGTAAATTTGGTGGCATGTGTACATAAATCTTAAGTATATGTTGATGAGTGACTTTATGTGACTTTGGGCCAATTAATGTAATTTTGCTGGAAATAATGCAGGAGGAGAAGGAAAAGAGGTTAGAAGAGCTTTTTGAGTCTGAGATTGATAATGAGGACAGGCATGGACCCATGGAGGAAATTCCAGAGGAAGGTGTTGCAGCATTAGCTGGCAAGAAGACGATAGATATTCTATCAGCTGCTGATTCAATTATAGATGCTCTGGAAGTAGCAGAAGATGAAAAGAATCGTCATGCTGCTTATGAGGTGGGAATTGTTACTTTGTTTATCTATACGTATGGACATGACACCCCCCAAGTTGGTGCTTTGTTTTTTGCTAATTTGGAGTCGAATTTAACATAAAATGGTTATGCCAATATCTACGGTTGCTACTTTGTTTCCTACTAGTTATTTACATCGTGATTTTTCTTTCTTCCAAATTTCAGGAGGAGAAAACAAATGGAAAAGTTCCTGAATACCTACCCAACGCTGTGATGTTCGGGCTTTCTCCGACCGATTATGTTCTCAGGGCCATCTCAAATGTGAGAACAAATGATCTTGAGCAGACTTTGCTGGTAGGTTGCTTTCTTCTATCAAACCATCGTTTTACTAGTTACTTGGTTGCACCCATTTTGTATTAGATCCAAGGTTATGTTAATCAATACCCTTTCCTCTTTTGGGTTTTGTGTAGGCTCTACCATTCTCAGAATCTTTGAAGTTTCTTTGCTACATGAAAGACTGGAGTTTAATTCCCGAAAAGGTAATTATATACCCCTTTTGTGTCCTAGATTCTAGATTTCAGCTCTGAAGGGCCAGCATATGTAGACGCGTGTTGTAAAGTAGCATGTACTCAATCTCGGTCACCAACCTGTTATATTGTTTAGAATGAAGAGTAAATCAATGGAACATAAATCCCCGAGTTCCCGTCTTAGAATTTCTTTAATGTTTGTTACATAAATGCTGCAGGTAGAGTTGGTTTCCAGAATCGCAACCATTATATTACAGACACATCACAACCAGTTGGTAACAACACCGTCTGCCAGACCAGTCTTAAGCGTTCTCAGGGATATTCTGTACTCAGAAATCAAGGTTAGCAAAGAGGAAAAGTGTTGTTGAGTTCTATATGTTTTTTTTTTCTGAATTGGTTTTGATATGAATCTGTAAAATATCAGGCATGCAAAGATACAATCGGGTTCAATTTGGCCGCCATGGATCATGTCAAGGTAAAAACATTTCACTTTGGATTATGTTCCTTTAAGCATTTTCTCTCATACCAATTAGTGGGGTATTAAAGTGAAGTTTTGGTGTGTTTGCAGCAAATGATGGACTCAAGATCTGATGCTCCCTTCAAAGATGCAAAGGCCAAGCTAATGGAGATAAGGTCACAACAAGCGAAACGTATGGCATCACGAGCAGATACAAAGATGGAGAAAAAGAGAAAGAAGAAGCAGAAGAAATTAGAGGAAGGACAACATGGCCATGCTTTGTTCTGAAGATGTATCTTTTAAGGATGGTTAATTTAAATCCAATTTTGCCTGTAACCTTTTTTCCGTTTAATGTTTTATTATTACTAAATCACTTCGTCTCTGGAAAACGTGAAAATTCATAAACGAAAGCGTCAAAATATACATTTCTTAAAATTAGAGAGCCATTTGTGTAATTCAGGAAATCTTTGTGGTTCAAGACTGATTAAACCAGTCTGGTTTAATTTAGAGCTCCACTAATTCCCGGTTAACGTGAAGGTCTTTGCAACGGCGAACATCGACGGCGGCGATGGGATCGAAGAAGGTGGTGGTAATCGATAAACGCCGAGGCTTTTCAGTCTCCGGAAGCCATGGCTCTGCTTCTCTCAGGCGCTTCCGTCATTTTCACTACCTGAAGGTCTCTCTTTGCTCCATCTCTACATAAAAATTGATCGAGATTATGGGAATTCTGTGGATATCCGAATTTTTTCTTACAAATTGGGTTTGGTTTTATTACGAGAAGCTACTGAAAAAAAAAAAAACTATTCTTGATAGAAAAGATAACAATTTAGTTTAAGGTTTGTGTAGCAAAATCATTCAAGAACATGACAAACTATGTAGAAATCTTTTAGTCTCAGGGTTGGTAATTTGTTTGATTAAGTCAACTAATTATTAGATATGGTAATATCTTTCTACACATGCACAGTCTAAATCCTTCACACAAGTCTAGTTGTGTATAGAATATAGATATTTTTTTTTGTCAGTTTTCTGTTTAACCTACTTGAGAGAATTTCATGGAGATGGTTGATCAACAGGTAAGATTTTGGTTCTTTCTTCTGTGGTAGCAGGTTTACATTGTTTGACATTTTAGAATGAGACGCTCACCAGAAATTGAGTTAATTTTATCCTTTATTCACCAAATTTGGAGCAGTTGGCTCATTGCTTCTCCTTCATAAATACTTTAACAATCTCATCTCTTTCATTGATATGACATCATAGTCTTGTTGTTTGTTTGATTGTCTTATGAAAAGTTTGTATCTTTGTTTGGAAAGCTCTCAAAGTGTTAATCTTTTGTACCTGTTTCTATTTTTTGAAGCAGAATAACAGAGAGATTACATGTTGTGTGTGTTTAGAAGGAAGCTTGGTTGTCTTTTTTCAAGACTTAGATGGGTTATCAAGAAACGGGTGAGAGCCAGAGTTATAGTCAGGAGGTTCAGGAAAGCAAGGTGGAGAGCTCGAAGAAAAGAGAGTCCGGAATCCGAAGTTTCTTCTATCCATCTGAGCTCAAACTCTAGAAGACGTATTCGGGTTGCAACGTTTAACGTGGCTATGTTCTCACTTGCGCCTGTTGTGCAAAACATGGAGGAAACAGATTTTCTTGGTCATATAGATAGCAACAACATCACATGCCCTTCTCCAAAAGGGATTCTGAAGCAGTCTCCATTACATTCTTCTGCAGTCAGGAAACCAAAGGTCTGCATTAATCTCCCAGACAATGAGATTTCTTTAGCACAGAGCTACAGCTTTCTGAGTATGGTAGAGAATGATAACGACGGGAAGGAAAACAGAGGAAGTATCTCGATGAGATCTCCCGTGTGTCTTCCCTCTTGTTGGTGGGACCAAGAAAGCTTTAACGGATACAGCAGCAGAAGAAGCATAGCTGAATTGTTAAGAGAGTTGGATGCAGATATCTTGGCTTTACAAGACGTGAAAGCAGAGGAAGAGACTCTAATGAAACCATTATCAGATTTGGCTTCTGCCTTAGGTATGAAATACGTGTTTGCAGAGAGCTGGGCGCCGGAGTATGGCAACGCCATTCTGTCAAAATGGCCCATAAAGAAGTGGAGAGTTCAGAGAATTGCTGATGTAGATGATTTTAGGTGATACAAAAATCTCTTTTGCTTATCTTACATTGATTCTCCTCTTCCCACTATATCATTGCTGATGTAAATGTCTTTTTTTGTGTGTGCAGGAATGTGTTGAAGGTGACTGTAGAGGTACCATGGGCTGGAGATGTAAATGTGTATTGTACTCAACTTGATCATCTAGATGAGAACTGGCGGATGAAGCAAATCGATGCAATTACTCAAGGAGATGAATCTCCTCACATCTTGCTGGGAGGCTTGAATTCTCTTGATGGCTCTGATTATTCCATTGCTAGATGGAACCACATATTAAAGGTAAATTTTCGTTAGATCGGTCATTTTTTAGTTTGCTTCATATACAACTAAAACCATGTACTGTAAGAACAGTATTACGAGGATTCGGGAAAGCCGACGCCTAGAGTTGAAGTGATGAGATTTCTCAAGGGAAAAGGATACTTGGATTCAAAAGAATTTGCAGGAGAATGTGAGCCTGTAGTCATTATTGCCAAAGGACAAAGTTAGTTTCTCTGTTTCTCTGTTTCTCTTAACTTGCAAAGTTTTACATTCTTCCGTTAGTCATATGTGAAATTCTTGATCTGATTTAGATGTACAAGGAACATGCAAGTACGGGACACGGGTCGATTACATTCTGGCATCTCCAGAGTCACCTTACGAATTCGTTCCAGGCTCTTATTCAGTTGTTTCTTCCAAAGGTACTTCTGATCATCATATAGTCAAAGTCGATTTAATTATAACCAAAGAGCGGTCTCGAGGTAGCTTCAAACATTCGCGCAAGAAAGCAAAGCAGAAGATCTTTCAGATTAAAGCTAATTTGATGTCAGGAGATACATGGAAACTAGGAAATCTTATGTCTTCATAATGTTTGGCCACTAATTAAAAGGAACAACACTTGTTTATATGATAACGTTTATTCCAATCATATTAAGATACAATACAACATTTAGTCTACATATTGATCGCTATGGTTACAACGAACTAAATAAATGTTTAAGTAAACAATCTACAACAAATCTTGACAAATAATTTAGAAACAACTGAGGTAACCAATCTTAGGCAGAGACAGAGCCTTTCTTGGTCTCCTCTTCAGCAGTTACCTCCTCAGCAATTGGTGCGTACCCGATTCCACTCCGTTTGCTTGGAAACAAAGCAAAGATAGCGGCTGAGGCAACACCCACGGCTGGAGGCAAAGCCATGACTAGTGTCTTTTGCGTTTCCCTGAACCGAGGATAAAAGCAGCTCGCGGTATTAGCGTCAAGCAACACCAGTGCACCAAACACAGCTAGCACGAAACCAGCATGAACGAAATCCGCGATCCTGAGCTTGTACTTGGACAAATCCACGGATCCTGGCTCCGCGTAAGTCCAAAGACCCTTCTTGGTGACAATACCGAACTTTCTTGATCCGTCGACGCCTTTGAAACTATCGGTAAAGCATGAAAACACACAGGAGAAGCTGCAAAGCGCGACAAGAATGCTCGACATGACCTTATTACCTGTGGAGCATTCACCGTCGTTAGTGAGGATAGGGTTAAGTAAAAGGTAGATGAAGAGTGTTCCCGTTGGGAGAAGCTTTATAAGACTCTCTAGGCCTGTGAGGGATTTGTTTGCCATGGTTTCTGATGAAGCTGGAGAGTTTGTTTTGGGTAATAGCAAAGAAGAAGTTTCGGACATGAGCTTGAACCTAGAGTTAATTAAATGTATAAACTATAAAGTGTGGTCTTGGCTTGATACGTGTGTCGGTATTTATAGAACAGTTTGAGATGATAAACCATTGATCCGGTCCGAGATGTTGGGTTTAACACCGTAGAAGAATTGGTAATAACATTGACTAAGTCAAATTATTACATTTTGTCTATATGTCTACACACGAAGACTCGATCATTTGAATGTGTTTGTTTTTGTTTGTCATCTCGGAGACAAAATGTAGAAGAATTTGTTTGTCATTTGAATGTGTTTGTTTTTGTGTTTACATGTTAAAATGTGCTGTTATAATAAAAATTTCTTTCAAGTAATAAACGTAAAAACACAAAATTGATGGAGAATATGGACTTGATTTTTTAAAAGTTTACGTTTACATTTGTATTAACATGATCTAAAAGTGTGTTTATTGTGTGTGAAATTGTAATGTCCCAACTGCCATCGTTCGTGGACTCTACGCTCTCTTTTGGTATGTGTGTCTATCTTTGTTCGATGATCGGTTGGCTATTTCCGGAGAATTTAAAGATTTGTTTACTGATTATAAAAATCACGTGTTTAATGTTTTGGTCTTATTCACACGGTACCGAAAATTACTTTCTGGTAGATTACTAATCCTTAAAAATTGTTCAACCTCAAACACGTTTAGTTTTAGAGTCTTCTCGCAATGTTTGACAAGAAAAATTAATGTTAAACCTTTCTCGTACACCACCATATTCCAGAAATCGGAATGTTACATAAACTATTATGTCAAAATAGATCGTTGTTACAGTATTTGTTTATAAATGTAAATACAGCATTCTAACATTTAATTCTAAACTCACTGTTGCAGACAAAAAAAAAAACATCAAAACTCACTTTTTTGTGCAGTTGAACCAACCAAGCCCATACGAGAGATAAAGTTGACAGCTAATTTCTTGTAATTACTTGTGTAAATTGAACTTAACCTGAAATTGGCAGTGAACCAACAAATCGACTAACTCGTTCTGCATGTTCACTTTTTATTTGTTTTGAGTAAATAAAATTCATAATTGGCTGCGTCTACAGCGACTTGTATTTTAGCTTTACACATTTTTTTAAAATTTGATTTGGCTATTGGCTAATTCTTTCTTGACTTTTTACGTATAAATTTGTTAATATAATATGTAAGATATCAAAATTCATAATAATATTTGAAAGGTCCATAATTAGTGATGGAACCCTCTGACGATGGACCCATTATCAAGTAAGAACCACTAATAATCTTTGGTTAGTTAGTATAATACGTTTTATTCCATTGGTTAAACGCATCGTACGTTCTTGCATGTCCCATTTCCCATTCATCATGTGATACGTGTCAAAGCGGAGATCTTTACACAAATGTGCAGAAATATACAGTGATACTAATATACTATTATTGTTTATTTTGGCTTGACGTGTTGGAAGTGTTATTGAAAATACGAATTATCTCAGGAAAAAATTGACATTTTACTGTGCATGAGAAAATAGATAAGAATGGTGTGTATGAGTATGATTGGGAAAGTATTTGGAGTGATCACAAAAATCCCAGTCCAGGGACATGCAAATGAAGAAATAGTGGTAGAAAAAGATGACACTGGTGGTGTGCTGATTGTAATATGTTAAAAATGTTACATAAAAAGTATATTGTATGTAGTCTATGAATTAAAGATATGAGCCAAATTGCATATATTGTTAGTTGGTTTGAAATAAAGATACATGAATCTTGAAAAAAAAGTGTTAAGTGTTTACTTAAGGTTGGATTGCGTCCATGCATGATTGGTTTAATTAACCGGTAGAAAAATTGTTATTAACTCTACTAAACTCATAATCTATTCTCGTAACTTCTCTTGTCCAAAGACATTGCAGAGAAGTAAAAGAGTTAGGCAATTAGAAAGTTGGAAGAAATGTATAGAGCAAGTGATAAACGATTAAAAAGGAAAGTATTAAGCACGAAAAAAACATTTGAATTGTAATAAGTGGTTGATTCCTATTTGTGATTTCTTAATTTCCTTATGCGTTACCATTTGCAAATTAGTTTGATTGCTACACCAAAATAAGGCATGTATTCCGGTTTACGGTTTTAACATAAAATTTTTTTATAGTTTGAAACTCAAACAAGAAATCCAAAGAAAACAAGATAATGTCACAAAAGTGGCCAAATTAATGAAAAATAATTTGTATAACACAAAAAACGACAATATATGTATATATCATATTTTAATAAGTATTCCACCAAATGATTGGACGAGAATTGACTACAGAAATTAGAAATTGCATTATGTTTTGGCCGTGAACAACATTACAAAGTGTTAGGCGGCATATAGAGTTCATCAAAGTCACAATTCACTAGATAAACTCATTACGTTACGATTTTTGTGAGACATCATTGTAAATAAACTAAGCAATCAATGTATTATTATAATAAAAGAAATACTAGTTGGACAAAAACAATGAGGATCAAATCAAATTATATATTACAATTAAAGTTTCCCTAGACAGATGCTATTTGAAAGATACATTGAATGCGAGCTGTGCATATTAATATATGCTTTTCATCAGATGTACAGTAATTTAAAATTCGAACCAATAAAATGTTTTAAAATATTAAAGAAAAAAAAGACAAATCAAGAAGTATCAAATGCTCTTCTTATGTCTTTATCACATTTGCAAAAAAACGAGGAGAAAAAGGCGCGAATGGTTAGACAGTTGACAGCACGACCAACTTCCATTTTTTTAAAGTTGATTTCTTTTTTGGATTCTTTTCTCACATCCAAACCAAAACTGTAATAATAAAATACAAAAATTTTAAATTAAAAATAGGGTTTATTTTGATACGGAGGATTTTGTTCTCATCTTTTAAGTACTGAGGATTTTGTTGGACAATTTCTTACCTCCATTATTGGCATAGAGAAACAGAGAAACAAAGCACCAAACAAAAAAAGAAAAGAAAAGAGAGAAGATGGATTTGGTTCAGATGCAGAAGAGTTTGCAAGATTACACCAAATCACTCTTCTTGGAAGTAAGTTTTCCACATTTTAGAAGGACAAATAATCAGAAAATAAAATTTTTAAAAACCTCACAACTTTTTCTTATGTTTTTTTTTTTCTGTTACAACTATTACTTATTTGAAGGTGGAAGAAATGGTTTTAGGACTCATAATAAAAAGGGTTTAGGCTTTTGTAGTTTCTTTGTGAGTTTAGGATATGTAAGATTATAGTTTCTGATTATGTAAAGTTTTGTTTTGGGGTATATACAAAAAAAAAGGGGATTTTGGACAGCCAGTTCTTGCAGCTGCAGCAACTACAAGATGAAAGCAATCCAGATTTTGTTTCACAAGTTGTCACACTCTTCTTCCAAGACTCTGATAGGATTCTCAATGATCTCTCACTTTCCCTGTAAAATCTTCACTACACATTTTCTCTTTTATGCCATTTTTTTTCTTTTCCAAAACTTGTGTTTCTCAGTGTTGTTATGGTTTTGGCAGAGATCAACAAGTTGTAGACTTCAAAAAAGTTGATCCCCATGTTCATCAACTCAAAGGTAGCAGCTCCAGGTAACAACAAAAATTTGGCTATTTATGATTTAGATCTGATTCTAATCCAATGATAATGACATTTTCTTGATCTTGAAATGTGTAAAAAGATTTAAGATTTTGAGTGTGTGTGATGTTCCTAAAAAAAACAGTATAGGAGCACAGAGAGTTAAGAATGCTTGTGTTGTCTTCCGCAGCTTCTGCGAGCAACAAAATGTCGAAGCGTGAGTTTGATCGATATGTTTGTTGGTCCATTCGCTATTTATTTGTTTTAAGATCTGATTAGGAAAATATATCGTTGAAAATTTCAGATGTCATAGATGTTTGCAACAAGTGAAGCAAGAGTACTATCTTGTGAAGAACAGATTAGAGACTCTGTTCAAGGTAAGGAGTCAAAAGAGACTTTTCTAAAAAAAACCACCCACATAACTCTCATCTAATACTACAATATTTGAAACTTATTTGATTCATTTTGATGATCGAATTTACGCAGCTGGAGCAGCAGATTGTAGCTTCTGGTGGAATGATCCCGCCAGTGGAACTCGGATTTTGAGTGAACTTCATAAACATCTCTGTCCATTGTTGTTTCAATTTAGATCTCTCTTCTTCTTCTCTTTTTGTTACTATCCAAAAAAGGTTCTTATGTGAACTTCTTTCTTTGTGCCATTGGAAGAGTGAGACATGCTAAAACGTTTCTTAATCCACACCTAAATCCCACTTATGTATAATAAGATTTCAAGCATAATATAGTCATGTCTATATTTATATAGAGTTTGATCTAGATAATGTACGCATCAAGGTAATGTGTTTTATTGTATTTGTAAGAAAGTCGGATTAGTTTTGCTTGGGAAAGAACATAGATGGGCTATATGAAATTTAGTAGCCCAAGATGATAAGAAAGGGCCTGTAATAAACATCGATGATGATCTAGGAAATTTGTTTTTTTTTTTAATTGCAATTGCACAATTGTGATTTGTGACAACTTCTGTGAATCTCTAAGATTTTTCAACATTTATGCAATGCAATGACAAAAGCAGAATATTATTATGTGAGTGCACGTTAAGAAAGGACAAAATTCTTAATTTCTTATAAGATCTTGTGACCTGTCGTCGACTAAGATATATGCCTTCAATTAATAACCTCATGTTTGATTTTTTTAGTTTACTACTTATATATTTTTATTGCTTAATATTTGTATTAATTAGTGCCCCATTTTTTTTATTTTAACATCCTATACTAATATTTGGGAAGTACATCCTAAGAGTCATAACTTAGATTTTGTAAGAAATTACAATATATGCCATTAGAGATCTCTAATTATAATCATTTTATTATATTTCACTAATATATATTAACGGGTCAACGGGTTTAAAGATCTTAAAAGATTTTGTTTATATAATACATAATTAATATAATTCGAGAATGTTATATCCTAATCAATTCGAAAATGTAATACAATAAGTAAAAATCCTATACTAATATACTAATATAATTGAAAATGTTATTCAAAATGTTATATAATAATCCATTATTCGAACATGTTATAAAAAATAAAAAAATGTTATTGAAATTGTAAACATAAATGATATATCATTGAAAACATTTTATATCAATCCAATTTATAAAAAATGCTATTCGAAAATGATATATCATTGAAAACATTTTATATCAGCCCAATTTATAAAAAATGCTATGATGAATTATAATACTCAGGTCAATGGGTCAAACGGATTTAAAAATATTAAAGAGATTACCTAATATTTAGGATCAGAGGCCAATCACGAATCTAACAAACATGTATTTTGTTTATATACAAATAATATTTAATCATAAAACAAAATTTAGTTTAGATTTTAAAATATTTCTTTAACTAAACTATACTAATTAATTATGATTAGTATAAATGGAAGAAAAAACGAAATTGTATATATATGTAAACTAATTAAAATTTATAATATATTAATAGATATTTCCAGAAATAACAATCCCATTTAATATAATTTAATAATAACGACTCATCATTTATTTTTAAATTTCAAAAATTCAAATAATAACAAATCATTATTTTAATTTAATTATCTTTTATTTTTAAGATTTCGTCAAGATTTACATCTTAAATTAAGAAAATAAACCCTTGAAAAAAAACTAATATTAAATAAAATTACTAATTAAATATTCTCTGAATTTATGTCGTTTTCTGAAAAGTTTGGATAATGATAATTTTTATTTATGACAAAATCGATTTTAGTAACATATTTAAACAATAAATTGATATGCGATATAAAAAAAATCACATAATTAGATTTAGACTACAAAATGGTATCTTCCGTCGTAAAAAACAGAATCTTCCTTATATGAATTCTAAAATAATTCAAACAGATTTTCAAATCAACCAAAAAATATTGAATCTCAATCCTTAATTTTCGGATATATTAGTTCCCTATAACTCATATATTCATTGCCAAGAAAATAGGGAAAATTTATTGGAAGATTTGGTCAAATCTAAAATATATTGAGTACACATCGATATCTCATATCCATCACTATATAAAGAGGCATTCTCGATCTCAGTATCATCTCAGTTCTCAAATAATGTCTGCATGTTAATATTTTTTTTTGATGGAAATCTTAATGTTTTGTTTATAGGTTTATAGGTTTTTAAATATATAAAATAAACGTTTCTATTTTATTTGTTTTGTTAATAGCCAATTGAAGAAGCACTCATAGCCATATATATGAGAAAATCGTAGTCAAAAGCATTATCCTGGTATGATTTTCTCATAGTTTAATCTACTTATAGTGATTTTGGTTTAATTAGGATAAATATGAATATGCTGCCTATGACGATTAACTGAAGAAGAAATCTTTAGCATTTTTTGTGTTGCTACGTAACCATGCACTTCGATAATGTTTTTTTTTTTGTTTTGTATATTTTTGTTGGATTCATATATTTGATAACATGATTAAAGCTTCTTAATCAAGGTTATCTTGGAGATGATGATAGAGCAATGAGGAAAAAATAATTACAAAGATTTTTAGATTCTTATAGTGAATTCTCAAAGAGTAAAAAGGCCATTCGTCATTATCTTTTTTTTTTTAATTATAGTTTGTCATTTTGATGTATATGATTTTTTCGATTCTTCATTAAGTCATTTTTGATGTCATTTGACTACATTTTTCTTTCTCATAGGACATAATCTTAATTATCTAATAGTAATAGCCGCTAATATGCAATGTGTTTGGCGGTTACGATTAGCGTTTTAGAATTAGACTTTGAAATGTGTTTTATCATGTACTAATATTTGAGAAGTACATCCTAAGGATCATAACTTAAATTTTGTAAGAAATTACAATATATGCCATTATATAATTCTAATCATAAAATTTATTCCATGTCACTAATATATATTGACGGGTCAACGGGTTTAAAGATATTAAAAGATTTTGTTTATATAATACATAATTAATATAATTCGAGAATATTATATACTAATCAATATTCGAGATTATATAATACATAAAAATGTCATATAATACATAAAAGATTTTGTTTATATAATATATAAAAATGTTATATACTAATATACTAATATATTATTCGAAAATGTTATTGAAAATTGAAAATGTTATTCAAAATGTTATATAGTAATCCATTATTCGAACATCTTATAAAAAATGTCATTGAAAATGTTAATGAAAATGATATATCATTGAAAACATTTTATATCAATCCAATTTATAAAAAATAAAAAATGCTATTTTGAATTATAATACTCATATAGTTCGAAAATGTTATATAAATTAAAAATGTTATATAATTCTCCATTTTTTGAAAATGTTACTAAAAATTGAAAATGTGTCTACATTCTTATATCTAAACAAAATTTATTTTCAACTACAATTCGTAATCTTTGACAATATTTTCAGTTTCCTAAACATCTGTTTTCATCTTTGACAATATTTTCAGTTTCCTAAACATCTGTTATCATCAATTTCGTTGTTTTTGATTAAGCTAAACAATACAATATTTTCAGTTTCCTAAATCTTTGTTTCTGACTTCAGTTGATTATATTGTTTAGGTAGTATATTCATTTTTTAATTACGCGGGTCATTGGGTCATCAGACGGGTTTAATTATACTACCTAAACAATATAATCACATAATTTTGAAATTAGTTAATTAGGGAGATTTCGTAAATAATAAAATCAATTCAAACTAATAAGGCAAATCCTATACTATTATTTGGGAAGTAAATCCTATAAGTCGTAACGTTAATTTTGTAAACAATTATAATATATGCCATTAGAGATCTCTAATCATAATCGTTTTAATTCCATGTCACTAACATTAACAAATTAATTAAAAAACGGGTCAAATAACGAAAAACGGGTTTAAAGATCTTAAAGATATTAGGTTGTTATATTTTGTTTAGATATAAATTCGTATTCAAGCAATTCGTAATATTTGAGAATATATTTAGTTTCCCTAAAATCTTTGAGAATATATTCAGTTTCCGTAAAACCCTTTATAAAAAAAAATTAGTTATAATAGTTGTTATATTCTATATCGTTTTTTTGTTTAGTTTTACGTTTTTTGTTTAGCTTAATCATGCATCAATATAATCAGCTATTCAGTTTCCTTAAAATATTTTCTAAAGATTGTCAAATCTCTCTGTTATATAATTTTGATCCTATATTCCAAATAATCTAGAATATACCTTTCTAAAATATTATCTAACTATTTTATGCTAATTAATATATTTCTGAATCTCCTAATTATCACAAACAATCTACAACTATAAATATCCATTTAGGTTTGACGTACCTTTCTCACATAAATCATTTCAGCACCATTCTCATATCATACAATTAAAAATACAGCAGAAATGGCTATGGTTAGTCCCTACACTCCTATTAACAACTTGAAGTCTGTCAAGATTTTTTGCTGTATTCAAGTTAGTATACTTCATTCGTGGATTCATTTTACAAAAGGTTCTGGCATGTCTTTGGAAATGATTTTGACAGATGAAGCTGTAAGTACCATTGAAATTTTATACAACTCTCTTTGTAATATATGTGCCGTAAGTTTTAAGTCATCTTATTTTAATTACAGGGTAACAAAATTCAAGCTGACATCAAATAGGAACACATCAGCAAATTCCAAAGGTATGTTAAACCGTTTTTTTTTTCTTTTTTTTTAAAACCATGAAACTAGGCCCCACAAACCTAATATAATCCATTAAAAAACTTAGATCCAATACAACTATTTTTTTGTTTGTTCACAATCACACAATAACGTTATTAATTCCTAATTGAACCAAAAAATTGTTAATCTCATATAAAAAAATACAAATCTAATGCTGCTAAATATATTAAATTTTAAAATACAATATTCTCTCCTTCTTTAGTCAAATAAAATATATAACATTATATCCAAATAGTAATAAATATAAAATATTATGATATATTCCATTTTATATTATACTATTATACTATATTATTTCTTATTTTTTCGAACAAAATATACAATTTAATTCATGAAAATATTAAATCCCGTGCTGTATAGCACGGGTCATGATCTAGTTTCGGGTAAAGAATTAGCGTTCCTTCATCGTTTGTTCTTAAGTAACTTTACTAGTTCCTTTAATTGTACCTTCTGTTTAATTTTGTTTTCAAGTGAACTTTGTCTTTTCAATAATTAGATTTCCACTTCGTATTTATAATGAACCTCTCTTACTATTAATTATGCATTATGCCAAAAAAAAAAATATGATGTCATGTTCTTTGTTTGATATAGATTATAAATTTGAATATCATAGGGTAGATAACAACATTTTATTCTTATTTTTTTTTAGTTTCAATAATAATAATAAAAACTAAGATCTTTGTTAGTATCCAAAGGGAAGCATGTTTTGGTGAAATTATTTGCATAGAAGAAGACTAATCAGTAATCAAGACAGGAGAAAGGTTGACTAATTCCATCTAGTTTTCTCCGTTGTATAGTCTAAATCACGATTAGTTACTACTTTCAACACACATATGACATGAAACACATTACACATGCATCATTATTCATTAATGTGTTTAGTTACGCTACGTATATATACGTTTGTGTAGATATGTGAAAGTAGAATCAATACAAACATCTCTCACAATCACCCACAAGGCCACAATATGGTAGAGTTACGTTGATTCCCGTTGGATTAATACATTAAGTTAATGCATGCACTACTTATTTAACGGCTATAGATCTTTCAAAACTGATTTGAGTTTCTACTTGAACAAGCCTGATTGTGTATACATTCATGTCAATGTGATGAAGACGAGCAATAGAGCCGTGCTTTGACCTTATATATGTATCCAAATTCTTGTGGTCAACTTTTGTGGTCTGAATTATTTATCATTTTGACAGTCACTCAAATTAAGTCATATATCTGAATATATATTCCTATAGTTTGGGTGATAACTTTCATATAGGAAAATTAAAAGTCTTTCTAATTTGGGAATAAGAGGTTTATTAATGTATCGGACAAATTAATTTAGACCGTTGAAGCTTGAATAAGGTGAAATTCAAGTTAAATAAGACGTTAACATGTGTGTGAACAGAAACCTATTTTCTAAAATTTTGATATTAAATTTGTACTAAATACATTTCTATGTTGATTTTAGGTGGTAGAGTTGAATTAGTAAACTTTATATTACCACTATATATACGTTGGAATGTCATATCAAACACAGATTATCATCACTTCAACTTTAGCTCTTTTTGTGTTGTTAACAAATTCTCTCAAAATGGCTCTCTCCGTATTTGCCTTTCCTTCTTACATAAATAGAAATCCTTCAATTAACTATCGCAAACCTACCTCTATGTCTTCTAAAAAAATTGTAAGAGTTTTTTTCTCCTGATATTACTTATTGATTAATATATGAAGTTGCATATATCAAAGTTCTGCAGATTATAATGAGAAACTATATACACTAGTTCTTGTTAAGTTTGTGAAAGTTATTGAATTAATCCAAAATAACAAGCATTTTTTTTTGGTTCAGTCAAAAGTAAGAGCAACAACAATTGCAGAGAAAGGTGAATATTATTCAAATAGACCACCAACTCCTTTACTGGACACAATCAACCATCCAATGCACATGAAAAATCTGTCCATCAAAGTATAAATCCTGATCCAAAGCCTTGAATTATCAAAGATTGTTTTGCCTCAAAATCTAAAGGATGCATTGTGCTTATTGGAATTTGGATTATGATGTAGGAACTCAAAGTTCTTTCGGACGAGTTGAGATCTGATGTTATCTTTAATGTTTCGAAAACTGGAGGACACTTGGGTTCGAATCTGGGTGTTGTTGAGCTCACTGTGGCCCTTCATTACATTTTCAATACTCCTCAAGATAAGATCCTTTGGGATGTTGGTCATCAGGTTTGTTATATGTTATTTCTTTGCAAGCACACAAGTTTTTCCTTTAGCTACACAAGTTTTTCTGACTTGTTTTTGTCTTTTGAAAGTCTTATCCTCACAAGATTCTAACGGGAAGAAGAGGAAAGATGAAGACAATAAGGCAGACCAATGGCCTCTCCGGCTACACCAAGAGAAGAGAGAGTGAGCATGACTCTTTTGGCACTGGCCATAGTTCGACCACAATATCTGCAGGCTTAGGTAATACTTGTTGTTATTGCCTTGTGTCACACGAAAACCAGAAAATTCGATTTTCTAAGGATTAAGTATGACTACTCTAGGTCCTTTCTAACATCTGAAAATTGTGAACCAGGGATGGCTGTGGGAAGGGATTTGAAGGGGATGAACAACAGCGTGGTTGCGGTAATAGGCGATGGTGCGATGACAGCTGGACAAGCTTATGAAGCAATGAACAATGCTGGCTACTTAGACTCTGACATGATTTTGATTCTCAACGACAATAAACAAGTCTCTTTGCCTACTGCTAACTTGAATGGACCAACTCCACCTGTTGGAGCTTTGAGCTGTGCTCTAAGTAGGTTGCAGTCTAATCGTCCTCTCAGGGAATTGAAAGAAGTTGCCAAGGCAAGTAATTAATAATACTCTTTTTTGTCATTATTAAGTTTTGTAAAATTTCAAGTCTTATATATGTTGTTTATAGGGAGTGAGGAATCAAATTGGGGGATCAATGCATCGACTAGCTTCAAAGGTAGACGATTATGCTCGAGGAATGATTAGTGGGACTGGTTCAACACTGTTTGAAGAACTTGGTTTTCATTATGTTGGTCCAGTTGATGGACACAACATAGATGATCTCGTCTCCATTCTTGAAAAAGTAAAAAACACCAAACCCATAGGACCGGTTCTTATTCATGTCATGACTGAAAAAGGTCGCGGATATCCCTACGCAGAGAGAGCTGATGACAAGTATCATGGTAAAATTAATTTACCATGTTTTTCTTTCTTCTAGAATCTTGAGTTCTTGACTATACTAAGGATTCTTGAATTAATCCATCTTTCTTGTTTTTGTTTCAGGAGTTTTAAAATTCGATCCAGCAACAGGTAAACAGTTCAAAAACATTTCTAAGACTCAGTCTTACACTTCCTGTTTCGTAGAGGCCTTGATTGCGGAAGCAGAGGCAGACAAAGATGTTGTTGCCATTCATGCAGCAATGGGAGGTGGAACTATGCTGAATCTCTTCGAGAGCCGCTTTCCGACAAGGTGTTTCGATGTTGGCATAGCAGAACAACATGCAGTTACTTTCGCTGCTGGTCTTGCTTGCGAAGGACTTAAGCCCTTTTGTACAATCTACTCTTCTTTCATGCAACGGGCTTATGATCAAGTAAAATCACATCTTTTTTTGGTTATTTGCTTATTTTGATGTGGTAACTTGACTAAAACTAGTTTGTGTAGGTTGTACATGATGTTGATCTACAGAAACTACCTGTGAGATTTGCAATAGATAGAGCCGGACTTATGGGAGCAGATGGTCCAACACATTGTGGAGCATTTGATGTGACGTTTATGGCATGTCTTCCAAACATGATAGTGATGGCTCCATCTGATGAAGCAGAGCTTTTTCACATGGTTGCAACTGCTGCAGCTATTGATGACCGTCCTTCGTGCTTTCGATATCATAGAGGAAACGGTATTGGTGTTTCACTTCCTCCTGGCAACAAAGGTGTCCCTCTTCAGGTATGTTTAATAAAAAAAAATATTGTGAATCCAAAACTTAACATTCAAGATTTAATCTTTTTGTGTTTTCAAATTTCAGATTGGGAAAGGTAGGATACTAAGGGAAGGCGAGAGGGTTGCGCTTTTGGGGTACGGATCAGCCGTTCAAAGATGTTTAGAGGCTGCTTCTATGCTAAGCGAACGCGGATTAAAGATAACTGTAGCGGATGCAAGATTTTGTAAGCCATTAGATGTTGCTCTCATTCGTAGCTTAGCTAAATCACACGAGGTTTTAATCACGGTTGAAGAAGGTTCCATTGGAGGATTTGGATCGCATGTGGTACAATTTCTTGCACTTGATGGCCTTCTTGACGGAAAGCTTAAGGTACATTTTCATTTTTTTACACATTCTTAATATTCATTTGTGTCCCTTTTGGTCGCTGACTTCAAATGTTTTTCCTTTTGACAAAAGTGGAGGCCAATGGTACTACCTGACCGGTATATCGAACACGGATCACCAATGGATCAACTGGCTGAAGCTGGCCTCACAGCGTCTCACATTGCAGCCACAGCACTTAACTTAATGGGAACACCTAGAGAAGCCTTGTTTTGGGAGTAATGAGATCTCCAACAGGCACAGAAACGTTCTTCAATTCTATAAGAGAGTGTATCGAGAAAACCCGCTTAGAAGAAGTATATATTGTAGTTATTTAACATCTTGAATAAATTCATTCACATTCAAGAATGAGTTTGTGTGTGTAGTGCTTATATCTCGTTTCAACTAGGCTAAGAAATAGAACAAATGGCATTGGCGTTTTCATCGCTAAACACCATAAATTTCTCCATCTCCCAATCACAAAACCCGAAAATCGACTGATCCCTTAAACCAATCGATTCCATATCAATCTCGAGAACATTTTCGTCCTCTTTACTAGATTCTTCATCTTTCTCTTCCTTTACTACAATCTTCACTCTTTTGCCCGTCTTCTTCTTGAGTTTCTTCAACAACTTGTTCGGATCAATCTTACCCTTGACCACAACCTTGTGATTAATCATATCCGTCACAAACGTTTCAACTCCTATAAAAATTCATAGACATTCGAGTTACAAACTATTAAAAACATGGTTATATAGATGGATACGTTACTTTGATTAATACCTTTGAATTTGGAGATAACTCTAGCGATTTTTCTCTCGCATTCGTTGCAATGCATCGATATATTGAATTCGACATCCATATACTACAACATATCGAAACGCAAATGAAATCAAAATGAAGTACCGTTTGAAAACAGAGAAAAAAAACAGAGGATTAACAAACAGGAGAGTGTTAAGTACGATCTTACTCTGACATTGTCCTTTTTCTTCTTATCTTTCGTCATTGGTGAATCGGTTTATGAAGTTGAGACTGTAATTTATGTCCGAAGCGACAAGAGATGTCGACAGCGTCTAATAGTTTTTGAATTTTTTTGATGCAATGGCGGTTTAGATTTTGGATAGGAGTTATTGACGGTTAATACGGTTCGTTAATTATTTTCTTAAAATTAATAGATGGAAGTGGGAATATTTAATTGAATCTCTATTGCCTCAAAATTTTCTGTACATATACCGTCGTCTTTTGTTTTTAACAGTGGCAATTTTTTTTTTGTTTGGGAATTGAAATAAGAAGAAACCTAGAAGTTTAAAAAACTAAAAAGGGAAAAGGTCACATGACAAGCTTGAGATTTTGCTTGGCATAAAAAAAAATCTTCTCTCTAGCTATATCTTAATTCTTAAGATTTTATGATTACAAGAAAAAGTATACATACATGGTATATATTTCTTATTAGAACCACATTTGTTAAAGAATAAATCTTTTTATACTGTTGTTTTTATATATCATTCCTTAGATTTGTATATATATATATATTTTTGACAGCATCATCGGTTAGATTCATATTCACTAAATTAGAGATTAACCCGCGGTATACATCGAAATAATATTTTATAAAAAAGAATCGAGATGCGTTTTTTAAAAAATTAAATTTTAAGATATATTATTTTATTAATATTGTTTGTTTTGTTTAGTGTTTAAATTGTATAATTATATTTTGATTGTTAATTCTAAAATTTTACATGTAGTACCCCGCCTCGTAGTATTATCGACCCAAATCCGTCAATTATGGGATTTCACCCGTAGTATAAAGTTTAATTTATAATGTTTAAACTTCTTATAAATTTCAAATATTTATAATATTTGAAAATTCATAAAATATTTTAAATATTTATTGCCAAAATCTTCTGCTAAAATGTATATACAGTTTTAAGGAGAAAAAATTATCTTACTAAAAAGTTAAAACAATCAATACATTTAAATTAGGTTCAATTTAATTTTTGAGCCCAATTTAGCTTTTAGACCCAATTTAGCTTTTGAACCCAGTTTGGTATTAGAATGACTTCTTCTTTGTTTGATTTAGAACAGACTCGACAGTCGATACTGTTCTGACGATAGAGTTTTTGCACCATGAACATCGAATTTAATTTTGAAGGTGTGGCTCATCACATCCTTCCTCCCATTCTAGGAGGACTTGGTGTTGTCTTTTTAGCCGGTGGCGGATTCACCATCACTATTCCTCCAAACGCTAGTATGAATCTTACTGTGACTGCTGTGGACGGAGGAAACACAGAGAAACGACTTACTGGATTATATAATCTAGTAAGTCGCTAGTCAGGTTATGCATCTCTTGATGTTTAACCCAACTTTACCACTTCTTAAAATTGTTCGAAACAAACGACTTAGTGGATTATATCTATATCCAATTTCGCTTTTGTTGAGATACGACTATCAACACAGAAGAAGCACAATTCCAATCGCAATAATTGTTTCTTCCGACTTTTGTTTTTGTCCAGTATTTGTACTAATTCTTATTCTCATTGTTTCTTGTTCTTTGTTGTGATGATAGTGTGGTGGTATCGAAGTGAATGTCCGCTACCGATATTCAATCGCTGTACATCCAAATGGTAATCCGCTTGACGTTATAGTTGCTCGACGGTATGCCATCGAAGCTGGCGGTCAGTTCTTAGTGCATTACCGTACAAATGATGTGGATGAGACAAGACACGAGGATGATCCAGTGATTGATCTAGGACATCTACCTCATGGTTGATTGCTGTTTTTTTGTGTCTGTAACACATTTAAGTAATTGTTAGTAAGCCACATATCCTAATAAATGCAAAACCATAGTTTCACATGAGACCTACTAATCTTTATTACTTTGCAAACTACATAGAGAATCACTCAAAATCAATTTTTCATTTACTTCCACAAATGAAATAAAAAAAAACTACTGGACATATAAATAACATAGTCTAATACAATCAACTTAAGGTTATTATACCTGGACTGCGAATTGTCCATTCCCTCTTTCAACAGCAGTCACAAGTACTGTTTCACCTGATTTCATAATCCCACAAGAAAATAGAAATGTCAGACATAATTAAAAACAAAAATTTAAGAATATCATATAGAAATGATGTCAGAAATGTAACTGAAAATAAAGTACAAACAGTTGCTTGGACCAATTATCAAGGCGTCAAAAAATAAGTGTTGTAATTCTCACATTCTCTCTATCTTTCACTCTTTCTTGTTCGTTTGTGACGTTCATTTGTTCTAGAGAGAAAACAAGAACACATTTTACTCTTTAAACTACATTGTTAATATTAATAATTCTCTTACACAACACAACACATGACACACTTATACTACTTTTACTACTTGCTTCAATGCACCCACTAATAATGACTTATACTACGACTCTTACACAAGACTATACTACTAGGCTACTAGCCACCCTACTCACTCATTGGAACTCTCCTTCCTTGATTGACTCTTCTTAATCATTGGGACTCTAACTAAACCACACTTAAACACTTGGGCCCAAATCATCCTTTAGCCCATTACAACCTTATTACAAAACAGAAGCCCAACATCTTTGTTTCTGTTGACTTGTTTCCTTTGTTGTTGACCTGCTTCTTTTCTTTGGTCATGACACTTTCTTCTTCTTCTCCATTGAAGCTTCTTCTGTTATGCAGTTAGTCCCGAGGTAAGTATGTCAACAACTTCTGGATCTGGTCTTGGAACAGGAAGTACGTGCTTAGAACAGTGGCGGATCTAGAAAAAAAATTTAGCGGGGGCAAACGATAATCAAAATTTTTGTTAACTAAATTAATTTTTCTTGTAACTACGTTATACAATATAGTTTGTATATAGGTAAAATAATTCATATTTTCCAGGGTACGAAAGATACATAATTTTTTTTTTTTTGGAAGCATAGAGGTATTTCTTTTTCTTATGAATAGAGATAATCATATTCAAAAGATTTAAGAAGAAAAATGTTATTCTTAATCCATCAAATATTTTGCATCAAAGCATTGATTAATTTGTCCATCAAAGAAGTTACGTTGAAGGAAAAAAATGATTTTATATAAAAAGAAATAATGGTTTAGTGTGCAAAACAAATAAGGAAAAACCATATTGCTATAGAAATATAATAAATGGCCAAGTAAAAATGAAAATAATGGAAAAGTCAATTGAGTTTGGAGAATGATTGTCTTACGTGGGGGCAAAACATATTTTTCAAAGGGGGCAAGTTAATTAAGTCCTTAACATTTAAAAGAAAATTGAAAATTTTTGGGGGGCAGCTGCCCCCAACTTACCTTATGTAGATCCGCCCCTGGCTTAGAAGATACTACCTAAATCAACAAAAGACCGGACCACATGATCACTGAAGCCTTGGAAATCTCAACATACTGGTCTTAAGATTTAGGAGCTCTCATACTGTTCAAGGATTGACTGTGCTCAAGGCCTTAAATAGCCCCTGGTGATGGCCTACTGCGGTCAAATCTCATAGATCTTGAATGAGTTTTATCCTGTAACTATTCATGTTTGGTCAGGTGTGTGTTTGGTTTTGAGTTTGGGTGTTTCCATCGAGTTTAGACCATTGAATAAATAATTTAGCTATCATTGAATGATGATAATCATAATTAATAGACAGATTAAAGAATCAGGTTAGTTTCGAGAATTCAACCAGCTATTCGTTTAAAAATCTCTATCGTTCCTCTTTTCAATTTTTCATAATGACTTAACACTCAAAACCCAACAGATTATAATTACACGAGTTCAAGCCAAACATGTTACATACACAGCCACTTTCTAATCTAATCTAAAACAGAGCTCTCATATAGGAGTTTGATCACATTTCCTCTTTTACCAGCTACGGCGTTGAAACTTACCTTTGCCGTCTTTGATCCATATCGTTGACCGCGTTCTTCTCACATGGTCTGTGAAGAGACGGTACCTAACACAGTTCAAGATTCAGAAGTAAGAAGCCTTGAATAAGATGAGACAAAGCTTTGTTCTACAAATATAAGAATTTCTTGTCAAATAACAATACCCACCTCTCATACTCAAGCCTTTGAGTAACTATCCCATTCAGTAGTAACTCCGAGCTATATACCTCGGCCCCTGAGGAGAAGGAAAAGGAAAACTGTGATTCCCCGTGAAGTCGACCACATACATAAGCAAAAGTTATATAGACCGAACTATAACTCACCTCTTTCTAGAAACGGTATGCAGATAGCGCGATCCTCTTCACATGATAAGACCAGAAGATTCTCTGGGACCTTATCTTCACTTAGGGCAGATCTTCCGAGTCTTTCTACAGGCTGGCATTTATTTTCATTATGGATCAGTATGTGGGAGAAAAAGTTTTGGAAACATACACATGAAAGTGTAAAAAGGCGAAGAAATGATTACCAGTCCATGAACAGCCTTAACCAAAGTCGTGATAGTGTTTAAACCAGGCTTTGTATTTGGGGTGATAAAAACTCTTCTCCCCTGAAAGAGTGTAAAAATAATGAGCCGAAAAGGGAGAACAAACGAGGTAAAAAAAAGTATTTGAAACCAAAAGAGTATTAGATACCTGTAGTAGCGGAAACTGGCGTGCACGAGCCAAAGAAACCCCCATGTTGAAACAGAACTCCTTCTCCTTTTTTGAATCTCTGAGTATATACATATCCTCGTCAACGTATATGTTTACTTGATCGATGCTTTCAAGCCATTGTGTTGTGACCACTGGCTTGCCTGAAGCGATTGCCTCTAGCATGTTCCTTGTGCGCGTAAAGTTATCAGCTATGAAGTGTGTTGCCTCCTTCATGGAGGAAGCTTCCGAGATATCAAACCTTGCCAAAATCTGTTAAGAAAATGCCAGATTGTTAATGTTTTACTTTTGTCTACAAAACTTATTTAATATCAAACTGAAAATTCACTACCAGTTGTAAAAGAAAAAGCACGGTAATAAGGTCACATAATCGAAGGTAACTAAGTTACAGTTATAAACCCAACTTATACCTTCTTCTGATGCTTGGTCACATCTTCATCAAGATGCTGGCTGAACAGGACACGTATACTACCCAAATCTCTTCTCTTTCTAGTACTCTTTGTCTCGGAGATAGGTTCCGCTAATGGTAAGGTTAAGCTACGAAATTCCCTTGTAGTGTGTGATGTAAATGAATCCTTGCAAGAAAGTCTATGATACTCATCACCCATGCATATAGGCGATACATTCGTTGACGGCGTCTTAGACTTAACTGGAGTATCAAACGCGGGGTCTGAACACCTCCCTGCCTCATTAACCTGATCTTGTGAAATACGAGCTGATCTTCTCCGCTTGGGATAATTCAACACCTCAGCTTCACCTCTACTTGATTGCTTAAGTAACTTAGACATACAATGTTTGTTTGATAATTCTCCTTGCCTCTTCTCTGTAGTTGACACAACAGCTTCATCTGGCATATCAACTTTGTCATTTTTCGAATACCTATCCATATTCTTCTCAGAAGACTTACCAAGAATTGATCTAGCCTTCTTGGTTTTTTGTTTCAATGATTCAACATCACTATCCACAGCCTGAATCCCCTTAATCCTTTTGGATTTTCTGGTAACGACTCCACAACTAGAAATGCCTCCTTCCGGTGACAATTTCTTACCTATTAGATTATTTGGCTCAGGATCAATTTCCCTGCCGTCCCCAGAGTGCAGAGCATTCATCACTTCAGCAGCCATTTGTGTATCAGGGCCTGCTTCTGCTTCTTCATGCCTATCAAACATTTCTGTATTGCTTTCCTTAGAAACTTCATCCAACTCGTCAACAAGATTCTTTTTAGTTTCTCGTGAAGCAGTCTGGACCTTCCTACTCTTCCAGAAGCATGGACCTTCTTTATCAAGCTGGTCACCCTTTGAAGACCCTTCAATATTCCTCCGGCAAGCTTTACCAGGACTTGGACTAGCCTTCTTCATTCTTTTTTTCAACAATTCATCTTTACTCATAGCCTGAATCCTCTTAGTTCCCTTGGATTGTCTAGTAACGACTCCACCGGGAGAAAATCCTCTCTCTTCTCCTGGTGACAGTTTCTTTCCTGTAAGACAACTCGCCTCAGCATCAAACTTGCCACGGTCTCCAGAGCACAGATCATCAATCGCTTCAGCAGCCACTTGTGTATAATTCCCTAAAACTACCGCTTCACGAACTTCATCTAACTCTTTGCCAAGATTCTTTTTAGCACCCTGGATATTTTTTCGGCTCCTAGTCACACTATGCTGCAACAGTTTGGAATCAGAAGCCCTTCTTTTATCCACATCAACTGGTATCAGTTCTCTTTTCTGTTCTCTAGGCAAGCTAGAAAATTCCCGTCTTTTACTTGCAACGCCAAAGAATTCATCTTTTCTTCTACGATAGATATCACCCCCTCCTTCATCCTCACGATTATCATCCCAGTCGAAAATATCGTTTCCAACAGCTCCGCTTTTGTAACTTACTTTCTTTGCTAATTCTTGTGGACCTTTAAAAATCTGAACAAATTTTGATTTTTCTTCTGTTTTCCTTCCATAGTCAGCTTCAACTTCAAAATCAAACTCTAGACGGCACTCACTAATGAGCTTATCAACCAAGTTAAGAGCACTGGCCTGGGATGCCTCGCCAGGTTCTTGAGAGTCAATATAACTCAAATTCCCCAGATCGACATTGCAATCAGTAGAATGACAATTTTCTTCAGGCAAATCCTCAATGAAAAGCTTCCTCGCTGTTTTGTTTGCTGTTCTTAAGTCATTTTTCTCTTCAACAAATATACTGGTAAGAGATTGCTGATTCCCTACTTCTCCAACACTATTTTCTAGACTAGAATTATGTGTGGCTCCTTGCCCAGAAGAATGACAGTTGATTAGAGTAGAACAGTCAGTGTTGGGAGATTTTTGGTTTGCAGCACGAGCTGCCACAGCAGAAGCACGAAAAGCTGATGAACGAACTGAAGCGAACCTAGCCACCTTTTTTCCTGGTAAAAGAAAAAATGGTCATTGGAAAAAGTGCAAATGAGAGAGGGAACTTGAAGAGAATATATAGACAAAGAAATAACTGGGAAGAATGCAAGGCAGATATCGTCTTAAAAAAACTGCAACTACCAATGGTTTGTTACTAAAACACTATATACAAAATCATGCTGGTTCCCACAGTTAACGAAGAATATCTCTCATGCTTATATAGGCTAGTAAGCAACTAAGCTAAGGTCAAAACATTTTGACCCGAGAAATATATACTGAACCTAACTAGCCAACTTTAAATTTCAAACAAGGAGTTAGAAGAGAACTTGATACAAGAAAGGACAATAATATTCATTAACAAACTCTGCAATATTAGTTAGAAACTCACCAGAAACTCCATGTTCGTTCGACCAAGCATCAAGGGCAACCGTTGATTTAACCTTCTCATTAGCATCCTGTCTATTCTCTTCACTAGATAACACAGTTTCCGCTTTACTACACGAGTCATCACTATCAGAGAGCTCACTGTTATCCTCCAAGACATCAGTAACATCATCATCACTATCCACAACAACTTCATCATCACAAAGATCCAAAACCTGAGTAGCCAAACCATCATAAGCTTCAACTAACTGATTCCCCTCTACAAGTAGTTCTTCTCCGTTTTCAAATCCCAAATCAACCGCTTGAGTTTCATTACAAAGAAGAAATTCTTCATTATCACATTCAATATCCAGAACCTGAGTCTCCATATATTGATCATTAATCCAAGCATCGTCTTCAAAAGGTTGTGTGTCACAATCCCCAAGCAAGCTATCTTTATCTTCACCTAAGATTCAGAACAAATTAGGTCAGGTAATAGTAAACTACAGAGAAGACACATAATAGTTTCCAAAATCCTCAAATTAGAAATCAAGAACACATAAAAAATCAGATTTTTTTTATAACAGATCGATGAGAGGCAAAAAAAATCAGAGCTTTTGATGAAGAATAAACCCTAAAAGAGATGGGTAAGTGTAAAAATTTACCAGAATCAGAAGGAGAAGATGGATTAGAATCAATCGGTTGGGTCTCTTGATACGCAGAAAAGTTTTGGTTTGCTTTAGCCATTGCGATTCATACACTGACAAACTCCGACAACGATAATCCGATTCGCCGGAATTGATCTGACTAGAGAAGAATTTTGACGGAGAATTTGCGATTTCAATGTAGATCCGAAAGTGAGAAGAAGAAGAAGAAAGCCGACACAGGATTTTAGGCGCGCAAAAGACAGTAAAGTGGTCTCGTTAGGGTTCGCGGGGAGTGTGAACTACCTAATATCTGGAGGGAAATAAACATAAAAATGATAATATAGTTGTAGTTGTATTAAGTTAACAATAAGGGCGTTTGGTCTAGTGGTATGATTCTCGCTTAGGGTGCGAGAGGTCCCGAGTTCAATTCTCGGAACGCCCCTTTTTTTTTATTTATTGGGATTTATGTATGCACTTTAACAATATACTACGGAAGAATAATTAGCTTCAATGCTTCATCAAGTAGACATCAATGATCAAATCCTTTTTTTTTTTATTAGAATGGAAGATATATATGAGATAGTACGGTATAATTGTAATTTGTAAAAAAGAATACTTTTGACGTTGTTTTGTTAGCAAAATTTCATATTATCGCACAATGTTCATTTTAGTCAGTATAAATGGGGTGGACGAACATTCGAAGAAAAAAAAAATGTCAGTACAAATAAATAGATGACTAACACTGTTTAAATTAATGTAGATTTTTGTTAAAGAATTGTAGTTAGTTTGAATATTTTATTGATTCGATATTTGATAAGCATGGTATCAATGCTTTATCAAAAAAAAAATATGCATGGTATCAATGGATATTATCATTAAAAAGCTTGGATCATCCATTTGTGAATTACCATACTCATTTAACATGAAGGTATCATTTGAGAGAGAGATTTAGGCCATGAAAGCTTTGCAATTTCAGACATGTAAAATTTAACTTGAAAAAATATATTTGATCATACAGCAGATAAAAGGCGAATACAACACCATGAAATATGTTCTTAATCTTAGGTCTTTAAGATATCATGATATGAAGGGTTTTTAAGATAAATTTATTTAGTTGGGGGTTTGAAATGGAAACACAAGAAAATTGGATGTTTTCAGTAGAAAAAATGTTTTAACTGAAGTTTTTTTTAAAAAATCTTTCCTTGGTTTCTTTCACCAATAAATGTATAACTAGTATATATATTTCAGTCTTTTTCATAAAATTCCGTTTGGCCTAGTGGTAAGTATTTTTGAATTGGTTGTGATGGGTACCAAGTTCGAATCTCGAGATGCCCATATATATATTTTTTTTTATCAACCATTAATGGGAATATGTCTGCACTTTGCAATACCAAGCAGCCAACAATCATCAAATCCAATTTTAATTTTTTCTGTATAGACACTGTTTATAAAGGCAATTTCATACTCATCTAAGTATTTTACTTCTTCGAATAAACAAAGCTAAGTGGTATAGACTCAGATCAAAACTACTGAGCTAAGCCCTGGGGATTTCTCAAGACCTCTTTTCTCCATTTCAACTCTCAACGCTTCAGCTGTTTCCCATCTTTCGGTGTGTGCATACAAGTTCGATATCGACGCAAGATGGTTCTCGCTGTCACTGTTTCCAGCAGTCTCGATGATCTTCATCACTTGTTCAGCCATTTCTGTATCCTTATGAACCTTACATGCGCCAAGTAAAGCTCCCAATACTGTATCGTTCGGTTTCACAGGCATTTCTTTTACCAATCTGTAAGCTTCTTTCAGTTTTCCGGAGCGTCCCAATAGATGTATCAAACATCCAAAATGCTTTACATTCGGTTTCACGTCTTGAGTTTTCATCTCCGAGAATATCTTTAGACCTTCCATTAGAAAGCCTCCATGAACACAAGCAATGAGAACCGCCAGAAAAGTGATCTCGTCGGGTTTTAAATCTAAGCTCTCCATCGTTCTGAACATCTCTAAAGCTTCTTTGCCTTTCCCATGAATGGCAAGACACGAGATCATAGAGTTCCAACACGCTAAACTTCTCAGACTAAACGACTCAAACACGGATGTCGCATTCTCTAGATCCCCACATTTAGCATACATATCAATCAACGCATTTGAAACAAACTGATTAAGCTCAATTCCTTTACGGTTAATCAGAGAGTGAACTTCTCTGCCAACATCAAGACGGCCTGACTGAGCACAAGCAGATAAAACACTTGAAACCGTTACCGCATCCGGTTCATACCCTTCTCCTTGCATATTATAGAAAGCATCAATAGCATCATCAGAATACCCATTCTGTGCATAACCAGTGATCAAAGTGTTCCAAATCACCAAATCACGAGCAAAAACTCGATAAAAAGTAGCTGTAGCCTCATGCACATCACCTATCCTAAAATACCCGGAGATCATCAATGACCATACAAAGGAGTTCTTCTCCGGTATATCCTCGAAAAACTTCCATGCATCCTCCATTTTTCGATTACCAACGTAAACTCCGAGCATCACAGACCAAGTCTTCACATTCTTCAACTCAAAAGGCATTCTCTCAAACAATTCTCTAGCTTTCTCAATCTCTTTTCTCTTCCCATACCCTTTAATCATCTCGATCCAAGTCACCGTATTTCTACAAACCGATATCTCCTCGAACAATCCACTAGCCGAAACTGCATCACCATTACCCATATACCCGCCGATGATAGCGTTCCAAGTAGCCACGTTTCTCTCAGGCATTTCGTCAAACACCTTGCGTGCAGAAACTACACATCCACATTTCCCATACATACTAATCAGAGAACTTCCCACCATAACATCAGAACAAACACCGAACTTGATCGATTCAGAATGTAACAGCTTCCCAAGAAAAACACGTGGAACAACGCAAGCACACGCCTTTAAAATCAAAGGAATCCATCCCGGAAAATACACTCCTCTGTGGCGGATTCCGTGGTACAAAACCAGAGCTTGTATTGGTGATCCTCTAGATATATGATTCTTTATAAGATTCGACACATGAAACTCACCTAACGATAAATGTTCCTCCAAATTCATCTCCAGTGTGACCAAGAATTCGAGTTTGTATGAGAAAAAAAGAATAGAAATGAGAGTTTGCTTCGCTGATCAAAGTAGAAAGGTCTCTTTGAGAATCAAAATTCTTGTTTTCCAAATTTAGTTATTACAAAAAGGCAACTCTTGTCAGTTTGGGTCTCTGTCCTAAAGACAAACCCTAAAGACTTGTGTTGTTTGCCTCTCACACTATCCCACTTATCGATTTTAATATTATTCTGGGCCATGAACTGATCTTCGAGTTGCGGTAAAATGGATCATTCCAATCATCAGCTGAGAAGAGCTTCATTCTTGTTTAACTCATCTAAATCCACTCTCACTCTCAAACCAGAGTTTACCAAAGCATTGACCATTGCAGGGATGTCAGATTTCAGTGATGCAGCTACAGCCTAGTATTAAGGAGACATGGTTTAGGTTACGAGCTTTTTTGGTTTTGGGTAATACATAAAGTGAATTGAATGGTCTACTCGGAGGGAGTTTTACCTTCTTGTCTTCTTCATTTTGGTGCTTGATAATGTCTACAGGCCACTCGTTTACCAGCTTCTTGAATTCAGCCTCAAGTGCTGACTTCTTCTCATCAGGATACGCCTGTGAAGAATATACACAAGGTATTTAAGAAAGTTCTTTGATCCTGGGACAAAAAAAAGATATTTAACAGGTTCTTGCTCACACCTGACAGATAATTTGGATGACAGCTGCAGCTTCTTCAGGTTTATGTTCTAGCAGAAAACCCTGACAGAGAGAGAGAGAGAGAGAGAGCAAAAGTTTCAAGGACAATATGAAATTTGGTTCTAGAAAATATGAACAGAAGTGATTATGCCCATAAAATGAGGATGCATAAACAACTGTTTTTACCTTTGCACATGAAAAAGCACCGGATAGGGTGTGTTGAGTGTAACTCTCAGATCTCAGTTTATCAACATTCCATAACGACTCTGTGTCTCCTAATAAAGCATGAGTACAATGAGACAGTAAGAAAATTGACATCCAAATAGTATAGGAAATCTTTCACAAGTCGAATTGTGTTATCCTCTGATTTAATTCTCTTGCTCACATCTAAAGTTTGCCTGTTCTTACAGTAATGGAGCCTAAATCTGATTTGGGGTCAGGTCATTCATGAGATTACATAAAAGAAAAAAAATCATACTTCTGGTCCCTTTTACCAAATTGGCTACCAAAATTTATCTGTTCTGCCAATACCTATAGATATCGCAACAGTTAAGTTGGCATATCTCAAAACACCAAACATATGATAGGTTAATATCTTGTCTGATGTTTACGTAGACATTTCTCAAGACCACTTCAAGTTCAAATTACGGAATGGTTGTAACAAGCTCCTCTATCGACCAAAGAATCGTTGGAAGTACAACTAAGGAAACCATCTACACTAAATGTACCTCTTTTGGCAGCAAATTCCATCCAGACATCAAATGTGGTCTTCCTGAGCTTGACTCCAGATTTGCAGAATTTCTTCGAGTACTTAGCTAATAGATCCCAGTTATCTGTATCATGACAGATCCTGCAAACATTCAGTTGAAGCTCATTGCATGATACTAAACCTCTTCGAATTAATGAGCCATGGAAATCGGAGCATTAAATCCGCAGAAAAATGAGCAACAAATTGATCTACACACCTGAAAACTAAATCCGCTGTCCCAGGTTGTAAAGGCAGGTTATTAATTTTCAGGAGTTTCATTACTTCATCCATGAGTTTCGCGTCCTTGTGCTCTAATGCGTATGACTACAACAATACCAGCAAACATCCTTAAAAATCTGTGCACCAAACAGAAAACCAACCAACTTATAGACTCGCAATACCAGTAAATGGTGTGCTGATGCAACGCTCGGAGTCAACCCGTGAACATTATGTTTCCAAAGAGCCCTTTTACCTGTGGTTCAAGTTAAAAGAGATATTAGTGTTGATAATCTTTATAAGTGAAGCAAAACTAACTCCTAAAACTAAAAGGTTTGGGATTACCATGGTTAATTGCCCCAACACGTACACAACTCTTAGCAACTTGCTGGCATAGATTGCAATTGAAGTTGTCATGAATACGAAGATTGGACAATCTCTACAATCCAACATGTAAAAACGTCAATTAAACCCTAAACCTCAGACTCGATCAGAACAAGGAACACAGAAGGGAGAAACAAAGCACTCACAAATCTCCGGAGATTCTGCAGAACATCAAACAGAAAACTAACGTCATCCTCGTTCCGACAATTCTCAATCAATGACCACAACCAAGCATTTGGAGGCATTGATCTCTTGACATTCACAGAATCAAGTATTTTACCATGTAATTCCTTGACAGCCTCTGCATACATAGAGCTAAATTCGATCAGGAAACATTCTAACTAGCTCAAATTCCAAATAAAGCGTCAAAATCTAGCAACCTGTAGGATTCTCTACATGTTTTGCTTCAGAGGAAAAGTTAGCTCTCAGCATCATTAACCCCGTCATAGGTGATTGAGCGTACAACTGATTACAAGTATCCATTTTTCCTATAAAATAAACCAAAAGTTGCCATTTTTCAAAGATTCAACGGCGAAACAAACAAACTGATGATAAATTTCTTCAATCATTTAAAATTGGATAATGTGTGAAAATGAAGAGATGGTACCTGGAAATGCAGAGTAGGAAAGAGATCGATGGCTCGGCCATTGAACAACATGAGAGGCATTGGATAAAAATCTCACATCGGTCTCGATGAGAGCCAGTGGTTTCAAAACCCTAGCGATTTTACGAGAGTACGATAGATATTGCATGACTTCGGGATCAATCAATTCGATTTGGTTCAGTGCAGAAGAACAGTCTCTTTGACGCAAGAACTCAGGATTTTAGGGTTTTACGGATTTTGCCCCCAGAAAATATAGTATTTTCATAAAACACCCATTCTTGTTATTTCTTAACACATGACCCCGTTATTTCTTTCAGATATACACTAGTCCTCTCCCGTAAGAGAGGTGGCAAACACACATATATCCGTTGTTCAAAAAATCTCTAGGCGCTAGTCGGACGTTCGGTATAAACCTAGCGATTAACCGAAAAATCGGATTAAAATTGAAAATTAATCAGAGACTAGTTTTAGGATTATTTTAATATTTTAAAACGATACTAATCTATTATAATTAAATATTTAAATAATATTGTTTTTAAAATTACAGTAAACACATAAAGATATTTTTTAAGAAAATTTTATGACTTCTGTTAAAATTTTGAACATAAATTATTGTAAAGCATTACAAACTCTCAATATAAATGTCTAAATAACAAAAAGAAAAGTTGTTTTATACTTGCAATCTAAAAATAATCGGATTATGCAAGATTAGGCGGAAAATAATCGGATTAGGCTGGGAGTAGTCGGATTAGGCGCATAATAATCGGGTGACTACTTTTTTCAAGGAATTAGTCATTAATCGAAGTGGACAGGGTGGGCCTAACGATTAAGCGGAGAGTAATTGAAGCTAGGCATGAATTTCTGTTGACGGATTCAATATATCCGTTAATTATTGTGGGACCACAAATACGAAAGCCACTTTGAAGTTTAAACTTTAAAGTAACAAAATTTTCACTTTGATGATTTCTGGTGAGAGTTCAAAACTTAAAGGTTTTAAAGTATAAGTGGTTGTCCCCTTGAAGGTGTTTTATGAGATTTTTCCTAAAAGCTAAACCCTAACTTTCTTTCATAAACTCATACCGATATTTAACCTCGTTTAGTTATAAAATCTAAACAATAATCTTTCTTTATCAACTCAAACCGATAGATAATTTTGGTTTGATGGCAGATTAGATTTTATAATTTTAACTTTTAAATTAGGTGACAGATTCTAATTAATTAAAAATAAAATTCACTCCTAAAAATGAACCCAAATATTTCTCCTAAACAAAATTCATTACAATAATAATTTATCCTAAACATTTTTGTGTTCTTACAATCATCAATTTATCAAAAAATTGACCATTTTTAAAATTTAAAACACCAATCGACCCCTAAATATGATATTGACACGTATTCATTGGTTTGGTTTGGGGACGGCGAGTCGGTAATGAGATTGTAACAAGTGGTGATATATGTTTATCTTTGGGAGAATCGATAGCTTTATCCAACAGGCCCATTCATGAATGGTCACGTTACTCTCAATCTGTCATCATATTCCCTTGATCCTATTCCATGACTCAGAATCGAGGAATATAGATATGGATTTGTGTAAGAATGTTAAAGACTTTATATAAGACACCGTTAACAACATTGTTTTCTATGTTATTATGAAGAAACACAAAAAAAAAAAAACAAAAAAAAAAAACAAAACAAATAGGATTACCGACGACGGCTTCATCTAGAGACTTGTAGGTATCTTACATCTTTGGTGTTGGATGAAACAATAAATTTTCAGGAGATTTTAAATTTAAGATATTGGTCCCAAACAAGTGAATTTCAAATTTCAAAATGTCAACTCCAAAATTATAACTGTTTTCAAAAAAAATATGAAAAATGGATATAGAATTTTCGAGTAGGTGAACATATAGAATATCAAGAATATATCTATATATCTAGCTAGATGCGCCAATGCTCATATATATGACGATATATGCTTCAGGAGGTCCAAAGATCGTCCACTAGTTTTATAGCGTGATTTATCTGACTGATCTTATTAGAATAGTATTACTAATTACCAACGGTTTCGGTTGCATCCGATTTTTGTGATTACATCAGCTTTAGTTTCGATTCAAAGTTAGGATGATAAAGAGAATTAAGTATATAGTGTTTTGAGCCAATTAATCACCAACAGACATATCGTTGCATCTAATTTGGTATCAAATTCAGATGACACGTTTCGAGAATCAAAGTCAGAACAGTCTAGTACTTCAAATTCTAAAAATAACTATTATAGTAGTACAAAAGGTAAAAAAGTAAAAACTAATGAAGTACACAAAATAAAAAATTTGTTTACTTATAATCATCAAAGCATACTTAGATTGCTCGTTGTGACGGACAGGCCAATTTTTAGCCAATTAATCATCAATGGTTGCGGTTTTATTATATTTGGTGATTACATCAAACATTCTTTTTATCAAAATCGACAGGAGATTAAAATCTCTAATGATGAATTGATGATGAATCCGAATCTTACCATTTACCTAGAATATGACTGTGGCACACTAAACCAATAGTAGCTAGCTACTTGAGGAATTTTGCAGATGCACGACGTGGTTAATTATGCCTTAAGTACAATGGCCATGTCGCCACTTGCATTGCCGTACGGTTCCTTGTTTTTGGATTTTGGCTTCTTTGTTATCTCAAGAGTCACAACGAATTCTATGTCCCATCATCTTTAATTACATCATCTTAATCACTAAGAATATGAACTGTTTTGTTATAGTAAACCCAACATGCAATTACAAAACAATAACGAAAAAAAAAAAAAAACATGCAAGTACAAAACTGAGAGCGTGAGTGTAAACGCAAACGTACTCTACAATGGTTTAACTTAATAAAAATAAACAACCCATTATATTTAATCTACTACTATGAATTTGTGTTTCTGTCTAGTTCAGTATCTGTCATAAATGGCGACGTAAATCCCCTTGCGGCAAGAAAGTGATGATCGAAGAGAATCAATGCAAAGTTGACATTCCCTTAACACGTAATATTGATCCCCAAATATTGGAATTTTTTCTCTTCACACATCATCATGATCACAAGTTACTATATGCATATCTTGATCTCTATTCTCTTCACTCTCTTACTCACAATTTGTCAACTCTCCAGCATCATATCATCAACTTCTCTTATCCACAATCCATCTTCCCACGCAAAATAAGATTCTCCCGGCCCTTTAGCGTTGCTCCGTCATTAATCCAAGATACCTCTATTCATAAGATTACATGCGAGTATGTGTATATATAGAGTTCCAAGACTCACCTCTCCAAAACAAACTCATCAAAACAAAATTAAATCTCCAACCACTTCAAAGAAAAGATATATACATACCAAAAGAGTATTACTATACAAATGGATGTGGTAGCAAGATTAGCGTCGCAAAGAGCAGTGGTGATATTCAGCAAGAGTACGTGTTGCATGTCTCATGCAATTAAACGGTTGTTTTACGAGCAAGGTGTGAGCCCGGCGATTGTAGAGATCGACCAAGACATGTATGGGAAAGATATCGAGTGGGCCTTGGCCCGATTAGGCTGTAGCCCTACGGTTCCTGCGGTTTTTGTCGGAGGGAAATTCGTAGGAACGGCCAATACCGTTATGACTCTTCATCTCAATGGATCATTGAAAATGTTGCTCAAGGAGGCTGGTGCTTTGTGGCTTTAGCACTCATCATTTGATCTTTACTTTGAGTCTTTGAAAGTCTCTTCACTTTATGTACGTTTAATTAAAGCATATGTGAAGAAGAACTACTTTGTATTGAGAGTTATTAAATATATGTCTATGTGGAGGTTGATTTAAGGATCAACTATAACCCATTAATTCACAATCCATGATACATGCAACTTTCCCTTCACGAAAGTTGTGACGAACAAGCTAGTATATATAATGTTGATTATTACTAATTTTGGACATTTATCGAAAACACCACATTTTATGTTTAGTTTTACAAAGCTATCATCAAAATCCTAAATTATAAACATACCATAAATTTTGGAGATGAGCAAACTTTACAAAAAAAAAAAAAAGAGTTAGCAGGCTAATCCCCATATGTAAAAGAATTTCGTGCCATGTCTAAATGACCAAATAGCCTCACATAGTATTTGCAAACGGTAGAATCGAACTCATGACCATAACAAGTTTATGCCATTTTAATATTATAGTCGAGACCACTATGCCAATATGCCCACACTATATTATCCAACATAACTGACAAGTCAAAATGTTTTAAATATCATAAATAAAAAATGATCATACAAATAAGTTTAAAATATGAAATCATGTTTTAAAGTTAAAATTAAAATTTCTTAACATTGAAAAATCTTAGAGAGAGAGGCGAAAAAATAGAGGAGCAGCATACTTCAACCAACAGTCGGAAGGTGCTACAACTTCGCCGTCAGTTGGATTAAAGTTGACATGTTTCATTTTAAAGTTTGAAAGTGGATATCTTCTCACATCCATCTTTTGATTTCATGAAACAGCAAAGGATGGTTTCTTCAACAAATCAACAAGCAAAGATTCTTGGCGATAATTTTCAGGCTAATCTTCCATCTCTTAATTTGTTAGACGTAACCGAGAAGACTTCCTTTGTTGTATTTTGGTGGTCCGCTATTTTGGACTGAGTTTTTGTCGTAGTTTGTTATTCTTTCATTTGTCGATTTCTTCTATTGGCTTTAAATCGGATATCTACAATTTTCTACATCCACGGTGGCAGGTGAAGCAGTCAGGAAAAATTTCCAGTTTTCTTCGCTTGAATTCAAGAGGTTATCTTGTCGTAATCTAACTATTTAGTTGGTTTATCTCACTCGAACCTTAGTTGAGTATATCTTGACATTATCGATGTTGTCAAATAACAGATGACTCCAAAACTTTAAGAGATAAACACATCGAGCTGAAGTAACTAAGCATATATTTTTACTTTAGAAATCTACCAAGCATCAAGCGAGGACATTCCAGATATTTTCGGTGAGTTTTGTGGTTTCCATTGACATCAAAAAAAATTCTGATTAGAGTGAAGAACTTGTACACGATTAAGATTTTTTCTTGCATGTGTTTGCCGATTCTATTTGTTAATTGTGGTGAATTTGCAACCGGATGAGTTTGTTTATATTTGTATCTTCTACCTTTACATGTTATTGTCATCAGCGGTGAGAATCACAAGAATCAATGTTCGGTTAAAGTTTTTCCAGGCGAAGATTTGTAGTTCATCGGAGCTAGGTACACATACAGTAATAATTGATGGAAGCCCTTACTGTTTTCCTCCAACATATGTCGCACACTTAGTTTTTGTTAAGGTTCATTACAAGTGTATAATATGATGTAGATAACTTCATCCAATCTCTTTCTTAGTGATATCCTATGTTATAATAATGTCATGGGCTGTTTTTCTTTTCGTAGGCCCATTTAACTAGGGCTTTGTAAGATTTTTATGTCTGGATAGATTTTTGAGATATTACAGACGGTTTAATTTATTATTTGAAAAAATGTTGCAAGCTTTTGAATAATGGTAGAGTACATATGGTAAACAAAACTATCCATAAAGAGGTGTTCATGTACAAGCCTTCCCTTAAAACAATGTGTTTGTATGAGCTGGATTGAAGCAATTCAAACATAGCGATACCACGTGTCGCGTTCTAATTTGTAAGTGATATTACTTCCAACAACAATTTAATACTGGAGATTTTTTCGATATTTGGTATAGCCCAGTTGGTCATATAATTTTCCTAATGAGTAATCTTTCGTCAAACATTTCTTAGTTTGTTTACTTTTACCATTTAAACAAATTTTTCAAATAAGATTACATGTATAGAAAATAAATTGAACAACAAACTATTGTCGAATCTATGTTCTCTATATAATATCTTATCCCAAGAGATATACTACAACGGGATCACCAAAGCTTTCGTTTCCAAACCTATTGAAAAAGGTATGCGATTTTTTATCCACACGTAGATGATAATGTATGACTGTGATTTTCTCACTAGCGTCGCCGTCGTTTCACCATCAAAATTTAGTTTCAATGAATACAATTGTGATTTTCAGTTTTGCACTAGTGTCACCGTCGCTTCACCACTAATTTCTAATTGTCAAGTGAACGCGATTGAGATTTTCAGTTTTGTATATTAGTTTCGCCGTTGTTATACCGTAGAGTTTTAGTTTTCCAGTAAACGCGATTGTGACTTTCAGTTCTGGTGTCGCCGTCGATTTATCATAAAATTTACTTTTCAGGTAAACACTTGTAGCAATGAAAAGAAAACGATTGTGATTTTCAGTTTGCAATTGCTAGTGACGCCGTCAAAAGATTAATTTTCCGGCGAATATCTATTTAGCGAAAAAGATTTAAATAATTTTATATGAGCATTATTAAAACCCAAATCATTTCGGAGTTATGCTTTCTTTTTTGTTTGGAAAAGCTTGTTAGATTTGATTTTGACCTTACAGATTTTTATCTGACTAACTGTCACAGTTATCTATATATGTTGTTTCCAATATTGATTGCAGTGAAACAAACATAGTTCTAATGATCATTTATATATTCATAACAATGTTCTCTCTGTTTTTTGTGGGTCTGGAAACACCAACAGATTCTCCTCGATGTTGACGCTTAACACAATGATGGTTATCTACATTGCTGCACCAATTGCGATCATAGCGATTCTAATCGCTCTTTTCTGGATTTCCAGAATGCTGTGTGGCAAAAACTCCCAGACCAGTTCAACCGGTAAGTCTCTCTTCTTGAAATTATAACCACACTTAGTGTTTTTATACATATGATGTAATAAAAAGACAAAAAAGCTTTTTTAAGTCTTTAAAAATGTGTCTTTTCTATATATATATTGAAGTAGAAGACAAAAACCAATAAACATTAAGTATTAGTTAATGTGCAAGTACTGTTACATATAGATTTAAATAACTACACCTTTTGATGCTGATCATGTAAGTAATTACATCTTTTGATGCTCTTGTAATTCACGTCTACAAGTGACGCCACAACGCCTGATTGAGTTCTCGATGGAGGAATTAAGGCAAGCAACGAACAATTTCGACCTGGATAATAATTATATTGGGTTTGGATGTTACGGATTAGTTTATACTGGGCTGATCGGAGACAGGATCGTTGCGATCAAAAGGGAGTGGCTTCGTCTCCAGCCTAATTTCTTGGCTGAGGTACACACAAAAAAAACTTTGTTGATTTCATTGAAAATAATATATATGTATTTGTGACATATTTGTGGTATGTGTCTCAGGTTTCTTACATGTCTAAAATCCAACATGAAAATTTGGTTAATCTGATCGGTTATTGTTGCGAAGAAGGGAACCAATTGCTCGTCTTTGAGTATATGGTCAAGGGTAACGTGCGAGATTATCTAGATGGTAAGTAATTAATGCATTATAGTGAACTCTTGAAATTTGATCCATACATCATTTTTATGTGACCATCTCTCTTTTTGGTCATTGAGTAGAGTTTAGCGACTTAACGTTCAAGAAAAGGATTTCTATAGCTATTGATGCAGCCAAAGGTAAATCAAAATGGATGATCCAAAACTCACATTAATTGTTTTTAGTGTCTTTCTAAAAAATAATGTTAAAGTCTCTCTGTTTTTCAATTTCAGGGTTGCTACACTTGCACAACTTAGATCCTCCAGTACAACACAAAAGATTTACGGCGACTAAAGTTTTGCTTGATGCCGACCTCAATGCCAAGGTATCCGATGGGGGAATGTTGGGACTGCTTCAAGAACGTGATAATCATCTCGTTAATCCCAGGTATTAATTCACTTATGATGAGTTACATCATTCCTTCAAAGTCCTAACAAATATGTTCTTATGAATATTTTATTTGATTTTTTTTTATCTTTTCTATAGAGGTGGTTTAGCTGAGACCATTGATGTTTATAGCTTTGGGTTGTTCCTTCTAGAGCTTATCACCGGTCAAAAACTTGCATTGTTCGAATCAAACCACGAAATTGCTCAATGGGTAATAGAAAAAAACCATCTCTATCTCCATATCAAGTTTGCAACACTATATATATATATATATTTTAATTGTATGTACTTAAAAATATATTGTTTGGAAATGTATTTGTGATTTGTAGATAGTCCCGCGAATGTCTACAAACACACTTTTGGATGAGAATATGCCTGCAACGGACATGGACATTACATCATCGTTGAATGCTTATATAAAGATTGCGTCGGAATGCTTGCAATATCCCGCGATAGATCGCCCAAAGATGGATGTGGTTGTGACCGAGCTTGAGACGATTTACCAGAATGAAATCATCAATGAAGAGCATGAGGTTGCTCTAGGAAGTGAGCTTTTTAACATAACCATTCAGTGAGAGAGCGAGACATGTTGTTGTTGTTGTTTGTATCAAGTCTATTTCGAAACCTTAAAAGGTTATTAATAAAAGATAGACTATAAAAAAGATTTGAAAGATTTCAAACAGAATCCAATTTGGGTCTTGTAGACTAAAACCGGTTTAGCCAATACAAACCCCGCATCGGATTCGATAAAGTTGGTTACAATAACCGGATTAAACCGAAACGGATTTAATTTGTAGGTTTGTTTTTAATGATTGCATCTTCGCAAAATTATATAGAGAGAGTCTCTGCAACAAAATCGAAACAACGAAAATTTACATTTTATCGGATTCTTCTAATTTTTATTTTTATTTTTTTTATTTAAAGTTTTTCGCGGTTATATCCCCAAAAATTGTTTCAATCTCTTCTTTTGCTGCTTCTTCATCTTCCACAATCGCTCCTTCGATCGCTCAAACCCCGAAGA